ATTTAAATACTTAGAATAAACACTTCTTGAGAAAAAATTATGAAGATTATCAGCTTCAAACAAGCACTGGTCAACACTTGCTCTTGTGTCTGCCACCATTTGCTGTTTTAATCAGAAGTAGCTGAGTATGTCATGTGACCTTATGGAACCTTGTTTTAACCGACTGTTTTACTGTGATTTCTTAATTTTTCTGCATTGCTCAGGAGCAAAGACATTGTTCATACTCTCCGAACAATAATATGAATTAGTTGTTTGGTTGCTCCTATTTCTATTTTTTGATGATTATAAGCAAATGGTTATACACACTTTTAAGTATTATAATAAACAGAAAGTGCATAACTTTAACAAGATACTTATATACTATAATATATAATATAATGCCAGTTAGCTAGACTGTATGAACTATATGTTTCTCTGTGCTAATTGATTAGTATATTAAAGTTATCTTGATACCATCTAATATGGACTCCATAATGATTTTAACTAATTTACCACATCTCCTAGGAATGGCCCAGTAGGACAGATAGCTGTTATCTTTAATAAAATCCATCTTCTTCTATTGCAATGAAAATATCTTAACTCAATTTGTTTCAAATATCCTTGGGCAGTGGGGACTTATTTTTGTGTAAAGCAAGAGTCTGCAGAGGGACGAGGCCCATTATGGGAAATTGTACGGTAATTAAGAGCTATACTCATTATTTTGCTGCTTGAACATAGATGTTTTTTTTTGAAATTTAGTTTGAAGGTTTAGTACATAGATGTGAACAGAAATATTTTCAAGTGCAAGCTAAAATATCTAGGTGATTGATACAGGCCCCACTTGCCTCTTGTCTTAATTAGTTCAGGAATTAATTACATCAACAAAAAGCAGTGCAGAGCTTTAATCACAAACTGAAGCTGATTGTATCATCCTCACAAATTTAAATGTCATCCTTCAAATTGGCCTGATTTCATCTGGCTGCGTTATAGTTCCTACTTGTAGAAATGGACCAGGGAGTAGACTACATTCCCTGGCTATTAAACATAGAAAAAACACATTGCTTAGCAGAAAGAATATTCAATATTTATCATTGCTCATTTCCCATAATGGCAGTATTTTACCAATATGAGTGAAAAATTTTAAAAAATGTCTTACTTATTCGTTTTTAGACATATTATTGCCATTCTTTCCAAATCTACACAGGCCTAGGCTGATGTAAACTTTCCAAATTTATACATATTTAGGCTGCTTTATACTTTCTAAAGTTCATGCAGGCTTAGGCTGTATTTACCAACAATATCATGCACTTTAAAATCAAAGTATGAAGAAATGTTGTCATGTGAAGGTGTATTAATTTAGACCAATGTGTGAAAGTCTCAGAAAAAGTAATTTTAAGTGACAATATCCAAAACCACTGTCTATATTCCCTTTGCTAACATGTTGAGATACCAATGAAACAACGGCTTTTGTTCATTTCTATGCTTTCCTGCTGAATTTTATCAGCCCGTAAATATCCAAAGCTGTTTTGAGATGAAATCACCTCGTAGTATCTGATGGCTACCTCATCGAACAACCTGCAGGAGGCCTGATAAATGGGTTCCAAAGGAATTAGTGTAAGCATCTTGCCCAAGGACATAGACAAACCGGTCTTTTAATTTCAGTTAAAATTACTGTAACTTAAGTATGTGGATGCAGTACCTGCATCCATTTGTACTAATGTAATAATGTAAGTATAATACCATGAAAATTGACAAAGATGCTAAGCTAGCTGTTGTCAGGACAACAATATAAGTATTAACATAACCAATGTTAAAAATACGGCTCAGCAGTGACAGAATTTTCCCACTCCATAAGGAGTTATTTTACTAGAGAAAACCTCAAGTGTTTCAGAAACACAATTGCCATGCATGTGTAGGGAGCATGGAACGGCATACATAGGACCTTTACCTGATGATAAGTAGGTCAACATTCTGACCAACTGTTTTTGAAATATTTTGTCCCTGGTTATAGAAGTGGGACATTGAAACTACTGTGTGCTAATTGCATGCACAATTTTTCAAATGTAGGTCAATTGCCACAGTCAAGGTCACATGGGGAAAAAGGCCTACCTCTTATAGTGCAATGGTGCAATAACTATGGCCGATGTTAATATTTTTGAAATGTAGATCAAAGGTCACAGTCAAGGTCACATGGTCAAAAATAGCAGTAAATGTCAGCTGCCTGTTGGCAAAGCTTCTTTACTTTTTGATCACAGTTAGAACTTTAAAAGTCCATGTCCACTTAGATGGATTTTTTAATTAAAGTTTGTTTTTTTCTGTAAACTGCACTACATTTAGTCATACCTGTAACATTTTGGAGGTAAATAAGCTCCTAGATTTTCTATCCCTATCCGTATTATTTTTTCGCTCCTGGATCAAAAGATCAAGGGCATATTGTTTTGGTGCTGTCTGTTTTTCTGTTGTTAACTTTAACCTTGCCAATAATGACTGCACCTTAAAAGGTAGGACATTCATATCTGGCATGTGAGTTCCTCATGACAAGACCTTTCTGGTGGTACCAAATTTTGACCATGTGACCTTGATCATGACCTTTGACCTACAGTTGAAAGTAAAAAAAATCATTACTGCAACAAAGACATGACTGTTTCATAAAGTATGCATGCAAATAGCCAATGCCTTACACAGTAGTTTTTAATGTCCCACATCTGACTGTTGTTGTAAGGGAGTGGGTGGCATTGTGTTTCATAAACAAATTTTGTTGTTTAATGAATTAACTGGCTTGTATTGTGTGATATTTCTAAATAACAAATAATAATGTCACATAGACATAAACATATAGATAAATGGTATTTATAAATATGTCATATGTGGACAAATCAATGGTAATGCTTTGACTACAGAACAGGTGCTGTTCTAATTCATAATGTTACAATCAGTTGACAGCAGCGTGATATTACAATCTATTGTGACCATGCTTCTGCTAGCTGTTTCTATCAGATATCACACTCTTATATCTGCCCTGTATCTGTCTATCACTCTGTCGTTTTTTATTCCCTCAACATGAAAAAACAAATTTTGGTAAAACTTTATGCAAAGGTCAACTATGAGTATTGTTTGTGTTTCTAGGGCCCAATGTCAAGGCCAAAGTTACCCTAGGTAAGGCAGCCATCTTTGATTTTGACTATGAAAGTTTGGTATTTCTATTTCTAGAGAAGTTGTTGGTGATCTTTCTCGGATTCACATATATATATTCTCCTTGGTCCCAAGCTGTGTACTTATAATTTTGAAACTGATCAGGAAAAGTGCATATAAAGATCGAGCAAAAACAGAGAAGAAAATAAAAAGAAAAGATCTAACTTTAAAGATAAAATAAATATCAACCAATCACTGATGATGACCAACGTACCTGGGGATCCCTTGTTCAAATTCATACAATATCAACCAATCACTGATGATGACCAACGTACCTGGGGATCCCTTGTTCAAATTCATACAATATCAACCAATCACTGATGATGACCAACGTACCTGGGGATCCCTTGTTCAAATTCATACAATATCGACCAATCACTGATGATGACCAACGTACCTGGGGATCCCTTGTTCAAATTCATACAATATCAACCAATCACTGATGATGACCAACGTACCTGGGGATCCCTTGTTCAAATTCATACAATATCAACCAATCACTGATGATGACCAACGTACCTGGGGATCCCTTGTTCAAATTCATACAATATCAACCAATCACTGATGATGACCAATGTACCTGGGGATCCCTTGTTCAAATTCATACAATATCAACCAATCACTGATGATGACCAACGTACCTGGGGATCCCTTGTTCAAATTTATACAATATCAACCAATCACTGATGATGACCAACGTACCTGGGGATCCCTTGTTCAAATTTATACAATATCAACCAATCACTGATGATGACCAACGTACCTGGGGATCCCTTGTTCAAATTCATACAATATCAACCAATCACTGATGATGACCAACGTACCTGGGGATCCCTTGTTCAAATTCATACAATATCAACCAATCACTGATGATGACCAACGTACCTGGGGATCCCTTGTTCAAATTCATACAATATCAACCAATCACTGATGATGACCAACGTACCTGGGGATCCCTTGTTCAAATTCATACAATATCAACCAATTATGTAATAAATCCTTAAATCAGCTCTATCTTATGACCAGATGCTGGATGACATTTGTTGTTGTTGTTGTTGTTGTTGTTGTTGTTGTTGTTGTTGTTGTTTCATTAATCTTTTATAAAACAGATCTGAACCCTTAATTCTTTATCCATAAAATATCACTCCAATGTAAATACCAAGGTAAATATATACATTTCATTTATTTATGCCAAATTCCAGTTCTCTGAGTTTCAAGACAATTGATTAATTTCAAAACACAAGTGTGAGCATGAAATTACTTTTTATTGAAAACAAATATATTATCAGGCTTCATTTCATTTGGATTACACTTTAAATTCCCAAGTCATCCATATTGTATACCACTTTTTAATTGCAATATTGATTGATCGGGCATACAAATTCTGTCTAAAAGGCTTGATCAGGATGTTGCTGGTTGTAAGAAGATTAAAAGTATTAGTTTATTGTACAGAGCAGCAGTAGATACAGATTGTCTTGATATTGGAGACAGGTGCTGGATAGAAAAGGGTAGTGTTTGTATATCTTGAGATGTAAATATGATCAGACCCGAGACTGTTTCGTCACAGATGTATTCTCTGATTACAAAAGAAATTGTATATTAGATAAATCGTACATATCATGATGGCCATGTTGCCAAAGAATGCCGTCTGAATAACAGATGGATGTTTATTTAATTAAAAAAAATCTCATACGATGTGTCTGAGAAAGACGTAGAATCTTGGAAATTAACTTTAATGAGATTTCTGGTATCTGGATTGTGAGTTTATGCTTGGTATGGGTAATAACAGATCTACTGTTTGTTGTCAGACTGAGTACACGACAGAGAGGATGCTAGAGTTCTGGTCTGTAGTGGTTGGTCTGCTGGGCTTTCTTATTACCTGGCAGCTGTTTCGACCTCAAAGTGCACCAATATGTGGGGTGTATCGACAGCCAGGTAAGTGAATGGCATCATCAGATATTTGAGATATACAAACTGCCTGTTTAGTACTCAGATATTGATGATGTCATCAGATTTGAGGGTCATGCCTTTACACGTAGATCTACATGCATGCAAGTATCAGTGATTTCATTACTTATGTGGGATGTTCATATCTAGGTACCCAGATATCAGTGATGTCATAAAAAATGTGGGATGTTCAGATAAACAAGTACTCAGATATCAGTGAGTCATCAAAAATTTGGGATGTTCAGATAAACAAGTACCCAGATATCAGTGATGTCATCAGAAATGTGGGATGTTCAGATATATTTAAATACCTTCCTTAGATACAACCTGTACTTGCTGAAAGTAAGCAGGTCAGGGCTGCTATCTTGGTGGAATTTTGACCAAAACAACACGATTGATTTATTCTGTTGAGCTTCAGAATTTTCTTTTGTTTACAATTACTACATGTGTCAGATAAAGTGTCCACACTTAATTTAGGGAGTTTTCACAATGGTAAATGTATTGAAAGTCATTTGAAAATACATTAGTCCAAATTTAACATTTAACAAATGTCTGCAACATTTTGGTATTCTTACCCAGGGAAATGGTTCTGGCTAAAAAAATTAGTCTTTCTGGTGATTATCAAACTGCGACAGTATAGACATAGGGAAGCTGAGAAACGTCATAGAAGATCCCAGGAATTGTTGGACAAGAATCGAGGATATGGAGCTGGAATGCTTGATCCAACTTCCATGGAAACGTTTGCTCCATTAGATCCAGATCCTTTCGTAAGTATTCCAGCAAAGTCATATGGTCCTCAGCATTATATCTGATGTGTTGGTGATTTGATGGAATGTTTGTAAAACATTCAAACTGCCATGAAATTCTCGTTGAAAAGATTGTACAACAGACACACAAATGAATAGCATCTTTTGATACAGTTGAGCTAAACAATGAACTAAACAGCACCATACCGCTGTTTCATCCTTCTAGGACTTGTCAGTGATACTAAGGGCCAAAATTAAGCCTCGGAGGCAAACCGATGAAAATCAAAGTGATCAATAGAAATGTCAAAAAAGGTTTTAGACTGTCTCAACAGATCCTCTATATATATATATTATTTTATGAGATGGTTATCGAAAAGTTGAATAAATGAATCAGCTGGAAATGACTGTTAGGTCTGAAAAATATGCAAAATGCAACATGTATGCTCACAGGATTTTTTCATGTGCAGAAAGCTATTGTTATGCTCCTGTTTTGTCCTACTGTGCATCCATTCTTTTGTCCATCTGTCTATCTGTCAAAATTTGCAGTATACAAGAACCATGATAATTTTTTCCATAATTTTTGAGAGCATCCATCTGTTCTGCCAATTCTCTTGTGTGGGTTTTTGTGGTTATGGTTTAAAGTTATCAAGTTTGATAATGAAATTTATTCAAGGGAAAATACATTACCAATTAAATTCTAAAACAAGTGGAGTGGATGACAATTATAATAATATGTAATGTCAGTGTGTGTATCTCAAATTCTTATGTTCATGATTATCATTTTGTATATTTTCAGGGTATTGATGCTGTATATTTTGGTGGTTTTAACAAAGATGGTGTACGTGTTATCGTTCGCTATTGTCGACGTCATGAAAGACGAGGAGAAATATGGCTATTTTTAGAAATACCCACGATAGGTGTCTTACAACATCCGCTTCACCCAGACACTTATGTCATCAATACAAATGGTCAGAAATACTCAGCAGGTGGCCTGAAAATTGAAATGATTGAGCCAATGAAAACATGGAAAGTGTCATTTAATGGCACTTTACGGTAAATATAGACAACTTTGTAAGATGTAGGTCAAGTAACTGTTTAACGGTAAATATGAAAGGTGTTGTAAGGTGGACATTTATGGTAAAATTTTGTATGGGAGTTGTTAGAATTAATGGTACTTTATAGTAGATATTGGAATTGTGGCATACACTAACCAGCTATTGAGATTTCAAGTTTTACTCTAAAAGCAATACTTTTTGAAATGTTAACACCGCCACACAAAAATATGTAACAATCCTCTTTAAGATAGTTTGGAGGTCAGGTCTTTTCCTTTTATGCTTCCTGAATGGAGAGCCTATAGTTGTCGCTTTGACTGTCCCTCCATCTGTCCATCCATCATAATATTGTTCAGAGCATATCACTACGTCAGGTATCAACATTAAACTTCATAAGTAGATATGTATTGGTAAGGAGAAGTGTAGTGTACAAGAACCATAACTCTCTTTTGCATAATTAAGGAGTAATTCCCCTTCGTTATTTTCATACTTAAAATTGTCCTTAGAAACTAGCTTTTATTTGGGCAGCATCCATCGGTTCTAAGAATTCTTTTGTGTTATATTTTAGACATGGCCTATGTAATGAACTAGAAAATAAAGGAGGCAAACTTCTTCAAGTAAAGTTTTCATTCAAGTGAGTATGAATACATAATATGTAGTTAGTTAATATGTTGTTTTCATAAATTTTAGATAGTTTTGTTTTCTTTTTCTTACGAATTATTGGTATTTATAACCATACTTTAATGGTTTTGTTGAATAATGTAACCATCCTCTTTGTTCATTATCCTTTCCAAATCTCATATTCTTTACGGCCAGTAGAATTAGCAGTTTTAAATACAACCAAAAAGAGATCCAATGGCTGAGTAAATATTGCCAATGTTTTGGTAGTTCTCCGCAGATGGATCCCTAAGGAATACAGAGTCTAGTCCAGAAAAAGAACCTCTACCTTCAATTTTGAGTTTTGTAAATTTGTTCACTGATTACTGTAGTTTAGTTTGACATCTGATCTTGGGCAAGGGGATATTGTACTGATATGAGATTTCCCCCCTCCCCACTGCTCCAGGAGAAAATTTATTCTACATTTGTATTGCTTCAAATTTCTATGAGCTTTTATTATAAGACAGCAAAGAAAGATCCTGTATTTTTTCATTAGTTTCAGTCCTACTTTATAGAGAGCAATGAAAGCTCATTTGGTAGAGTACTGGCCTACACCTAAATAAAGATCTGAGGTGTGTGGTTCAGATTTGTCTGTGTTATTGTTTGGCAAGGTGCTCCAATTGTTTGGATGGCATGTGATGTGTCTCCCTTATGTTGTTCAATGAGGTAGCCTCCAGCTACTAAATGGAGACCTCACCTGAAAAAGACCCTGGCTGATTAAGAAAAATGTAAATCCATATTATATTTTTTGATATCTATGTGTAATTGATATCATCAATCTATGTGATTTGTCCACCAGATGGTGCTGTAACACTGATCCATTTAGTTTTGACACGGACATAAGTGCATCAGCTATTGCAGACGCCATTGCCAGGGAAAATTGGGACCAAGATTTCTGGAGCAGATTGAAAAGGTAGTCAGGAACTCTTCTTTGAAAAATGTTGTAATATGTCACATTATTGTCATAGAGAGAAAACTTTCCAATCTGCATTTTGGGAATTCTTTGAAATTTTTGTGAATCTAGCAACCTCTTGAAAATCACAAAAAATTAAAATAGAAAAATTTGCATGTTTTGTTCCTTTTATTATAAACACATGAGTATTACATCCTGAACACTTTTTATTCATGAACAATTCTATAAGAAATAACTATATGTAGGCAATCCCTCATCTAAAATAATCTCCAGTTGATTGTAGAATCAACACTGGTTTATATGAAAATTATATCAATTCTGAAGTATTTAAAGTCTTCAAAAAAACAAAGCCTTTCAAATTTCTGAATCCATGAAATCACAGGAAGTAAAGTATGCAAAAATTGCATAAGGTACATTTTGGCGAATTTCGTAAAAATTGTGCATCACAAAAATATCGCGATACATATATAGTATAATAAACAGCTTTGTACTAGGTTTCCTTATATCCCAATACCTGGTTGGTAACTTCAGTCATTTTCCCTTGGGGATTATTTCACTGGGGTTAGTACCATTGGGTTTTTTCCTCAGGGGTTATTTCCCTTGGGGATTATTTCACTGGGGTTATTACCCTTGGGTTTTTTTCCTCTGGGGTTATTTCCCTTGGATATTATTTCACTGGGGTTATTACCCTTGGGTTTTTTCCTCTGGGGTTATTTCCCTTTGGGGTTATTTTCCTTGGAGTTATTTCCACCATAGTCCAATTTCGGTTAAATGTCTCAGTTATATAACATCATATTTAATCCAATCATATCATTCTAAATGCAAGTGAGGTATAATAATCTTAATTGTTTGAAGTTTTATCAAGACCCGCTGTTGTTCCGTTGATGGTTATTTGATAGTTGTTTGTCTTCAGTAAGCATCAGACCCACTATGAGCAGTGGGGTGAGATGACCGGTCCACTGCAGGTCGAAGGTTATGATGACATCCAGCTGAGACTCAACACAGTTCGTGACCACTCCTTTGGTAACTATAACAACATGTCTCTGACACATTTCTGTAGTTGCTATTTCTTGCTAGTACTGAATGGGTTTTTCTCAAATTTCATATGGGTTCATAAGGTTTCTGGTTCCCAATGATCCATACTGCTTTTGGACTGATCAGAAACACAAAATGGCTGACAGGTGACCATGTTCGATTTTGACTATGACTTGAGAAGTAGTTGATGGATATACTTCAGATTTTATAAGTAGGTTCCTCTTGGTCCGTAGTTGTATTTTTTTGATATTGGACTTAATAGTAGAAAAAAAACATGACCAATAGGTGACCATCATGGGTTAGACAATCAAAGTGAAGTTAAAATTAAGCGTAAATTTGATTTTGCTGTTTCATTATTTTGTTGATTTAAATGTTGACGATTTAGATGTGTATTTGGTTATTACCATTTTCTTTCTAGGGGTACGAGATTGGCGAATGTTTCATCGGTATGCTATTCACTTCATACGTCTCGAGGTAAGAACTATTGGAAATGAAATGTAATACAGATAAGGTTATACAGTACAGGAACAGTATAGGTCTTCAGTACAGGAACAGTATGGGGCTACAGTACAGGAACAGTATGGGTCTACAGTACAGGAACAGTATGGGGCTACAGTACAGGAACAGTATACAGTACAGGAACAGTACAGTACAGGAACAGTATGGGTCTACAGTACAGGAACAGTATGGGTCTACAGTACAGGAACAGTATGGGTCTACAGTACAGGAACAGTATGGGGCTACAGTACAGGAACAGTATGGGTCTACAGTTCAAGAACAGTATGGGTCTACAGTACAGGAACAGTATGGGTCTACAGTACAGGAACAGTATGGGTCTATAATACAGGAACAGTATGGGTCTACAGTACAAGAACAGTATGGGTCTACAGTACAAGAACAGTATGGGGCTACAGTACAAGAACAGTATGGGAGACAAATATGTTAACAATGTCACTTTTGATTAATGTTTTACTGCAGTAGTGGGTCACATAATATTTTGATAGTTATAGATGTTATACCAGAGTATTTTTTAGATTTGTTTCTCTTTCGTTAAATTTCAAATTAAGTTAAAAAAGAATGAGGAAACAGCAATGATGAGAATCACGCTCAAATAGCCAATCATGTTGATTAAGAGGAAGTTTTATTACAAATAAAATTTCATAAATCTGACATTTTCTACAGACAGAGGAGAGTGTGGCAATTGAAAAGAAAAAAAAAATAAAATAAGGAAAGAACAAAATTGAAAAAAAATTAATCTTTTCCATCTACTTAGGACTGACTTAGTAGTGCCCTGTTCCTAATGTCCCATATTTAATTTAAGCTTTTGCAACACCATGACTGTATACATGTCTTGTACATGTGTACTGATTTGTATTGATTATATAACCAGGCAAATATTTGAATATTTTTCATGTGTTACAGAGTGGTGTGACAGCCCAGGTGGGTGTGGTCAGTCTGCCCTCTACCACCTCATAGTAAGTAATGGTCAGCTGTTACTTAGATTACCTATAATTCACTGATACAATTTACAGGTGGGACACCTGTCTCCACTACGATATCTATAAGCTTCTTTCCAAAATTGTTTACAGATGGGACACCTGTGTCCACTTCAATAATTAAACAATCTCTCTGATTCAGTTTACAGGTGGGATACCTGAATTATCCATGTGGTGCTATGTACCCTGTTTCTAGCTGTGATATCAAATTGTGGAAAATTTCGGAAACACCAGAGCCTGCCAATGAATATTCTTTCAATTTTGTTGCAGGTAAGTTTCATATTCATCAAATTAAAGTTGTATAGTATAAATTTACACATTAGGTATTTTTCGATAAATCTTTTGATAGGTGGTGCGGTGGTGATGGGGTTTGATGGGGTGCAGGGCTGTTACCAATAGAGTAAATTCTTCAAAATCTTACTCCTCCTGTAGGTATAATTTGATTTTGCCCAAATTTTGCCTAATGCGTTCATTGATGAAGGTGACTCAATTTTGTATAAAATAATAGGTCTCTGCCTCCTAGGTCAGGAGGGACTAGGCCCGATGGAGAAAATAGAGCAAATTCTTTAAAATCTTACTCCTCCTTCGGGAATGATTGGATTTTGTCCAAATTTGGCCTGAAGCATCCTTGGATGATAGTGAATCAGTTTTGTATAAACAGTGAGTGAAATGGACCAATTCTTCAAAATCCTTCTTCTCTAGGAATGTCAGGATTCTGTCGCAATTGGATCTGAAGCACTCTTAATTAAAAGAGGAATTGATTATTTGTATAACCATGAGTCTGGACCGTCTGGGGTTGAAGGGGCACAGTAGGGGAAATACAGCAACTTCTTTATAATTGTTGTTACTATTTAGGAATATTTGAATTTTACCCCAATTTGGGTGTGAAGCATCTTAGGGTGAAGGGAAATTTATCTAAATAGTGCATCTGATCCCCATGGGACTGAGGGGTGGGGCTTAATAGGGGAAATAGATATAAATCATTTAATGCTATTCATTAAGTTTAGATAAAGCAGTTTTAACTAAACCAGGTCAGTGATACAGGCTCTTTGGGCCTCATGTTTAATGAATCACATACAAACTCATCTAGGAACCTGTGTAACAAATGTAACGGTCATCAGAAAGTTTGGATTTTTATAAAATTGTTATTATGATTGAATGTTTGGGGAATGCTACATATTTACCAAATCAGAGTTATGAATGACAATTTATTGTTTTATTGTACTGTAGAAAATTGTAATGTCATCACTGGGAATGAAAAGGGCTGAAATATCAAAGTTAATTGTTACATTGTATATATGTATCCTAAAACTGCATGAATGTTTTGTGAACTGAAAATTTCAGAATGAACAAAACTAAGAGATACTCTCTTGCAGTTTTCTATTACTGCTATTTATAACTGATTTTTATTATGAAATATCAGGAATTGAAATTTGCAAAAAATAATAAAAGATTGCCAGTGTTATTGACAAAAAAACACAGTTAATGCCTTATTGATCTTGAGCCAAGAGTTCAATAAACTTGTTCAATAAACTCAAAGTAAAGGGTGGGCTTATTAAGGTACATTGAAATGATGCTGACATTTTCCCTAAACTAAATTATACAGTGGTACTTGGGTTATCTTATAACCAGACATGGGCTTATAACTGTATAAATCCAGTATTGATTGTTAAATAACTTTAACTTAATTTTAATTCATATGTTTTTCCCCTTAACAACTTACAGGTGGCGATACTTTCCATGTAGAAGTGAAAGGGGAGACTACTCCAATCTGGTACCACTGTGAGGATCGAGGAAGTAAAATTTTTGAAAAGTTTTGTCAGTTTAAAGTCAATGGTAAAAAAGGATATGGACTTGTAGAGTTTCATTACAGGTAATTGTCGTTTTCTTAAGTGTGTCATTGTGGTAGGTTTGCCCCACCAACAACCCACAGCCCTTTTTCTGTAATTCCAAAGACACCTCTATTTTATATAGCTTACACTCAAATTGGTTAATGTCACCAAATCTGGAATAGGAGGGAATAGTGAAAATATTGCACTCATGTTGGGTCTGGAATTAGTAATTACTTATCATTCTCAAGGTGGACATTTTAATTCTAGTCTAATGGATACCTACAGAGGTGAATTTCATTTACAACTTCCAAAATTGCATTATTTCTTGATATTAATTATAAAGATTTAAATGTGCATATTACATAAAAATAAGGATAATGAAAGAAACATGAAAATGGTGGATTTTCTGTTGATAATTTCTCTCAAAACTGGGTTTAAGAATATGTTTTAGATTTTGTTTATCAACCTCCGAGCATAAAACCATCAACTGATTGAATTTTCACAACAAGACATCTTTCTATATTGTCTGTTTAAACTTGATTGTCATTTTGCAGAAATACAGATGGGCCTTCATTTGTACTGCCAGAGTCACTTCCCCTGCTCCAGGAGCCAGCAGCAGAATTGGTCAAGGCCACTACTGAGAGACTGACCTTGACCTTTGATGAGGATGCTTGTGGAAGCAGTAAACTTGTGGGTGGTAAGGGGGCACAACTAGGTCAGTTGTCCTCCATACAAAATAAGGTCAGTTAATGAAAATGTGTATTTACAGCAGAAAGTAAAAAATTGATTTTTCATACCAATAACAACAATTGTCATAATACATATGAACCAGTAAGACATTATTATAAAAAAAAGCATGCTCACAGCACTTACTGTCATTGGATAAGAACCAAAAATAATTATATCATATAAGGTAAGTGCATTGATAAATTGATGCACTTGTAATAAATACTATTGCAGTAATACATTAATGCACTTGTTATACATACTTTTGCAGATACATTAATGCACTTGTGATACATACTACTGAATATAATATTTAGAACTGCTGCTATTATCACAGTCATAACTCAGAACAAGAACAATGTTTCAACACAATAATTGCTTAGCTGTATAAAGCTGTAGCAGTTTTATACAAAATTTGACAAGAATTCTTTTATATATTTACAAAAGTATTTTGTAAACATGTTCTAGGACAATGCCTGTCACCATTGATTTTTCATCACTTTCTCTAAATTGAAAATAAGTGCCAGATGAAAGTTTGACCGGGTATGTATATAGTTACTTTGGGTCATCATAGTGGTGTCAGTAACAGTCTGTCACAGGACATGTTGTATATTTTACAGGTAGATTGTGTGGTGCCTCGTGGTTTCTGTCTTACATTGACTGCATTTGTCAAACAGGTGGAGGTAAGCTTTCAACTTAATTTTTCAATTTATCCTCTTACAATGTCTCTAGCATTTAAAATGAAGAAGAAAAAACAAAGATGAGAAATATGTATACTGTTGATAAGACCCAGAAGGCTATGGTGGCAATTTTCTGAATCAACTGAACACACCAACCCCTCTCTCTCACAAACTTAATTGCTTACACACTGCTAATTTGGTATGGGAGATAACTCTCGTCACACAAGGGAGATAACTGTTAGATTAGGATTTTATATATATATATAGAAAATCAAACACCTGACATGGGAAATAAATGTAACTATGTAACGTTTTCAGGTCTCATGGCCTTCTTCAAGCAATTGTATTACATTACATAGTAACATACAAACATACATATATATATATGTGGCCATTTTCAGGTGGTTACATTACATGTACACTGTACGTTACTTATTAACCTACATTGTGACGTAATGTTATTGTTATAATAAAAGGGGAGTTAAAAACGTAATTAATTGTGTTCTGACGCAATCTTCAGTGTATATATATATCTATACACTTACTTAGGTTGAACTGGATGTATTTATACACTTAACTAGGTTTGTGCTTGGTCAGAATTGAAAATATACACATATATGTGTCAGTTGTGAAAATCATTTTTGGAAGAAAGGGGAAATAACTCCACTAGATATGACAGAAGATAAATATGAATGAGAAATGTTTAGTGAGAGAATGTATTTGTCTGTTTCAGAAAAATGCAGAGATAATGAAAGCTGTCAATAACATAGTAAAGGCTATAAGGTACTGATGGAGACAGACACTAATTGTCTGTACTTATCTGATAACTATAAAGTATTAGCAATTTTGGAATTCTACTTCCTTACATTAAGTATTTCAATCTTTTCAAAAGGGAAAAATTAAGAGGTCACATTTTTTGTATATCTCAAAAATACATCTGCAAGATCTTATTAAACAACAACAATGTAAGACAGTGTTTTGACTACAAATGATAAAAATATGAGTGAAAAATTGGGTATATAGTTTCCAATTGATGGGTCAAAGATACCAACAGAATCCAGTTATATCTTTGTTGACCTCAACTGAACCAACAAGTTAAATTCTAGAAAAATGACCAAATGTTGTAAACAGTTCAATATACATCTGAAATGACAGAAAAAATAACAAATTGAAAATTCCTGTCCATCAGAGATTTAGATGATGACCAGCTCAAACTAGCCTGTTCTGACACCGTGGAACACTTTGCCTCTATTCCAATCATCAAGGAAACGGAGGAGGCCATCTTGGAGAGAATGAAGCACCTGTTCAGTCAGGACTGTTTCACAAAGTCCTTCGCTGTCAGGTCTTCTGCTTCAGGTAGGTAGTTTTACAAGGAGAGAACTTGAGTCTGAGACATGAAGACATTGTAAAAATACCTGATGAAGGAACTGTTTTGGATGCCATGTTCAATGAAATTTCAAGTGTATGACGGTTGATTGTAATGATAGCTGGTTAATTCTGAATGAAATTTCATAAATGTTTTGATGTTTGTAGCTCATTGTTATGAAATCATGATCAATATCGATAAGTTAGCCTACATACTTACCAGTGAAATATAAGGTTTTGTGGTGAAAGTAAAGTGGGAAAAATCAATGCTACAGTACAGTATTGTAGTGTAAGGAATCCTATCTTATGGTAATATAAAATTGTCTGCAGGCTTAGGGAGCATACTAATAAAAATTTTCTTGTTTAATTTGTCTGAAATCCTTCTCATACTGTAGGTCTGAATCCTGATGAACTGATTTTGTTACATGTTGTACTATGAGGTTCGTGCTAGGTACAAGTACATCTTAATGTCTTACCTGTAATTAACAGTTTTCACATTTGTTATTTCTTACCAGTTATAAACACTGTTTTCATATCTTTCGCAGGAGAAGATGGAAGTGAAGCATCTTCTGCTGGACAAATGGAAACATATTTAGGGGTTAGAGGTCATACAGAGGTAAATATTGGAACATGGTGAAAAATTGAGTGGCACATGAGTTTTATGTATTGTTGGACAAAGATATACTTTACATTAATGTTGCATAAACTCTTAAGTATTTATTTACAAATAATTTGTTTTGGGATTGTTTTAGATCCTTGACTCTGTGAGGAAGTGTTGGGCATCAGCCTTTACATACCAGGCTGTACAGTATCGTAGGTAAGCAAAAAACATATTGATTAAAATGTTAAAATTTCATTGTTAAATTTCAAGATTTTATAAATGTCATTATTAATTCTTTATACCATGAAAGTGGAAATTTTTACACTGAATGTTTGAGTTTAAATCAAATTCTATTGATCTTTTTTTAGGTCATAGATGTGAACATACTAACACAGTCTGTAGTGGCATTCACACGTTAAACTTAAAACCATTCTCTGTTTACAATGCAGTGAACGTTTTACTTTCCACCAAATGATTATCTGTTGTAAGACGTTAAGCAGGGAGCAGGGAGTGCATGCTTGTAACCATGTGTTTCAGAAGAGCGTTTTCAGGGCTACAGTTTAAAAAGTGTTAAACTGATCTGGACAAAACTGTGCCTTAGTTGTGCTCTTCGTTATGAGCAAGATTTCATTTTTGATATTTCCTCAGTTACCTTGGAAACAAATTCAGAGTACAAAATTAACAGTTTTGCAGTTACGTTCAGCTTAACTCTACATGTTAGCAGTGAAAGACACAGGAAATCTACCTCAAAATATTATGTTAGTATCAGATACATATTTAAGCTATACATTGATTCTCTTTGAATATATACACCAATAGCTGGGCACTGGATATAATGCCAGACTTTGCAGCTGTCAATTTTTTTTGTCATTCAACTGATGAAAAAAGAAGTTAGATGAAAGAGCCAATGGTGTTCCGTTCTATAAGTAGGGTTCTTAATTTAATCCCTGGCAAATGGATACAAATGTATGAAAAGGCATGCAGGGAGTAACACACTAGTATTAATAAGACACAATAAGCAGGAGGGGTCTCATCATTTACCAGCTCCAGAGGTTAGTAGGTGGTACACTTCCATTTCTTCTATAGCGGTTTTCTCAGTTATGGCTCGTCAGGGCTTGAGAAAGAGCCAACGCTGGTCAATTTCATAAGTAGGGTGTAAAGTAGTTTCCTTGCTGGAACCGTAACGAGGAAAACCGGTGGACAGGAAATAAAGGTATGCCACCTACTTTGATTTGGTTAATTTTGAGAACACTCTCACTTAAAATGTCTTATTCAAGTGATGATATTTTTATGATGATAGAGGATACAGATGAACAAGCATTGTTTAAAATTACAGACAAAATGGTCAGCCAATCAAAGTGGCAGTGGGCGTAGTCATCCAGGAAATGGTCCAATCAGAGGTGTCAGGTGTCATGTTTACCAATGACCCAGTAAATGGCAGTCCAAACCTGATGACTATTGATGCCTCATATGGATTAGGAGAGGTGAGTGTCTGGTGTTTGCTTGTGGTGGTATTTATACTGATTCTTCGGGCTGTTAATGGTGAAATTTTGGAATTGACCTAAAGACCACTTGTGCCACAGTTCGAATGATCAAGTTTTTTTGCTTTTTTTATGTGACAAATTAATTTCATCTTAACATTCAATTTAACAACATAAGTTTGAAAACTGTACTTTTTTTTATATCAACAAGGCTGTGGTATCAGGGAAGACAACTCCAGACACCATCTCTGTGTTTCGAAGTTGGGATGATCAGCTTTCCATCAAAAACAAAAATCTTGGAGACAAGAAAATCAAAATCAGTGTTAAAGGTAAATTTACTAGTAACATTGTATTTGTAATATTGTGCATGCTGCATAAAATGTAGATATTTTAAACTTAAAACTCAAATATCATTGAATGAATTTCAAGGCAACATTGAAAAAATGTTCTGTGTGTGATCTTTACTGAGAGTTGCTATTTTTAATTTGGACTGGTAAGGTATCCAAGATGGCCACCGAAGCAGCCTTGATTAACGATAGTTTGAATTATATCTCCAGCATTACTGAAACTTTAATAAAAGTTTTATCTAAAAGTTCATCATTGTAAGATCACCATAGCAACAGATTATCTGGTTATAATGTGTAATGAGGATTGGAAGTTTGCTTGGCCTCATTTTAATTTGATGAATTAGCATAATCATTTTAAGGAAGAAAAGTGAAAAATATAGGTCTTTTGATAAATTTTCTACAGATGAAGGGGGATTGAAGGAAACAGAGACAGAGAGTGCTATCTGTTGTTGTCTCACAGATGAAAAGATCATCCAGTTGTCACAAATTGCACTACAGGTAAATCTAGGTGATATAATGATTGTGGGTGGTTGTGATTTTGTCAACTTTTCACCTTTTATCAATGTAATTTACATTTATCTACTTTCTTAACCATCATCCTGATAATATTTAGGGCCCTGTGTAGAGATACGATTGCCCTGTAGTATTCTGCTTGTCCGTCCATTCATCCGTTCATCTGTCTGGTTTTGTTTCCTACACAATGACTTGTATAATTGTATTTGTTGTCAGATTCTCATAGATTTTGATGTTTGGCTTTATATTCATGAGACCTGACATAAGTTTGATAACCAGTTAAGTCTGTTGGTATTTGCAAGAGTAATGAGACTTTGAATGATAAAAATCGACCATTTTAATACTTTTCACAAAATAACTTGCATATCAGTAATTGGATGGACTCCCAAATTTTGTATGTGTGGTCATATCAATTAGACTACACATGAGTTTGATAACCAGTGTCATCCATCAATATTTGCAAGAATTGTTGGACTTTGAATGAGAAAAATATACCACAGGTGAATTCCCTTGTGTCATGTCAAAGGTGAAGGTCAAATTTCAAATGTTTTGTTATAACATATTTTCAATCAAATAAGAAGTTGCCAGATTATAGGTCAAAGGTTACCAGGTCAAAGTTTGAGCTTAGACTTTTTATTTCAACAGTAAATATTTTGCTAAGTTACCAGGTAAGATAATGAGAATTCACCTGACTGAAGGTCAGAGTCATCAGATCAAAGGTCAAGGTCAAATTTTGTATCTTTTAACAGCTATTTTGCCATGACATTATGAAGCAAAATTGGTCACTATCAAACAAGGTTTCAACTGACCAAAGTTCAAGGGTCAGACACATAGCCGAGGCCCCTTTCTGATATACATGTATGTCAGTATTCTACTTCCAACTTATATCAATTACCCTTGTTTGAAGCCTGACAGTGCATATAATGCAGTAGGAAACCTAGGGGAAAACTTTGTGGTCAAAAGGTTACCCCATACCTTTCACAGCCGTTTGGGGAATCAAACCTGTACACCTGGTTGGAAGCCCTGTACATTACCACTATATCACCTTGACTATCACATTTTTATAGTTCTCACTGTAGATTTGTTAAAAATGTTTTCTGTTGATAAAAAGATATGGTTGTGGCATATGTAAGGCTAGCTACATGTATAAGTATTTTTTTCATATTTTTAGATTGAAACTTACTTTGGCAGTCCTAGAGATATTGAATGGGCATTGTCTGCTAACCAGTTTTATCTTCTACAGGTAAATACATTTTATATCTATCACCTATCCTGTCATCACCCATAACATATGTATATTCATGATAAGTTTTATTTCATACCAGACTGAAACTTAAAAAAGATTCCTGTCAAATCTTATTAGAAGTTCGTACAGATAATTGTATTCGCATGGTAGTCACAATATTTCTGTAAAAAGTTAACAAATTTTTTGGAACTGTTTGTATGATATTGTTCATTCTGTTTCCATGGTAACTTTCAGGCTCGACCAATCACAACACTGGATCAGGACACAGACGAGGACTTATGGTGTGAATTTGATGATGCACTTGTCACCCACAGGGAATGCCTGACAACTGCCAACATTGGGTACAACTTCTTGACAATTTTACGTTTCATAGCATTAACCTTTAAAATTTGTATACCTGTATGTTAACATTTACCTCTACATCATCAGTACAACAGTTGTCATGTTTAGATTATCGTAAATGCAATAAACATTGAATTCTCTGTATAAACACAAGGCATGGTGATTCCTCAACCACACCACAAAAGAATGAAATGACAGGCCAAACAGGAAAGATATTGTTTTGTCGGAGAATTATATATTGTAGACAAAGATATTACACAATTATCTGTAATTTCTGAGTAACATGTGTTGTATTAGATGACATAGATAATACACAGTTATCTATAATTACCATGGTAACTTGTGTTGTATTAGATGACATAGATATTGCACAATTATTTATGGTTTCTATGGTTGCTGTGACCTATTTTCCTACAGGTACGATGGCTTGGTGAGTTGAGCTTTGTTTTCCTATAATTTGTGAATTGTGTTACCACTTTCCGGTATTGTATCTGTTTACTAGTGATTTTCTCTTCCCCAGGGAGATGATGCCAGGGGCAGTAACCCAGCTTACTCACTCTGTGTTTTTGGATGCTGTCCTAAGAGGCACAGGGGTACTATGACAATGCAATATATTTATTGATAAAACTGAACATTATTGGTACCTATCAGACTGTAGGAAGGCTTATTGATAAAACTGAACATTACTAGTACCTATCAGACTATAGGAAGGCTTATCATACCAATTGTAGGAAAACTATTTCATTGTAGGCTGATTTCATAGACCTATATAAGATAAATATCAACACAACATGTTTAAAGTTATCTTAAAATTGGAATGTTGGCTACTGTAAATCACATACACAGGGAAATTTGAATCGCGAATTCAAATCCCTCATAATAGTTGATACAAAATCAACTCTGGTTGGCATTAATGTTGATTTGGTTATTGATATCGGTGTCTTGTAAAGTCCAGTTCTCTAAAAGCTCTTTATTTGGGAATTTAAAGTCATTTCTAGATCAGCAGTAACATGATTATGTATTCGCAACTATGTCTGAAGAGGTAAGTTTACGAAATGATGTATTTGCAAAATCTAGGTGACTTACAGATTTTTTTTTAGTTTGTTTTTGTTTTTATTTGTTTTTTTTCTCATTGATTATCTTTGTAGTTTTACTAAAAGAAATACGTTGTTTGCAAAAGTTATGTAATGGACTGTTGCTGCTTATATCATTTTGCTATTGTCTGCATGAAAAGTTATGGAAGCAAGACTATGATGGTACATTTCTGATGGTGTTATACAACATTAACCAAACTTAGATTATAGTTAAATCACATTGTGGAAACCTTAACGTACCCATCATTTACAAAATATCTTAATTATTTCTTTGTTCAACTCTTGAAAGATAGGGATGTTGAGATGCTCGACTTAAAATTTCGCTTTTAGCTCAGTTTCTAAGAACAACTGCTCTTTCAATCAAAGTTAGAAGATAGTGATATTGAAGTAAGGATATCTGAACCCTCCAAATAGATTAATTGAATTTATTTATTTTTGTTTGATTGTTTTGGACAAATACTTCAGAATTTCAAAAATACCTACAAATTTTTTATGATGTTTTCTTTTTACTTAATGTTAATTTGATACTGACAACGTACTTTAAAATGTCAGACAGTTTTCCTCTCCCATTACTGGAGTAGCGATGTTTTTGGGGTAAGAATGCCATATTTTAGTGAATTTTTAGAAATGAAGAACTCTCTTGAAAATTTCAGTATTAGAGATATGAAATTTGTAATTGTGAAATAAAATGTGCTCTACAACTTTTCATTGTGTCCCTGTTACAGTACCTAGCCAAAGTGATGGCTGGTGGACCACACATACGATACCATGCCAAGGCCTTAATATTCCACAACCAAAGATCATTCATCAACATGAATGTAAGTATCTTACACAGAAATAATACTGAATCCATACCTAAACTTAAAGATGTTTCCTAAATCATATTTTAGTGTTTGAAAGTGTGAATATGTTGTTTTTGACTGTAATTTTATTTTAGCACAGTGATGAAATGTTAAAATAAATATGTTTACAATATCAAAGGTTTTATGAAACACCAAATTTAAGCACATTTTGAAATCATCTTCGTAACATTGTGGACATTCAATGTTATTGTAGAAAATGTGTTTGATTAATGCTAAGCTTAGGATATGTGTAAATGAAGCTCAGGTGGGTTTAGCCCTATTTTCCTGTCAAGCTAGATATTAAACTCTTAGAGCACAACTGGTACAAGGTTTGTACAGTCTCTCATAAAGATTCTTTGTAACATCACTCCTCAGTACCATGTCTGTCATTTAGGTAAACTGGTTATTGTTTATCCTTTATATTTCCAGTGGTATTTACTTTCATGCTAAGTAGCAGAGAGTAGGAGGGTAAATCCTGAATTCAAAAACTTTCTGACTATTTGTACGAAAATAAATTGATTACACCCATGCTGATTCGATCAATGATAAAAATCTAATATCTCATTATTTGCAAATTTAATGTCATATTTAGATCACTGTTTGCGAAATCATATATTCGCAAATATGACTGAATAGGTTAGTTTGTAAATTAAAGTATTCATGAAATCTAATTGATTCACAGTATCAGGAAAATATCAATTTATCAGTGGCTTAAAGCAATCCTCTACATTTGTATGGCCTTTGACCTCTTTCTGAGTATAGGGAACTATTTTTAGTGTTGACAATTCTTGATAAATATTTTTATCAAACTCTAATATTATGAATGAGATTTATATTTATACTAAAGATATATTTATCAGCAATTAAACTGTCTTCATCACTCTTGAAAGTGTCTGTTTTTTTATCAAGCTTGATAATTGTTTGGCAAAAGAGACAGATGTTTTGAAAGTTTGCAAAAATTAAGTTTTCATTCGCTGTTTCTGCTGAAAATAATCATCTTATCATAAAAAAAATTGATAAATCCAGTGATGCTGATATATTTATCATCCAAAGGTGGTTGGTTTGATAAGTATAAACAATATCGTGGGGAAACTAGAGGCGGGCCAGCTGAGTATTCTGGGACAGACTGTGGAAGATCTCACACTGGAGGAGGTAAAGGAGTATGTGGGAAAGCAAAAGACATTCTGGGACAGACTTAAAGTCTTTATCCGTTTCTACACAGTAAGTAGAAAATAAAATCAGGGTCATATTTTTCGCTCATTTGGCATGGATTGTCTACAAGCTTAAGACATCTGTCTTCTGTTGTTTTTCAGTGTTTTCTTTAAGTTTCTTATTTGAAATTGGAAAACAGAATTATATACTCATGTAGAATGGTTTTGCGAGTATTAGCCTAGGATGGAATCTTAAGTCCTCAAACTACACATTTTTATTCTTGTCACAGACAAGGCTAAAACCTGTAGAAAAACCAACAAAATTTGACAATTACTGCTTTGAAATTGATGGTCTTGGTAGAATTGATCCTGTAAACAGGCAACCATTAAAATAATGATGGAAAGCCTCTCACAACAAAAGTTTTTATATTTTCAAGTGTTGATCTATGAGTAATGATTCCAATGAGAATTAAAAGACAGTATTTAGTCTTTGTATTTTGACCCTAAATGTCCTTAAATGAATGCGTTTTCATACCTACTTTCCTTGTAAAAACACCAAAGGTTACCTACAACAATTAACAATTAAAAGTTTTAAAATAAATTTGGTTTTCTGGAAATGTTTTATAAGTTTCATTTGATTTCTTTGGCAGATAAAGAACAGAGATATCAAGGATTTTGAGGCCTGGTATGATCGAGTAAACAGCTACAGAATCAGTAAAGACGTACAAGATGCTCAGAGTCTGTACTTTGCTATCACGAATAAACTTCCAGATTATTACCGAGTGAGTGACAACAAAGATCGGTGATCTGTATGATTTGATTATTTCAGCGTTGAAAAGATGATGTCAGATATCTGTTGGGATATTTTACCCTGCAACCCTGTACCTCACTACAAATATTTCATTATGTGCAACTGCACAATATGACGTAATAAGTACTTTATTTTCTTGATTCCTCTGCTATTTAATTTGTGTCCAAAGTCATTCTATTGTGTTGCGTCCTATTCGGAATTGATGTCATATTTTTGGGGCTGTGATAACTCGGTTGGTTAGAGTGTTGACCTACATAACCACAGTTGAAGGTCAGAGAAGCATGGTATGACGCTCCTTCATCGTGGCAGTTTGTGTTCCTCAGGAAGCTGAGAAACGGACCAATCTGTGCTGTCGTGGTTTTGTCCTTAGGGAAGACACTTTCCTGAATTGCTCTGAATGGCATGCAACGGACACCAAGTAGATTTCTAGAGCAGTAGTCGCCAGCTACTTCATGACTCCGGTTCTTTATGAGGTGATAAAACCTGCAAGCAATTTCAGGATCTCGCAAGAAATCTGAATTATCGTTACCTCACATAACATCAAATTTTACACCTTTTCATACTAAGATGGTTGTTAATCAAGATTAAAGTGTCAATTATTTAAAGAACATGTTTGACACCTTCTAAAAATTTGTCAAACAATCCTCATTTTTATATACATGAATACAGTCGCGTTGAACATGTGTGACAGATTGATATTGAAATGTTGATAATTTTCCTAATTAATATAAGAATTTCGTGTAGCAAGGTAATGATAAAAGATTTTTTTTATTTTGTAGTTGTGGAGAGGAAACATCGTAAAGAGCTCAATGTCTGGTCTCTGGTCCAATGTAGTGGCTGGAATTCTCTCTAAAGGGAAGTCAGGTCAGTAGTGAGACAGAACACAGGTTCTATATCTCAATCTTGACAGTTTCAACACTGAATTGTAATCAAGAAACAGAGATATATAGGATTTGACTTACTGCTGTTTCCTTCTGTCTTTGATTTCTTCATAGAAAATGTCCAATTTTGATTTTAAAAGCAGGGTCATAAATGGTCACTCTCTAGTCCCTCAGACTTCACAAACTCAGTCTAATTTCAGTGAAAATTTTGTTTTGCCTCCCAGTTGAAACAAGGAATTATCATTAGTAGAGAATGAATTATCATGTTGTGTCTGAGCGTTTATATAATGTAGAATATGACCTGCTCAATTTGTTTGATTTCATTGAATAGTTTATAAAGCTCTTCCTTAGATTTCGCAGTTTGGTTTGACTATGAGTTAATCATATCATACGAAAGAATTTTATGTAAGTCAGAATTGTCACTCAGTCTGTAAGATATTCATTGCATTTTTATTATTTTTTTTTCAAATTTAATTATGATAATTGAAATAGAATTTCATTTTTTGTGTACTTTGGTTTTTAGCCCACCATTTTGTTTTGTATCCTTGATTTCTGATTTTGTATAACTCAACTTGCTATGTAAATTGGATTGCTTTGTATTTAATGATGTTAGTAATAAAAAACTATTGTAGACTATCTCAGGTTCAAGTGTGAACTAAGAATTTTGATAAGGGGAGATAATTCATTTTATCTACTGTCTTTCAGCATATACCCCAGAGAACTTAGCAGATATGGCTCTTCTATTGTCAGAATGTGAGGAAGTGTATAGTGCAGAAGTACCAACAGCTATGCAGGTCAGTGGTCCTCAGACAGTCTGCTGACATAAACACTCTGTCAACTGTAACATTTAGATCAATATTATTAAAAGGACGATTTAATCAAGTTTTATAAAAAATTTTCATGTCAAGAAATCTTTAATGACATTGTAGTTCTATACTCCTTATGAGCTAATCATGGCCTTTTATTGGCACAATATGATGTTTTCCACACGTTTTTAAGTAAATTGTAAGGAATTCTTAAACAGAAGGGTACTTTGACCTCACAGACATGCACAAATCCACTTGAGAGGTCAACAAAAGTGGCTTTCAACCTGAAATGGGAGCTAGTAAAACAAGTCACACCATACAGAGACACAGTAAATGGATGTCAAAAATCCTAGGATCACTGTTGTACAAGAATATGAGAGATGGAACATGTATGAAACGTATTTAGGTTAATCATAACCCAGAGAAAGATATGTATTACTGTGTCATCACTCTGTTCTTCCATCACATGGATTTGTTTATAATCAACTGTGTTCCCACCAGAGGGTGCATCATTACATACTATATGACAATTTGTGCTATATTTGGCATGGACTTTCCCAAAATTTAAACTGACCGCCTGGACATTGACAATATAACCATTACATGATTATTTTGTCTGGATATGTATATTTTCAATTCTACTTGAATTTAATAAACGTTGGTTGTTTAAATTGTCCCTTTAAGTTGAGATGGGAGGAAATGGGTCACATTATGGTTTTTTAGGATATCGATATCTTTGAAATTTATTTGCTAATAACTTTAAACTTTTAAAGGCAGTTCACTCCTGTTTAAAATCTGTTTCAAGGTTGACTACCACTTTATAAATTATTGGAATAATGACACTTGGTGAATATGTGTGCATAACAAAATACATGTACTAAAATTCTATATAAACTTTACCAAAATGTTTATACACAACACATACTTAACAAGGTGTTTTAAGATGATACAAAGAATTTATAACAGTTTTATCAGTAAACCCAATCCTTGAGTTGATGGTAGTATTTCCTGTTCAAAACCTCAAAGTGTCAGAATATTGGTACTTGTTGAAGTGTAGCCTCATAATGGTACAAAACTGTATTCTTTTGACCGACAGGAACTTGCCAGAGAAATCAGTGCTGTAGGATTAACAGACGAATTTCTTACCGTCAGCGATGAAGACTGTGTTCAGTTAATGACGTCCGAAAAGTTCCCAAAACTGAAACAGAAATTTGACACGTTTATTTCACGACACGGTCATCGTTATGTAAGAGAGGTAAGCTTAAATTATCCAGGACTTTAGTATTTGATCAACAGGTACCTCAGAATGGTTGCTGAAATGTTTCCTGATATAAATGAACTTGACCTTGAAGAAATTTCCCTAATGCAAAATATACCCTTTCAATATCACAGGAATCACTTATATGTGAAAAACCTTACATTATTTCATAAAGAATTCCTATTGTATAAACTAGATAAATATTCCTTTTTTCATGTGAGTGTTTCAGGCTTCATTGAGATTTCATTGATGTTGGTACATGATATAAATATATATATGTTAAAACCTTGTTATCTGAAATTCATATAACATGAAGACTTCTCGTAATTCAAAGTATGTTGATATACCCGTCTAAACTTCACACCAAACATTTGACAAATGTCGCTTAAATTGAATAACCAGATAACTTAAAGTTTTCCTATGGTCCTGCCGACTATGAGCTAATGAGGTTTGAATAGACTGTGAAAAGAAGCAGTTATATTGATAATGTGATAAAATTAAAACCCAAAAGTATTTTTAGGGTCACTTTTACATAAAGTTGTCACATGGTGTTTATTACAACAATCAGACATCAGAAGTACTATTGTAAATGCTCTGTTTTTACTATACAGGCTGAATTCTTTGAGAGATCGTGGCGTGCCAAGCCAGAGAGATTGTCCTGTGTATTGAAGGTAATATTTTCTCAGAACTTTAATTTTCACATGTCTGTGTACTGAACTAGTCTTAGACTAGAGAACACTTCATTGGATACTGTTAATGGGATAACTGTGATTAATAGACCTTTGCATTATATTACATGTATTTTGAATTGATAAAAACAAATCCTGTTTTTGCATTATTTGAATCTCATTTGATATTCATCATGGCAAATTTAGAAGATTTAATTATTTATTTGAATGCCTCCCCCAAGATTTGAACCTCAACCCACTGGTTTACTAGCGCTACACTCAACTCAACTGCTAGTGAGAAAAAATCCCTGTAGTTGATCAGTGTATTGTTACTAGTTTTTACTGGTGTTAAAAATTTGATCAGCAAAATTATTTGTTTGCCTTTGTTGGATATATCATGAGATGGATGTTAAATTATAAAAATTTCCATTCATGAAAAATGATTGACAAGTTTCTTGCAAGTATGAGATTGTTTTAATGGCATTTCATTGTTTGGAGCATTTTGTGTTACCCTTGTACGTCATTCTGCTGTCATAACAATTCTGCTCGTTTACTAAGTGAGGGATATAGATATGGAACTGTGATTTAATATGTAGTGGTACATGCAGGTCAAGTTCTGAATTGGATGTGGTCAATTTACATTTACCAGAGTTATGACGAGTCAACTTGTAGAATTTTAAATTAAAGATTCACAAAAATAGTAAGACAAATATTGAAGAGCCTTGCTAACTCCAATGAGAATTTAAAAACAAACAGAAAATTCTGCAGGCAGAATTTTAACTTTTTTTTAGATTCCTTACCATAGATTTTCTAGGCAGGACTTAAGTCTTATTTCATGAGTACACCACTTTGCAACGTCAGTAACACTTAAAAAGTTCCACACCTCTCCATGGTATCTACAGGGACATTTGTGTCACTTTTATACACCTAGTATGCTAAAAGTTAAATGGCACATTCTGGTAGCATATACCCTTAACTGTCACAAGTTAATTTTACTTCTTACAATAACTATATGCACATTTTTATTCTGACAGACGATTCTGAAAACCAAATCATTTCAGCACAAGGAAAAGGAGAAGCTAAGTCTTACTGAAATCTTTGAAAAGATGCAGACTCCGATTAATTGGACAACTAGGTAAGAAACTTGTGTATTTGTATGAATTTTTTTCTATAAGTAAAGTTGTTTTCTTTTAAAGACAAATACAAATGGATACTATTTATAGATCTTTTTGTGAAATGGACGGTGACTATAGGGTTCGAGTGGTTGTGTATAAATTGTAAGGTTTGAATCCTACTACGGCTGTTGTTTTTTCCTTTTCTCTTGAGATGAAGCAGATTAATTTTGTTGTTGCAGACAGGTGCTGAAGTGGATTGTACCAAAGGCTAGGAAGGCTGTTGGAGACCGGGAATGGGGCAAGGTAGATAACTTCGTACAATGTATACAAATACGAGATGGTAATCAAGGAAATGTTTTGTTATATCTCTATTTTTATCAACAGTTCTAATGATAGTTCATATATTAAATACATATATATAGATGAGCCTGTATGTGTTTCCATATGAGATTTCTTTGTTTTATCAAGATTTAACCAAAATCTCTTATGAACTGGGAATGATTGTAAAAAGATGTGATGAGTTTCATAAATCATATATGAATTAGAAACAAATTAAGGATTCTTTTTATCACACTTTAACAAACATTCATTTTTATAGACTGAAACAAAATCTGAGACTGTGATATTCTCACCTAACTATGTATTACAAGGCATAGGATGTCTTGAAGTATCACAATGAAAGCAATTTATTGGAACTTTTAGCAAGGCATAGATATGTTAAGTTATTTTACACATTGTGTAAATACTTGTAAAGAGTGTAATTGCTGATGCCCTATATATATGTTATCCAAACAGGTGATATTTTATTAATGTCTAGTGATCCATCCATTGTCCGTCTGTCATGTATCATAAATGGTTTGTTATTGTTGTTTCTTGAGTAGTACTGGATGGACCTTTCTCAAATTTCATATGTGGGGTTTTGTTGGTCCCTTGTAGTGTCATTTATATATGACTGATCAGAAAAACAAAATGTCATGTGACCATCTTGGATTTGACAATTGAATATGATAATCGCTTTTTCTTAAGAGCAATTTTCACATTTCATAAAATCAAAAATGCAGCTAAAAATAAAAGGAAAAGAAAAAGATTAAATTTTTAAAGAACAAATAAAGCCCCAACAATGATGGACGCAAAGAAACTTGTGGTTACAGAATTATTCTGTGTCTGGGATAACTCCTACTGTCTTCTGGAGCCTGGGTACTTAATCTTAAATCTTAGACACACTTAACTAATGATATCCATTCTACTGACCTCTCCTATTGGTTTTCAATGCTTCTATATACTTTTTATAATATCCAGAATTATTGAACAGTGCACATAGAAAACAAATCAAGACCGTCTGGCTGATTAAATTTGTAATGTACTGATATTGGTTAATTTTATTTCATAGTCTTTGGCAGTAAAAGTCAGTGACATCTTTAAAGAAGCCTATTGGCAACTAGCAGAGCTACTGATGAAAGAGGTAAGACCCTGGTTGTATAGGCTAGAGTTACTTTCATTAAATCAGTGTTAGAATACTTTTTAACTGAACTGAATCAGCCATATCAGGTCTGACAATTTGACATCAGGTTTCCTCACTTTCAAGGGAAACTAACCGCCTTTAGTTCTGCACACAACTTTGCTGTGTTTGATATGAAGAAAAACAATAATGGATGTTTGATAAGACAGGAACAAAAAGGAATTTATGTTTTTCTGGGACAGAATTTTTCTCCCATTCTTTAAGGCATGGCAGATTATGATAAATTATGGAGTTGTCTCCCATACCATTGTAAGCTGTAAATTATCTCTAATGCTGATGTGTCTTCTGTACATACATATATATGTAAACAAATACACATGAGTATATATATATCTCTGATCCTTAGATTTAAAGAAGGGCTGTCCACTATTCCAAAGTGTAAAGGTTTTCTCATAAGACTGTTAAATAGGAACTAAAGGTTGACATGCCCTTTTATGACTTGAATGGAAAATTATATCCAATTATTTGATTCCTTTTGTAATTTTCAGGGTAGACTACCTGAAAAAGAGCTCATGTTTTTCCTGACTCATTCAGAAATTGGGAAATTGCTGAAAACACGTTCTCCAAGACTCATCACAAAGTAAGTGACATTCATACTGATACTGACTCCTGTCCACACTTAGTATTGTAACTTATTTATCTGGAACATAATCAGTACCAAGGATAAGCTGACAGTGTGGAGACTGTTGCTGGCATTACTTTATCTTGTCTAAAATCATTGTTTTCATTCAAAATCAGTGTTCAGGACAATATACAAATATTGCATTTTCAAAATGATTGTTTTCAAATCAGTAATTTCCGTTTTAGGACAATATTGACTTGTTTGAAATCATAGGTTTCAGTCAATTTCCTTTCAAGGGCGATATCATATTTTTAAAAATCGTTGTTTTCAATACAATTCTATTTCAGAGCGATTAAACGAAGGAGACTTCTTCCTAAGATGATGGACCTTAGTTTTCCCAAGCTTCAGTCAGGAATACCAAAACCGGTAATATATCAGAATTAGTCATGTGATATTACTGTACTTTTTCTATGACTTTTTCTACTTTTTCTTGGGTTGTTTTGAAGTCTACCTATGTTCAGTTTTGTGTGTCACACAAAATGGGGTTATTGAAAATGTAATGGGAATTGATTACAATACATATCATTTTATAAAGAAATTAAATTTTCTTTGTAATTGGAGTTTATATTTTATATGGTTTTTTTTCTGTCATGAGAGAAGCTTTCATTAAGACTATCAAATTTTCCTGGAAGTCAGTGAACCATCAATCAGTAAAAACATTGTACTTCACAATTACAAACCTAAAAATCTGTTTTAGCTGCCTTGTCAGGTACTTTAGTCAACAAGCATTTCAGTAAACTCTTTCTCCATTCACAAAACTAACCGGAAAAAGAGCCTTGGAGTCAAAATTGACATAGATTACCTCACAAGAATTACCACAGGATACTTATTGTACACCAAACTGCATGCATTGTGCTTCATTGATTTCAGAAACACTATATGATGCCATATTTGTTACTTATTAAAAGCAGTTGTAAACTTTAAGCTTAACACTGATGCATGCCTGGAAATGTGATATGCTTGTCCCTTGTTAATGTCTTTTGTCTAGGAATTAAACAAGGGACTGAATCCTTGATCAGTTTTATATATTATGTACTTTTGATTGATATGTGATTGAATATTGATGTACAGTATACCGTTTTCAAGCATGAATTTGTGCCATGAAATGTGTTAATGTGATAATGTTCTATAACAAGCAAAAATCTTTAACATTGCAAATATTTGAAACAGTAATTTTCACAACATAATGTCTAATTTCATTAATTACATCACCAAAGAATTGACCTCATGTACTATTTCTATAAGTGTTTGCTTGCATGAAGAACCTTCTTTGTTTTCTTTGATATGTAGAGTTATTGCCCTTGATTTACCAAGACTTCAAATTACTTGAATTTTTGTTTATTGGCTTTCAACCTTTGTTATCATGTTAAGTCAGTCATCAATTAACACATTGTTTCTACCCAAAATTTTCATTGATAACTAAATTGCTTTTCCTTTGAATAATTTATATTATTTGAATGGTTTTGTTAAATTTTTCAATATCTTCATGTTTTATGATAATTTGTACATGCATGGAAAAACTTTGTTGTATAAGATATGTCATGGACCACACAATATATGTAGTTCACTGGGACATCAAGCTCTTTAGATTATCACTGATTGTTGTTTAAGGATGTACACCTCTGATGTTAGGACCAGAAGTAATATATTATTCAATAGAAATGAATTCCAACCAAATATCTGGACTTTTTTTTTTATATACTCATATTAGTACTTAAAAATTGAAAGCAGTGATTTGCATGACATTTTGAAAAAATTTCCTTCATATACTACAATTTTTGATGGTGTAATTGACAGTGTGATTCTGTTAATAGTAGCAACAATTTCAACATTTTCTGGTTGCAACTGTACTTCTCTTGAGTGTAACTCTTGGGAAGACTTCATCTAAATTTTGCATGAATTTTCACCAAAAATCACTTATTTCAAATTCGAGAATTTTGACTTGGTGTCCACTTTCCAAGAAATTCAGGACCCCAAAATAAATATTTCAACTGGTTTCTTGATCTTTGAAAAACTTGCTGTTTGAGTGACAATTTTTCTATCAAAGTTTAAATTTTTTTTAAAAGTTTAATACTAGAAGATGGTCAGATATAGGATTAAAGTCATTTTGGACCATTTTCATTTTTTTTTGGTTGCTGTTCTGTGTAAAACCTGTTTAATCAAATGAAAACTTAGCATATTCACATAATTCTTTTCTAAATATACAAGTATCATATCCTTACTTTGTAATTAAAATGAATTTTACTTTTCAAAAATGTTGCCGCAAAAATAACAGACAGTCTTCAGAAAAAAAAAAAATTAACATAAAAAGAATTGTTCCCTGTTACATGTATTCTGACGCCTGTATCTGAAAAAGTGGTGATCTTTTGCTTTTAATCTATTTTGTAAAATCAAATCTTTCAAAAAATCATCATCAGAAAAAACATGTTTACTACTTATATTTGTTTTTACTTCTCAGAGGAGAACATCCTTATAAGTCAAAGGTCAAAGTTTTTGAATAAGATAGGTTTCATGTTAATGTTGTGATTTATTGTTCGTCTTGTGCTGGTTATGTTCCTCTTGGCTTTTATTTTACATTAAATGACACAAGTGTAATGCCTTCTTAATTTCTTGGTCCAGTTCAGGAGATAGTTTTAAAAGACAACGTAGATATCTAGATATAAAGATTAGTAGTTAAGAAATTTACTTTTGTGAGTTTTTGATTAAATTACTTGCAGATCATGAAAAGTGAAATTGAAGCACAAAGGACTGCTCATTTTACTCTGACTGGTAGGTATAGATAAAATCTGAAATATGTCCTTCCTTGTAAGAAATCTCGAGATTTTCCTTACACAGAAAGTGAAAGAGAAGATACCTTGATAAGTTTAGGAAAAATAAGAGACTTAAACATTCCTATCAAAATAACATTTGGAAAAATAACTTTTATCATATTAATAAAATTGTACACCTGGTAAACTATTGCAGGAGATTTCAATAAACAGGGCCATAATAATTGTACACATGGTCAGAGAAATTATAAATGATTGACAGGCATATAAAAGTCATGACAGATGATTCACTTCAAAACACAAGGAAACTTTGATATATTATCCAAGTTTCAGTTTAAAACAGTACTGTATATATTTTTTTCAGGAATGCCAGTAATGCAGGGCACAGTGACTAGTACTGCTCGAGTGGTCAAGGATTTAGAACAGGCCAACCAAAATATACAGGTCAGTTGATACTATATATGTGTATATATATATATGATCAATGAAGTAAAAATGACAGTACGAACAAATTTGTGAGTCAACCTGTCCCTTTATCAAGACACAGTTATAACATATATATGTAAAAACAGCAAATAAAGTAGTTATCTAATGTTTTCAAACCTTGCAGCCATCTTTGTTTGTTTGTTTGTTTGTTTGTTTACATATGTCTACATAATGATTTAAATAATACACAAAGTCTTCAATATATCGAATTATGTATATATATACAAAGGGGTCATAACAGTCACTGTTCAAAGCTGAATTGTAGAAGTTTAAGTTAGTTGTGGAAGTTGATTAGAAGTGATTGGATGGGTCTAATATGGATGCCAGTGGTGCACATGTTAATGTATTTGTGATAAACACTGATTCTATTTTTGATCAACTTTAAAAAAATAAGAAACATGTATTTTATATAAAAACAAGAATCACTAGATTTTTCGAAAACAAAAACACAAGATTTTGAGCCCACAAAATAACCTGATTTTACATCACTTTACAGGCTGGTGATATTCTAATAGTATCGTACACAGATGTAGGCTGGACACCATACTTCCCTCTTATATCTGGTCTCGTCACTGAGCTAGGTGGACTCTTATCTCATGGTAAGTCAGCTGATTTTTTTCTAACATTTTCTGCAGGTAGGTAATATGTCAATTGAATAGAAGTTCTTATAACACAACCAGTAGAAGATTAGAGTGTGACCAACTTTTTCTGATGTACTGTAATCTGTTTACCATCTCGTCACAATATGATTGACCTTTGTGTACAAAGAGTTACAGTACAGCCGAAAAATATGGTTGATTCCTTACCATCTCATACACTACATACATCAGTGCTAGTACACTCCACACTGGTCATTTGTCTGATGAAGGTGACCATGTAGTCATCAGAACTTCATATTCTAATATTCTTCTAGTTGTGTTATAAGAACTTATTTCCTATCTCATAGTAAGTCAAGGCCATTTTTAGTGATGTTTGGATGGGACCTTTATAAGATAACTTTCATATTAACATATTTTGTTCAATAGTTACACAAATATACTTTTATCTGATGGTAGTTTGTGTGTGTGAATCACTGCCTGGGTTATCCCTCTACTAAGTTAAGTTGAGTATATAAAGTAGTCCCATTGCCTTGCTTTGGTTGGTACATGCCTGAGACTGCTGTTTGTACGTGTATCACATGAACTACTCCACACAAATGTTTGAAACTTTGTACACCATAGTACTATAACCCTAAGTTTTACACCTGACTTAATTAGGGCCTTCATCACGTAGTGACCGATACCCTATAGTGATCTCTCTGTCCATCTGGACGTCCGAGACACATTAGTGTCCACTTCAGAACTTTGTAATCAGTGATAGTAAAGGTGTGACACTATATAAAATTGTTAATCAGTGATAGTAAAGGTGTGACACTTTGTAAAATTGTTAATCAGTGATAGTAAAGGTGTGACACTATGTAAAATTGTTAATCAGCGATAGTAAAGGTGTGACACTTTGTAAAATTGTTAATCAGTGATAGTAAAGGTGTGACACTATGTAAAATTGTTAATCAGTGATAGTAAAGGTGTGACACTATGTAAAATTGTTAATCAGCGATAGTAAAGGTGTGACACTTTGTAAAATTGTTAATCAGCGATAGTAAAGGTGTGACACTTTGTAAAATTGTTAATCAGTGATAGTAAAGGTGTGACACTTTGTAAAATTGTTAATCAGTGATAGTAAAGGTGTGACACTATGTAAAATTGTTAATCAGTGATAGTAAAGGTGTGACACTATGTAAAATTGTTAATCAGCGATAGTAAAGGTGTGACACTTTGTAAAATTGTTAATCAGCGATAGTAAAGGTGTGACACTTTGTAAAATTGTTAATCAGTGATAGTAAAGGTGTGACACTATGTAAAATTGTTAATCAGCGATAGTAAAGGTGTGACACTTTGTAAAATTGTTAATCAGTGATAGTAAAGGTGTGACACTTTATAAAATTGTTAATCAGTGATAGTAAATGTGTGACACTATGTAAAATTGTTAATCAGCGATAGTAAAGGTGTGACACTATGTAAAATTGTTAATCAGCGATAGTAAAGGTGTGACACTATGTAAAATTGTTAATCAGTGATAGTAAAGGTGTGACACTATGTAGAACTGTTAACTTCTATCAGAAAGTGTGCTGGGGGCCTTAGAGATGGCGTCCATCATCATGTCAAATAGTTTTACTGGTAATCAGTCAGGGTTAAAAGATACAAACTTGTGTGAAAGAGATCTCAACAGATTTTATCACATTTACAACATAATGTCAAATCCTACAGCTGATTACAGTTTGTTGGTCAAGATTAAAGAAACAATTTACCAGTTTTGAAAAGAAAAACATAAATAAAGTGGATGAGGATTTGTGAGACCTTGTTCATGTTGTATGAACTATTTTGTTGCTATGCAGGTGCTGTGGTTGCTAGGGAGTATGGCTTACCTTGTATTGTTAATGTATCCAATGCCACACAGCTTTTCCAGTCAGGTGAGTTTGTAACAAAATTATTATCCTATATCACTGTACAATTAAACAGTATCATCTATTGTATATTAGACTGTGTCCACAAAATTTGCAAACAAATTTATTTTGCAGATGCAAATTTTGTGGTAGATTTGTTGAAATTAAGAAAATATGTCTCACTTATAAAAACAAGATATAGCACATGATTTTTTTTTATGAAGAAATCAAAGCCTGACAATGAACACCAACTTATCAATAAAAAGTATGGAAACTTAAGATAATGAGTCTTGGAAAAATGGAATTATCTTTGCTCTGGTTCTGTTAATTGAAAAAATATGGTAAAGTATACTATTAAATCATATGTCTTTGTGGTGCTCAGTTTTCATGGTTTTTACAGAAATACTATTTTATGGACACTTGATTTTGTGGATAAATGTAGCTTAATATGTCTACATAGACAAATGTACTTATTTGGCAGTTTATGGGCATATAAATTTGTGGATTACCTAGGAAGTCATTGAAAATAAATCTCTCACAAAAATTCCTAATTATACAGTAGAATGATAAATGTCATGTCTCTAACATTTTATTGAATGAGGGGTTTGGTGGGAGAGTGAGGCGGAAAAGTATTACACATGTTTGTCTCTCCCATTGCATCTTATGGCAAAGGATCATGTGTTAAGTCCCATCCTGGTCCAGTCCTGTTCAAAATCAATGGCAAAGATTTGTTCTATATTTACCATCGTACCACAACATCACTTTCTACACCTTTTCATATTGAGGTGGCCATCAGTCAAGGTAAAAGGGTCAAAGGTCAAATTTGACAACTGAAACAAATTTATGAAATATATTTTAACACATTGAAGAAGAAACATTCATGTCTTAAACATTTTCTATTTTATTTTTGATGAATGTTCTTTCAGGAGATTTGGTGAGGCTGAACGGCAAGACTGGTACGATAGAAAAACTTGTTGATGAGGAAAAGATGGAAATAGAAACGCAGGAATGAATAAAAGGTCATAGAAGTATAGAACAGTATAATTATGAAAATCATATTTGATGAATTGTGAGCACAATATTTTTGATACCTGTATTTGTGTGAGAAGTAAGATGTAACAGGCTCTGTAACACTTTTAGTATTGTTTTCTGTAGTCATCAGTTTTATCGTGCAAACTTCAATACTCATGCAGAGTCACCATAGAAAAATATGCAGCATCTTATTAATATTCATTTTGAAAACCTTTGACCTAGATATTATAATATCAGGAGGGAGGGACATATCATACAGCTATTTTCAAGCCAAGAATTATTTTATCTTGTGAGGACAATCCAGTCTTATGATTGGTCAAAAATTGTAGCACAGCACCTGTGACAAGGTCAAATTATTCTGACCTTCTCTGGACTTTTATATATCAGCTTGGAGTTGATGACCTCCAGGCCAATATATGAAAATTGATCTTACATCAGAATAATTTGAACTATGACATGCTAGATTGGGTTATGGGCTGCTATATTCACCTCGTGTGCATGGATTATGTCTGTTTTAGTAAACACCACAATATATCTAGACCTATTAAGAGGTGTTTTGACCAATCAGCATGTGGAAAAGTGAGTAATATAATTGCTAATATTTTAACTTCAGCAGAGAAGAAGTAGGGAAAGGGTGAGTAACAAAAGTTCTAAACTTGGTGTTTTCAGAGTTAACCCTTTATGTCAAACTTGTCGCTTAATAAGTTAAGAATTAAGCTGTACAACATAAAGAATTTATTTCTTTAGTAAAATGAAAATGTCTGAATGCTGCTTTTTCAAAATTTAAAACTTTGAGTGAAATTAGGATTCTTCCTTGTAGATAAACAGACTTGAAAAGTCTCATTTCTTTATCTAGTTAAGTTTTGTACAAATGTATATGTCTGCAGTTTGAAAAACAAAAGTATAAAGAATGAGATGCTAGCATTAGAGGTGAATTTGTGAAATGAAATTTAATTTCTTATGAATATTATGCATCAATTTATTTATCTTTTTTTTGGGGTGTTTTTTTTTGTCATGTTGCTTGGAAATATCAAACAGATACAAGACAAAAGGGAACTTCTATCCTCATCTTTACTAGTTATGTACTTAAAGTTGCATTAACTCATTTTCTCAAAAAGTACTATTACTTAGCAAGCGACTTTTGCCTAAAACAAGATTACTTTGTGAACAGCTCAAATATGATCAATGGACTAGCTGTCTGTTTAATTACATTTTTGTTTTAAAAAGACATGAATTTTTAACAAATGGTGGGAATCAAATATACATTGCAGCAGTAACCTGCAATAATATTTATTCATATCTGACAAAATTATTTTCAGTTTTTTACTGTTAGAGAACTAAAGTCCTTTAAAGAAGACAAAGAAGGGAGGTAATGACATACAAATTTTAGTTCCTTTTCTTCGTCTTCTTTGTTTCTTTGTATTGTTCATATTTGATATAAACAAATGTCATTCTCTTGCCCAAATCACTGGCTGTATCTGGTATGTTATTTCTGTAGTGGGGATTGGATCTTGGTGTCTTTACTGGGTTTCAATCACTTGTGGAACTTGTGTGTTAAACCAAAGTAAAATAACATACAACCTTTGTATACAATACACTGAAATTAGATAAGACTCCAGAAGTCTTTCTGAAATCGCATTAATCAAATCCTTTTTCTCTTCGTGAATTTTTTATTGTATACATGTAATTAAAAAATTGTTTGTGCGTTTGATTTACCTGATGAAAATGAGATTTTTTAAAAATACATTTGTATTATCATTGTATTTACATATATTTGTATGCACTGAATTTTATTCATCATGCTATTTACTTACTAGACATCATATCAAAAGAAATTTATTGATTTACTGGAATTTTTTATCCATTATATTTTAAGATTTATGATGGTTGTTCATCATTTTACCTGCATTTTTTATCCGACAGTCTGATCTTTCAGTTTGAACACTGTCTTCCAATTTATCATTATTTTATCGGGGTAGGATGAAATATGATGTTCAGATGCATAGCTTTGTCATTTAAAAAACATTTAAGAACATGAAATTGCTTACTTGGATTGACCAATAATTGACATGGCGAGTATCAGTGTTGAAAGAAAAGATGCTTACCCTTCTGGAATGCCTGGTCTTATTCTCCTCGTATTTTTTTTCAGGAGTCTTTGTACATCTTGCTTTTGTTCACATTTGCCCTAGTTTCATTGAATTTGAGTTTAAATTAAGTTTCTTTTGACATGTTGGTACTTTCTTTGTTGCTTTTATAATGATCAGAAATTCTTTTAAGGTGATCAGTTCTTAAACCTCAAAAGCATTTCTGCATATTTCATATACCATGCTTTTTCAGAAGCGCAATTCAATAATTTGATTTATTTTATTTTAAAAAATTGTGAAACATTTTAAGAACACTCTCACAAGTGGGTATTCATCTCTGATGAAAAAAATTTTTTTATCATTGACGAGGTACATTGTGTGAATGATATTTGTAAAATTTACGTTTTGATTAATGATTGTATACAATTTACATACCGGTATTTCCTTATTTTGTTTTTTCAATATTTTTTTTTTTTAAAAGCACTTATACATGTATTGAACAATCTTGACTAATTTGTTTTTTCATATATTACAACTCTGTGTTGGACATTCAGCGCAGGACCTTGATTTACTTCGCCCAAATATTCTGTTGATGAACAAATATGTTCCAAATCTGAGCACACTATTTTTCTTTTCAGTTCAAATGTCTTGTCTGGTGGCAATATTTCACATCTTTTCATTAGTTAGAAAAAAAAATAAAAAAAGACTGAATCAAAACCTATAAAAATCATTATACATAAAGTAAAATGAATGATAAAAATGCATGGTTAGTAAGTGTAACATTATACATCCATTGTTTTCCTGTTTGTGATTAAGGTGCTGGAGATGGACATTACAATCGCTGGGCATTATTGATTTCTCTTGGGTTGATGCTATATATCTTATGATTCCTTGTCACATAAATTGATAACATTAATTATATATATGTATATTTAACTAATGAAGTATGTTTTAATCCAGTATGATTTGAAACTTGAGGGTTGATAAAGAACAGTATAATAACAAGAACATGTGCTGCAAGTCATGTGATTAATGTGTTAAAACAGTGTCAATGATTTCTTTATCACATTTCTGTCACATCTCTTTTCCTGGATGTTTATACTTTTTTATGCTTAGACAATGATTTGTTTCTTTTTCTTTTCTAATGCTATTTTAATTGTGTGGACCATTATTTCGCTTTCAAAGTGACATCAGGTTATTTGTGAAATGTTTGTCACTTTTAATTAAAAGTTCATTAAATCTTCATTTGAAATAGAAAGAAAGAAATTTATCATTCTGCTGCTGTAAACTTTCCAAGAAAGTTTCAACAAAAAGAAAAAGAAAAAAAAACTACGGGTATGTAGGTGTTTATTGTGGATTATACAAGAAAGATTATTTTTTAAAAGGCAAAAGGTTCAAATTAATTATTTATTACAATACATTGATAGTTGTATGGTACTTATCAGCTGTGACAAGTTCTTACACTTTATTCAACTATGATCGATATATATTACCTTAATAATTATACCACATATATGATACCGAGTAAGTGATTTGATGTATCAGACCTAAAAATTGTACTTTTTACAAAGCATGGTCATGTTACAGGTCACACAGTCGTTCTGTTATTAAAACTGATTTTGAATCATTACGACCAACAAGTTTACTTGACTGCCAACAAGTTTGGTTTACTTGACTGCCAACAAGTTTGGTTTACTTGACTGCTAACAAGTTTGGTTTACTTGACTGCCAACAAGTTTGGTTTACTTGACTGCCAACAAGTTTGGTTTACTTGACTGCCATACTTGACTGCCAACAAGTTTGGTTTACTTGACTGCCAACAAGTTTGGTTTACTTGACTGCCATACTTGACTGCCAACAAGTTTGGTTTACTTGACTGCCATACTTGACTGCTAACAAGTTTGGTTTACTTGACTGCCAACAAGTTTGGTTTACTTGACTGCCAACAAGTTTGGTTTACTTGACTACCATACTTGACTGCCAACAAGTTTGGTTTATTACTTGACTGCCAACAAGTTTGGTTTACTTGACTGCCAACAAGTTTGGTTTACTTGACTGCCAACAAGTTTGGTTTACTTGACTGCCAACAAGTTTGGTTCACTTGACTGCCAACAAGGTTTACTTGAATGCCCACATGGTTGTTTAACTTGATTGTCTACACAGTGGATTAGCTGTTGTTGACATGATCTAAAATGATCCCATTCTTTTGTGTATCTATTAAACTAACATTCAGAGTAAACAAGTGAATAAAGTTATGTCCATGTTTTCAATTGTTTTTATGATATTTCAGATAATCTGTACTAACATATGGTCCTGTTAAGTTCATAACTGAAAGAATTACAGCAGTAAAGATTTCTGAGTCTGCCTTTCATATTCCTGATACTTCCCCGATTAAAGTGTTGTCCCACAGAACCTCATGTGAAGATCTGCAGGGCGTGGTTTGATGCTCCCTGGCTACACAGTTTGTGTTTCTCAGGAAGCTGTGAAACAGATTGGTCTGTGCTGATATGGTTGTATTCTTTGACAAGACATGTTACCCTTATTGCTGTGGATGGGATGAGATATTCTTGTGTTGTTCAGTGTGGTAGCTACCAGCTACTACAAGGAGACCCTGTCTCAAAATGACACTTACTGTTCAAGGGGTAATAACCCAGCTAAACAAATCAAAAACACTTATCAGAGATACGAAACAGACTCGGAAGAACATTTAAGATTTAGATGAGAAACACATGATTTAACAGAATTTGTTATTTGATAGCATGAATATTCAAATTAATTATTAAAGTTTTTTACAGACTACCACATTCCTTGTGGTACTGTGTGTGTAATTGGAGTGAAAAAAAATGCAAGGCCAAACCATGATTCAAATCCTTATCCATCGATCTCTTGATGGATGGTCTACCAATCAAGCTGTTTGCCGAAAATCGACGAAGTCAAATTATGCTACATTCCACTCTCCTTTTATGAAATATTCTCACCCAATAACAACTATTCATGAACTAAATGTGTATTTACATTATATGTACAAGCCACACGATCACGACTAGCTCCTTTTAGACTTGCTCTGTATCTGTACGTGTCGGGATGTTCATTATGTTGTTGTGCCATTTGGTTTCTTCCTCTTTGGAGAAATATATAGCTGATAGGTCTACAAAAGTCTCATGTTTTTCGTAAAATTGAATTAATCTTGATTATAACAATAGGTTTTCACAGACATTGTCAATAATCAAAACAGATAGAGATAGAAAAAATCAAAAGTGATCAAAGTCTAAAATACTTTATTTATAGCAAATTTCAAACCTTAAGCTACATAGAGGTGCTACAAACACATAAGGCAGATCATTTCATACTTGATAATACAACACATCAGAACCATTGCCAACACAGAAGCAGACATACTCCACAGAATAAACAAGTTGAGTTCTGCATTTTTACCTGATTGTTAACCCCATTTAGATCATTGTTAACCCCATTTAGATCATTGTTAACCCCATTTAGATCATTGTTAACCCCATTTAGATCATTGTTAACCCCATTTAGATCATTGTTAACCCCATTTAGATCATTGTTAACCCCATTTAGATCATTGTTAACCCCATTTAGATCATTGTTAACCCCATTTAGATCATTGTTAACCCCATTTAGATCATTGTTAACCCCATTTAGATCATTGTTAACCCCATTTAGATCATTGTTAACCCCATTTAGATCATCTTAAACATTTTCAAAATAATCTTCATTCACCCATGATAGATCAATTTCAGTTCAAACACACAGAAGACATTGAAATCTTGCAAAACATTAATTTTCACTAAGACTTCAGCAATCACAGACATTGCAACATTTCATAGTCTCATAATTAACATTTTTGACCTACCAGTGATACGCACTTTTGCCCCTACATAAAGGTATGTCTGGGGTGACATAAAAATATATAGAATATTTTGACAGCTTACACATCAGCTTTGTCAAATCCTTATGACCTCGGTTTCCTGTTGAACTAAATTATCTCTTCGCTTAGTGAGTGGAAGATGAGGAAGTCGCAAATTTGGATAGATCACATTCCCTCTCTCAGTATAAAGTTTTTCGCCCTCTGATCCAAGAAGTGTTCGAAGACTTATATTTTTCTGTATTAATTTCTCATAGTATTCGATTCCACCTTCTATTAATTCTTTTTCAACAAAGCTTTGGTCAATTCTTGCATCCCGCATCCTGAGGTAGTTATCCATGCCAACCCTAATCCATACCAGACTCACAGCATAAGTAAATAAATGTGCAAACACCACCATTGGTAACAGTAGATTTGGCTTTAATCTTTTGTTCTTCTGCAATAGGATTTGTATATAATATCCAAAAGTGCCGCCCATGGTTAATAACAGTAAACCTAATCCCAATACAACATTCTGATGATGACTATTCACACACTGAATTTCACGCAAAAATGCGAATATCTTCGCCTTTTCACTTAATATCAAGGATGCTTTAAGGTCTTCTATAGCTTTGATATCTTCTTCCGTTTTAACAGCATCACAGCATACATCTGCTACAGTAACAACACTGTAATCTGATGACTTTGGCAGACCATAAATATATTTGTGGAATTGCTTTACCCATTTTGCTAAAACAGTGCCAGCTTTCTTGCAAAGTGAAATGTCGACAGTCTCAATGTCGTCGGTGTTGGAGTATCGCCACGAGTATGGTACTCCTACAGCACCGCCCAAACTAGTTCGTATGGAACCTACACTCTCTGCTTCTGAACTGATGGTAACATACGGAGGCCGTAACAAGGGAACTGTTCTTCCTGGAGCTATGTGTGATTTCATAGTCTCACTGACAACCTAAAAATATCAAAAGGACAATGACTATTACTGAAATGAAAACTATTTTAAAACACTCTCACACACATGTGTATTGCTATAGATTAAGATTACAAACCAAGGCCCACCCACTAACTCCAAGTAACATGCTAATGAATACTCTTGTATCAGGACAAATAAAAATAGGAAAGTAGAACAAACATTTCCCGATCAAAATGCTATGAAGAACGACAAATTTAAGGTCCTTATGACAATCTCCAGACAAGATTACTGGGAGGCAATAATTTCTCCAAAATCATTTGAATCAAACTCGAGAAAAACATTGTTCATGTATATGGTAATTATTATGCCTCCTAACTTTAAATGAGACTGGTTGAAAACTGAAAAAGCAGACTATGAAGACTGAGAAAAAACAAAAGCAAAAGTTTTTCTGAAAGAGTTGTATTGACATGACATTCAGGAAATAACAGATGTATCTTATGCTGATTAAAAGCATACCAAGTTTGAAAGAGAACGTTGGAGGAGATCTTGGGACAAATAAACATTTAAAACAAACAGACTACACCATACTATAATATGTCTAGTCAAAATGTTTTAGCAGGTGTATAAAATGTAAGGCCCCCTGTGTTTATTTCCAGCTATAAATATTGTATGTTTTAAGAAAACACTGCAATCGCAATATGATCAAGTGCATTTATTTTCACCATTTATTTGTTATGGATGAAATAAAAAAAACCTTTTTGAAGTAAGAATAGTTGCTAAAATTGTTAATCCTATTAGCAGAGAGTTTGTTTAGTAACATGTTCTTGAAATTGATTGCGTAGAATTTATTTTACACTTTGCTGAACAGGGATAAATACTTATTTGATAATATGCAGCATTAGTCATATACATAACTGGCTAGACGCGTTAATTTTGTGGGATTTTTTTTTGGGTGAATACAGAGCACCATTTTTGAAATTTTGACAAGTTCAGTTACATTGAGACATAAGTGGTTCCTCCAAATTTAAGTGATTCCACAGGAAAAGGATAAGATGTCCAGGACTCAAATATTTCAGTCCTAAACTTCATTGTTCAGACCTCTGCTAATGTAACTCAAGGATTTCAGACAGTTAGTGAATTATGAAAAAAAAAAATCCTGTAGTTATTGGCTTCAAATAAACACAATTGCAAAATTGATTGGTTAGGGCCAAGGAAGCTTTGCACAATTCATATGGGATATTTCTGTGTTAGGATTATATAGAACTAGGCACATTCTTACAATATTTAATAGTGTAGTCAACATCTTTTTATGGGCTTGAAGTACAGGAAAGTGTGGTGGACCTTATCAACCTTTCAGACTTAAGTTAATTTTCTAACCTTTCCACATGAGATAAGAACGTACCTCCTGTGACATGCTCAGTGTTTTCTTGTCCACCTCTATAGGTTTACCCGACCTCTGGTGGAGCGAGATGTTTTCCCGTTTTTCATCGATGCTATAAAATGTAAAAGCTCCGATGCCAACCCAAACATTACCCAGAAAAACATGTGCATATGCTGAGTTTGCTCTCCAAAACTCTAAAATTCTGGCAGCCATCTGAAAAACAATATCAAGCATTATTTTTTCCCCTTCTTCAATAATCAGAATCCAAGTTTTTTTAAGTATTTAGTGTAAAATTAATCTCGTAAGAAACATGAAACAATGGTAACACTGCTAAATTACATACATATATCAGTGTTGTCATTTAAAGCTAGATAAGCAGGTATAAGTATTCATAAACTCTGAACCAGATTTATTTCAGAAAATGTATTGAATGATACTTCAACAAATTTATATTCAGTAGGCTATTTTTTAAAGATCATCTTCTCATTTCAAATTTTAATAAAAACACTACAGGTATAACATCAAGCATGCACATTAATGTAGATATAGGATCATACATGAGATTAATAGAAGAAGCAAAGATATTTTCAGAAACAATGTAAGTCTTTTTATCATATTCTGCATGTTTTTCCATGTCATCCTTGATTAATATCTATTCAGAGCATTGTCTGAACTAATCCCTATTGGGACTCCTCTCTGGGACTCATTTATTTCGAAGTTTGACAATAAGGGGGATTGTCAAATACATAAACGAGTCCCAAGGCGGAATCCTCCAAGGGGTCATTTCCAATTTATTCCAGTCATAAGACACTCTATATCTATTCAGATTATTTTCCTCTAGTCTTGTATGAACATCTTAAGCTTTCGAGCGATTCATTAAAAATTACACAGCTGTGAGCTGCTATTTCTGATTTCAATTATAAAGATAATTATTGCTTCTTTGTGGCTACTTCTTTGCTGACATGAGTATATTCATTTCGATGCAATAACGTTTTTACATTATAACAACTGTTTACCATGTGTTGGGCTGAAACTATCAAAATGGTCCTTCAATATATCTCTGAAGTACACTTCATGACGACATAGCATTTCGAGATCAACATCTGACCTTTCCCAATCAATCTTGCATCTACATGTATCTTGCACATGTAAAGGACCAATCGGCGGTTTCAGTGTAATAAGAACGCTTAAGCAACAAGCTTTTAGACGTTTCGGTAAAACAACTACGTAACCCAGACGTACGGAAGCTTTACGACTTCCGCAACAAACAAAATGGCTGAAAAGAAGGACTCGTCTGCTGCACCGTCTAAACAAACTGAGGTTCCCGAAGTTTCTAAAGGTTTGTAATGGACATGAAACAATTAAAAACATGTATCAATCGATTCTTTGAAGGCAAATGAATGCTACATTCTGATAGCATGCGGTACTAGATGTGGAGTGATGTTTTACTGAAAAACTTTTCACATTGTCCGCAAACCGGCCCCTGACTTGAATCAGACAGCTATGATCACAGAAGGCCGGTGATTATTGAAGCGTGAAATATATTGACATGCTTTTTGACTGAGTCAGCATTATTAAATTAATGTCGTGCAATAACTATAAACAATCCCTTGTCTTGAGAGGTTCACTTGTTAACAATATTCTGCAATCCTTATACCGATATAAACAAAAATAAAAAAAAAATAAGAGCAACATTAATGTTGTATGCGTCTAACAACCACCATCCATACATTATTATTTAGCTATCGGGTCGGAGATAAGTCCAGATTCCACTATAGTAGTAGTCCGCTATTATAGCTGTATTTAACAATGTTAACATTAAACAGGACAGGTTGGGTACGTATTTCTAATAGTATAAGTAAAAATTCAAAGAAATCTATCCAAAAAAATGAACAATGCACATAAACCTACGCAGAAAGGATATGAAACATATGTATATAAGATCATACATGTATATAAGATCAATAGCTAGATTAAAAAGGAAATGTAAAAATGTCATCAGATGGTGTGTTCTACATATGATAGCTTAGAACCATTTCAGGCAGTGGTACCACTATGTCTCTGAGATCAAGTTTCTTACATAATTTATGAATTAGACATGTGAAATACTTTTCACTCTTAAACATTTTATGATTACAATAAAAATTCATTAGAATGTTTACGTAAACTTTAATACAAAACAACACTGGCTAGTGTAGAGGTAGCTTTTTATGAAAAACTTAATTTTTTGCCAAGCCAATTACATATACCATCTCTTATCATGATAGTATCTGTGATTGGTTAAGTAAAAATTTTTTGGATCAAATATTTGAGTCCTGGACTCATGCTTTTCCTGTGGGACTTGCTCAAATTTTGAGAACCAACTATATCTCTTAGTATTGGGACTCCTTACAATTTTGGAATGAATGTTCTGTACTCGCTTGAAAAAGAAACCCTACAAAAATTACTGATGTTAGAATTGAGACTACTTCATGATCCTCCGCCCTAGTCTCTGTAGTGGATTTCAGTATTAGTGTACTGACAGATCTCAGAAGTGATTCTGGCACTTCTGAACTTGATTAGATATTTTATGAAAACCTGTGGTTATTACATGTAAATATTCACTAGTATTGTTGTTAATTTTTTAAATCAGGCTACACTAATGTACACAAAGTAATGTGTATTCACCCTAATGTAAATATACTGAGATACAAGTACAGAAAGGGAAAGACAATCCATTAGAAATCTTAAGTAATATCTGTAGCTCTTTCCTATCTCATAGACAGAGAATTTATATGAACTCAGTTCTAATTAGTATAACACTTATAGCCTTATAGATGTCCTATTATGCTTAGAGTAAAAAGTTTTTAAGAACTTGGACGAAAAGTAAAACAGAATAAAAGATTTTAATGTACATTTATGTTAAATCTTTCGTTTTTTTGTGCAGAAACTTTAAATCAGTGGGAGACAGAAGCCAAGGATGGTAAAGATGAAAGTCAGGTGAAACTGGGAGACTATCTTCTGAAGCTTGCTGATTCTGGAATAGAAAGAGAGGAGAATGCTCAGAAAGCTATACATTGGCTTGTGCAGGCATCAAAGCAAGGCAATGATGATGCTACCAAAAAGCTGGGAAAATGTCTCAAAACAAAAACAGGTAGGAACTGAGTTCAGTTAGATTGAACTGCTAAAGCATAACAAAATTATGTTGCTTCCTTTTATCCTTCCAACCCTATCTTTTTTATTTACTCTAAATGTGTTATTGTAACTTTAAAAGAAGCATCATTAGAATTATATTTACCTACTTGCTTTGTTCATAACCCATCTGAAAAAAATCAGAATGGCTGACTGACAGACAGCCATCTTGGATTTAGATAGTTGTAGTTTGTTATGGTTATATTTTACATGAGAAGTACTGGATTAATTAAGGGCCTTTTGTTCAATATTGAAAATCTGACAAGGTTCATTTGACTGGAATTATAGGCCTCTAGTCCAACATAGACCAGATGAGGTTCATTTGACTGCAGTTATGGGCTTTCTGTTAGATACATAATCGGATGAGGTTCATTCGACAGAAAATGGGGATAAGGTTCATTTAACAAGACTTATGAACCTTGTGTCAGATTAAGTATATGACAAGGTTCTTTTGACTTAGAGGTATGGACCTTTTGTCAGATGGGGTTCCATGGGGTTCCTATCAAACTACAGCGTTGAATCCCTCAGAGGACTTGATTTGGTCTTGGGTTCTATATTTATATCATCAGGCCTTTTGTGAGTTGCTGTTTCAGTACAATCTCAAGTTCTAGTGTGGAGTTTTGGGCCTTGTGTCAGCTGGTGCTCTAGATACTGATCTGTGAGAAAAGATATCTTTTTTTTGTTTTTTGTTTGTTTTGTTTTATTTCAAGATTTAGTAATTTGACAAAAGTTTCCTTCTTTTAAGTGAAGCATGGTAAAACATCTGATTTTTTTCAATAAAAACAATAATTTTCTGTCTAGTTATATTATAAACCCTTTCTAGGTTTGTTCCACTTGCATTTTGAATTTGAATTTGAATTGTTCAAACATTAGACTGCATGTATAACTATTGATAAAGATATTGGTGTCACAATAATTGCTCCAGGTGGTCACTGTTCTCATCAATGTAAAATGCTGTGGGAAGCAGGCTATAAATGACCATCGTAAGCAAGTGATACCATCAAATTATACACATACATGTCACTTTATAAGCATTGATTTAGTGTCATTTTTCTCTCATTTTGCTGCTTGAACATGCACATGCGAACTGACACAACTTGAGGCCCCAACTCTGTATTACATGTTCTCAGTATATATGGACCACGGGATGTGTATTGCCCGAGTGAATCTGTGTTTCACTTTACATTTTGATAAGATAATCACATCAAGACTCTCAGAATAATTGTAAGAGTCATAGAGATTTTAACAAACATTAATCTGTTGTCATATGCCTCAATCTAAACTCTCAATACTGATATGTCAATACTACATTTTAACTTCTGCCAATACACAAGTAGACAAACACCTTTTAAGGAGCTATGTTGACATGGTTTCCTCATTTTGATATCCATCATGATGAAGAACTAAATAAAAAAAATCTTGTGATTTTCTAACAGTTAATTAACATGTATTGCAGTACAGTGTGCAGTAATTTATAATTTGATTCAGAAAGTAGTATGCCATTAGCGATCAGTAGTTTCCTGTCTTGCTAGGAAGCATTTAAACTTTGTCAAGATCTTGGGCAATGTTGACTCTGATAGTTCAAACTCTTAATTTATTTTCACAATCAGAATTTAGAATTTGTCCAAGGGGTTAGAAAATTTCTATTTAATTTTGTTTGGACTTAATATTTACTGTACAGTGTATATTAATTCATGAAGTCAAAGTTAGAAGAGTTTATAAACAGAGGCTAAAACTATTGTCATGTGTGTTGTGACGTAAACTGATCTTGATGCCATGTGAGTATTTTCCTTTATTTTCATCTTTCATTTTAAGGCATCACAGCTGAGAATGAAGAAAATGTTCAGTGGTGTGTGGAAACAAGTAACTTTGAGAAGAAAGTGCGGTCAGCATCTTGTGGTCTTTTCCACACCTTGTCAGGGACACATCAGAAAGTGATGTCTTTAGAAGAATATATCACAGCAGTCAAGAAAGTATCAGGGGGAGATGTTTTGGAGGAGAAAGTTCTTATAGCTGCAGGTAAGAAGATTTGGTTCAGATTATTGCATACTCACTAGAAGTAGGAGAAAAAAGGTAAAGGGACCTCAGGAGAACTTAACATGGAGGCCCTTAACTTTTACTATTGTTCTATAAATAATTCACAATCTTGTAACTTTCTGTTTATTACAGCATAACTTTGTTATGATTTCATTGTTGTATCAATGTAAAGAAATCAAACACTGTTTAAATTTTTCTCTGATTATTGATTGTCAGTGAAAGCCACACCTATTTTAAAATAATTGATTTTGGTTGGAAATTTGTTTTGTGTATTCTAAAACCAATTAAAATCCAAGAATATGCCTGTCCACAAAATGATAAGCAGATAAATGTTAACGTAGTTTATAGTGCTTGACAATTTTGTGAGCAAGATTAATCCACAAAGTAAAGTGCTAACAAAGATAATTTTGGAAAACAACAACATTTTCAACTCACCAAAATATATGATTTTGCAGTATGTAAATAGTTAGTTATAAAAATATTACAGAAAATTTGTGTATCTACATGTTGATGGTGCCATGGGAATTTTACCATTTAAAGAAAAGTATTATAAAAGATTGACAAAGGTAATGCCAGTTTATAGGAAATAATACTGCACTTTATGATAAAGAATTGATAAAGGCATAATGATTGTAAAACTGTTATTTGACAATACCATTTTATCATTTTCTTTACACAATAATTCAATTAGGTAAGAAGATTGGTGACAACATCAGTGAAACAGAATTTGCCAAAGTTTTATCAAAAAAGATTCAAGGAAAGATAACTCTGACATCGTCAGAAAAAGATTCCCAATCAGAAGAGTACAAAAAAGCTGGAATTATCAACAAGGTAAGGTCAAAATGTCATATGATGAAGTTCAGATAACTATGGAGTGATCAGATGAAGCAATTGTAATGTACACACTTTTCACCTAACCGTCCATGGTTTGATTCCTGGAACAGAAGTGTAAAGGTAGGGGGGTCACTTATCTGACCACATGGGTTTTCCTGGTACTCTGGTTTCTTCCCACAGTAAGACCTCTCAGGTGCTTATATCTGGGCCTGATTAATATAATTTGCAATATCATGTTCGCAACTGTTGAAAAATGATTTTTCAAAAAAAACATTCAATAATTATGGGTAGCATTTTCCAGTTTGAAATTTAGGTATCTATCATACACTACTCGAAACTATTATGCCTAGAGATTTGAGAATATCACAGTACATGTGTTTTTCTGCATTGTATAGGAACTAATTGAGACTGAATTCTATATCTTGTTTCCAGGTTATCAAGCATCCGAAAGCTACAGCCATGGTTCTTTTCGATGAGGCATTGGAATGGGTTTCTGATGAAGGTTTGAAATTTGGCTGGTCCCTTATTCCAACAAATCAGCTTTACTTGCTTGGTGTGTTTTTTCTGTACAGTTTCATATCAACAAAGCTCCTGTTTCTTGTTATCCCACTCATTGTATTTTACATTGCGATTACCATCATGGTTATCTCGACCTTACAAATGTTCTACAAGAGCAAGAAGTTAAGGGACGCTACTGCAATGGCAAGCATTCTCAAGAATTATGATGTAGGAGTAGATGTTGATGATACAAAGTCACAGTACTCATGGAACTCGTTAACACCATATTTGGTGTATTTTGGTGCCTTACCTTTTTTGATAGTTAGCTTTTCATTGGCTAACAAATTATTCATACCCTGCTCTGAATTGATGATACTCTCTGGCGTGTTGTCTGCTATTTGTTTTTCTGCGTTAAGTGACAGTCATGATCTTATCACACTGATGGCATTGGGATGCAACTTTCTCGCCTCGCTTCCCACATTTTTCCATGCATTTCCTGACATACCGGTCATCACCCCGATCCTACACTTTGTAACAGGTTCGTTATTCTCTATAGAGCTTGGTTATGGTTTTTCTCTGAATTTCGGGATTCCTTCTCTTTCACACATTGTAATTGGTGTATTTTTTATCATCATGGCGATGCAGAAGTCCTTCAATGGTTTGTACCGGGTGTTGATTCCACACCTAATCTGTTACTTCTGGTGGAATTTCATGACGTCACTCTTTCCTTTTACGACCTGGACTGGATTAGCCCGTGCTGGTGTTGGCTATTTGTTTCTTCCTCTTCTCTTTCCGTTTATATTATTAGCCATTTTCGGAGGTTTTCTGTATTTCATTTATCGTCTTTTCCTCACAGAGCTTTTCGGGAAGGTTGTTATAGCTCTTCTGATGCTGTCTGTGCCAATTTTGTTAACACAGACTAAAGCACTCTTTGGGAAAAAGACAGATAAAAAGTATAAGAATGTCAAGACTATTGTCATGGTAATTTTCGGTGTTTTAGCTTTCATCCCTCTAGCCTTTATTCGGCTACCAAGTTTCAAATCAAAGGGGAAATTAAATCTTTCTTGGGAAGACTACAGCAGTATTTGTGTTGATGGACTAACGAGCAACACAGCACCAAATCAAATGCTGTGCAGTCATTTCATTGGCCAGAAAATTGTATGGGAGGGAACATTTGTCGGTTCAAAGGTTACAAAGATTGAAAATAGTGTTGCACCATTACTGAGTAGCTTGCCAGGATTTATTGCAGAACAACTTCGCTGCATATACGGAGAAGAATTTGGAGACTGTGATTCTGATGAAATCACAGAAAAGGAACAACAAATTTGTCAGCTGATGAAAGGGGCAGGGAGAGACTGTCACTTGAAGAAACATGACACTTTCTCATTTCTGGTCAATGTAGAAATGCCAGACTCTGTGATGCTTAATTTGGATGCGGGCGATGGATTTAAAGCAACAGTTGCTGCTTTAGAAGCTGAAGACAAAGTCAGAGTTACAGCAACTCTTCATGATGGCTTTGGGACAAAAGCCTTACATCTGAAGCTGAAACATATTAGTTGTCTGAGCAGAGAGCTGCCAGTCATGGAAATGATTGAAGAAGAAGATGATGATGAAATCATTGAAAAAGCCATGAATGAAGCTGTCACTGTTGCATTTAATTTCTTCTGGTATCCTTTGGTTGAATATACTCCTTAGTTTCTCAAGGCCAAAAGCACATATAGGAATATAATACCTAGAAAACAGCAATATACTGCCAGTATAAGTTACCAAGTTTTGCTGGCATTACTTGAATTATAGTGAATCTAAGGATATTTAGGGCAGCCTAATATACCTAATTCATGTAGATTTTAAAAAGCAAAATCATAATATTTCAGAAATCTGGGTTACCTTATTCAGGATTTTTGATGTTAGTAAATTAAAAATCAGGTGATCTTTTGTCAGTTAATCAGGATCATTACCTGTCATCATCGAAGCTAGATATGCAAACGAGAAATTTGTAGAGGTAATGTCTCTGATTATTTTCATTCGCCAGTGAAATGTCATGTTACATCTCAATTAGAGTAGTTAGTTTTCTTTCACAAGCTAGCTGGGCTATAGTTTATTAAGTGGGTTGTATTAATATATATGTCTTTTCATTGTATGCTAAATGCATGCTGGGTATGTAATTTTCACTAGTCAGTTCTTATGTGTTACTGGTATACTGTCAGAACAAGAGAGATTTAAGCAAAGATGTGAGCAAAGTACCTTAACTTTGATTTATTTTACATGGTTAAAAAGAGGAGATTGTTTTTGATATCAGAATTTAATTAATTCAGACATCAGTGCACTGAAGAAATGAATGGTCAGCTGTCCTTGAATTTTGATCTGAAGTTTGGATGTAATCCCTGTAATTCTGATGCTAAGTTGACTTTTAATTTTTGTTTTTATATCAGTTTTTAGATGGTATTCCTCATAGCCAGAGTTAGTATTTGTCAATATGCAGTGCTGGCCTTCAATTAAAGATAAAGGAAACCAGTGCACAAGCTGTTATCATCAAGACGAGTTCTTATTTTACATAGAGAAAATAGCATTTTTTTTGGTAATGGTACTCAACAGCAATACATATTAGTGGGTTTATGACTAGGTATTGGCTTACTGGCAGATAATTTTGGAAGTTTATTTTGAAAGAGCCAAGGTTTATCCTACTTTTTTTTTTTTTTTTTCTATTTTTCTTTTTGTATTGTTTTGAAGTATTTTGTATTAAGGACTTGATTAAATTGCCTCAGACTGATACCTTTGTTTGATAAACAAATCATGTTTTGTTTTAATGATTTTTGTATACGTTTAATTAATTTCTGTATGAAAGTATCAAATAATATATTTCATATTTCGAAATTGCATGTAAAATTATTAAATATATTTTTTAGATATTGAATTTTTGGGAAAAGTCTGGTTAAGAGATGTTTCAGTGATTAAAATGTCGTATCTATGCAATTATGAACCCTTTGTATAGCATTTCAAGATGCTGAAATATTGTGATCAATGTCTCTGTATGAACTAACAAAGTCTTAAATATTTCATTTTTATTTACTTGACTATGTGTACATGAACACAATGCCTTTACTTTTCTCAAATACAAAAAAAAAATTGTCTCTTTTTGCATACTTTATATGGGACCCATCGTCTTCGACCTAATGTCTAAATTTCTCCTCAAGATGTCTATATAATAGGGACCCACTGTCAAAAAATTTTCCAGATTACATTTTATCTAAAAATACATCAAGATTTAAAGTTTCAAGTCACAAGAGTAAGATTTCTTGAAATTTTTTTTTATGTAAAAGTGACATGCTTTATCTTGTTTTGTATACATTATTGTATATTTAAATAAATAAGTGGGGATTATTGTATATTATTTACCTGATGTTTTTATCAAATTCATTTGCAATTTTTGTGATATTAATCTAAGTTTTATAGATTTTCAAACCTAAACCTAGCATGGTGAACTAAAATGAAGGGGTATAACTCAATACAGTGTTGAAAGACCTATGCATATTTGTATCAGTAAGCAATGTAATATATGACAGCCACATTGCACTATCAGCAGGAATGTTTAGAAGGTGGAACTGAGGGATATTTAAGATTTTTTTTTAGATATCTGGCTGTATTCAGTTTTATTGTTTCTGAAACTTTATAGTTTTGAATACTCTTTTTACATCTATTAACATATAATTTTCATATTTTTTATGTGATCATGTGTGATTTTAAGCAACACATCTCAACATGTACATATCAGGCCTACATTTTTATACATATAATCATATTATTTTACTATAAATCTGAAAGTATATGTACAAATACAAAGGAATCTCTTATTTGTGTTAAGAATTTTGGCTGTAGAGATTAATGAATAAGTGAAACATTTTATACCATTTAATGGATATATTTAAAGTATATAAATACATTTTATAAAATACTCAATAATCAAGATTTAATCATGATATTAAGTTATAAAAAAATATGATTTCAAAATATATGGGGCTTCAAGAAATATAATATCTGCATTTAAGTACCAGGATAATAACTACCATGTCTTATTTGTAGTGGATATTTCAACAGTTCAAAGATTGTACTGACAGTAGTGGGGACAAAGTCACTTGTTTGCTTTGAAATAAGATTTATTTCTATTGGACACTGGTTTGATCTCATTTAATTCATACCAAAGTTGTGATGTTAGAAATGAGACCAAAATCAGTTTTGTAGATGTCTTTCTTTTTTAACTGATAAATACTGATTTGTAAATATAATTTGTGATGTTAACAATTCAAAAGAGAGATCCTAGATACTGGGTTTCTCGTTTTCGGTGTTTAGACATCATGATACTGTAAAAGGCTCAAATTTTGTGGTTTTCATTGGCGTTTTATTTACTGGATAAACAGTGCTCATAAAAATCTACTTATTCTGAAAATTCATGTTAAGGATTTTCTGTTTATCATTTTGTGGACATGAATTTACAGATTTTCAGCATTACTCATGAAATCAATGACAATAAAATACCCATCAAAATTAATTTTTTAACAGTAAATGACAAACTAAGATAAAAGAATACAATGATGTGTTTCAATTTTGTTGCATCTTCTTAAGACCTGTCTAATAAGTTGTAACATGTGTACAAAGGCCACAAGATTTCTTCTTTAAAATTTTGCAAATGATGTACTCCAGTCATAGATATGCAGCCATTAAATTAAAATAAATATTTTTTTTTAACAGGGAACTGAAGGAACAAATCAAATTCTACAGTATGAGATTGTATTGATTTAATGACAGGTTCATAGTATGTGTATAGACAGAACAGAATGACCAGTTATTTTGAACTTCTAGCTATTAGACCAAGCACTTGCTTAGAGTTAGATGACATACTACCTGAAAATTTTTTCTCCTGTTATGACAAATATCAACTTTGCCTGCAACCATTGTAAACATGACCTGTCATACTTGTCCCACAATGTCCATGGATATTTTTTTCTGCTTCTTAACAAGCCTATGCGTTTCATTTTCAATACTAATTTTTTTTATTTCTTCGTCATTTTTCTGATAAACAGTGACAATGTTTATTATTTGTGTTATTTACTTTGTTGGTTCAGGATATTTCTCATTGGCTTTTTACATTTGTTTCTTTAAGTTTTAAACCTAACTACTTTCACATATAATCGATATATATATATATATATACATATTCATATATAAAGATGTAAATTATACATGATGATATTAATATATTGACTTACCCTGTTACACATTTTATTGCTATTATAAATATATATCCAGCACATTGTTACTGTAGTCCAGAACCTTACACTTCCTTATGTATATGGATTGAAATTTAAGCAAAATATCAAATTGTTTAAGTGTTTTAATATGTTATATACATATTGATTCAACATTTGTGATAAAATTTAATAGGTTTCAGATGGATTGTTACAATTTTATTTACAGAAAATATTGCGTTGTTTAATTTTTTATGACATTGAAAATGTCGGCTGTGTAAATTTCTTTACAAGTTCATGGTCATAAATGTTGTCAAAAAATATTTAAAGGTTTTTATATCAAAATTTGCAAACTTGTTGCTTTATGCTGGTATTCCAGTAAATTTTCCACGATCAATGCATAGCATGTTACAGATAACGGATATAGTAAATGTATTTCTAGTTTTACATATTTAAAACAGTCTTTCTGCTTTAGTACTAACATTACTGCAATATTAATGTGATGTATGATCAAAGTTCATAATTAACATTTTGTTCTTTAGCAGAGCTATTTTCAGAAAATAAAAGATTTCAGGATTTCAAACTGGAGTTTTAAATTTCTTTAAATAGTATTTGGTTATACAGATGCAAAAACTGTTGAAAATTGAAATGCTTATGATGAACCAAAAGTATACTTTTGCATCATGCATACCTGGTAGGAGTATGTATTCTGTCCCATTTCATCTTTTCTTGATATTACATGGCAGATTTAGACCTTGTGTTATTAGGTACAATATCTACAGATGAATATCTCAAACATACTGATCTAACAGGATCCAGTTTTATTGAGCATCAACAGCATAAATGAAAGTAGAAATTTTGAAATATTTTTTTTCGTATTTTGGTTTGATGTACACTTGTATTTTTTAGAATTTATTAATCATTGAAAAGTTGCTCTAATTGTTCAACTCTCTTGGCCCTGGTCTCTTCAATGTGATCACCATGCCATAAACATTTGTCTTTAGCATCCTTAGAGAAAGAAGAAAGTATTTTTGGATAAATGACAAGTCTTGTATCCCAGAGGTCTGAGGAATGGGGTCAAATTGGGGAAATGAACAAATTTAAACATATTTCTGTAGAAATTATAGTATTTTATCCACATTTGGCCTGAACAGTCCTTGATAAACTTGACTCAATTCTCCATACAGTTGGTCTTGAAATAAAGGTTTTTTATCAAATGTGATATAGAGCATGCTTGGGTAAAGGGGGGTCATTTTTGTATAAATGAAAGTTCGGACTCTTGAGGGCAGAATGGGAGGGGATGGGTCATAAGGAAAAATTATTTTAAAATCTTTGTTCAGATTATGGTATGGTCTATTCATCCATCTTTGAACAATTTTTGGTTTTGATCAATGTTACTGGATTCCATGTGAATGTTCATCTTGATCCAATGTTACGTTTCTTGAGACTGATCAGAAAAATGCCAACAAGGACCAGCTTTGACCAACAAAGAAAAAGTTTGGGCTTAATCTTCCACACTAGTATGATTTCAGTGTTGGTAGGGGACCAAAAATGTGCATAACTGTTTTGTTAATGCTATTTCTCATTGACTTCTTGATGGATCATTCTCAAATTTTAGATGTGGACTCCTTTTTGTTACTCATTATGCATGATCAATTTTAGGGCTGGCCAGAATATTAAAATGGCTAACAGATGACCATTTTAGACTTGCCCATTGGGCTTGCAGTGCTCACCTTGTATATATGCACCACCCAAATATCATGCCTCTAGGCCATTAAGTTCATGAGAAGTCATTTAAATGTTAACAAATCTGACCCTTTTGACCTTAGATACATCAAGGTCATTTCTTCTCGCCAACTTTGTTGGGCTTCATCCAAGGAACATACCAGCCAAATATCAAAACATTTGGTCATTTGGTTATTGAGAAGTTGGTAAAAGAAAAAAGTTCACGATGGATAGGGGATGGAGGGACGAAAGATGAAAGATGGACACTGCGAAATGGCATAAGATTACTTTGCCTTTCGGACCCAATGAACAAAAAATTAGTTACAAGATCAATTAAATTCAGATTTCCTTTTGGTTCCACTTGGGACCTTGTGCATGCCGTTTTGTATTGAATCAAAAACAAAAAGCTATACCAGATGTTATTGGGAAAACAGCCGACACATTACCAGTATATTGAAGGTCATATAATGGGCACCAGGATCATACTGGGATCTTTTTGTTCCCTTTGGGTTATGTTTATGTAGACCGTTGAAACTGTTGGAACTGGTTGGACCTGCAAGAAAAATGCCAGGTACAGATCTGGACCAAAGCAGGACTGCAGACTATTTGGCATATTTAGATTTAGGGGTCCAGCCATAACTGTCTAAAATTAACTTGCTTAATATCATTGGTTCTTATAATTCCAGCATAAAGTAGGGTCGGTGAACTCGCAAATTTCCGAAAGCATTGTGCCATTATTACAAGTAAAAATCTTAGTTGTGTTATGCTCGACTGGATATTGTGTACAGTGGAATGATCCCAGACCACCTGAACCACTTCAACGAGGTTATGTGAAAGCAGCCTTAGTCCTGATAATTCTACGTATGTTACCTAAATGAGATGTAAATCTAAGAATTGTTAACAAGTTTATATTTCAACAATTTTATTCAATATCATCAAACATAACAAACTTTAACAAGATTTCAAGATAACAATGGTTTCCTGTTAAAATTCAAAAGTTTAAAATCACTGTAACGGCAGATCTTCAGGTTTAAAAATTGGTACAGGCAACACATAACTGGTATAAAGACTATTTGAAAATTATCAGTTTGAAAGCAAACATCCTCATAAAAAGATGTAGTAAGCTGGAGAATTTATATAACAGGGCGTTCGCTAGTGTTGTAGCCTTGGTAAAGTTATTTTTGGGATGCCAATTCCTTTTTCCATCATTCCATCCACTCGGTAAGGTCCATCTCTGGAATACTGCTACAAGTTGTTAACTGATTCCTGAAAGCAAATAAATTGTGAATGAAGATCAGGTTATTTAACAAATAAGCGATTTATCAAAAATCAGATTAATAAACTTTTTATCGACAAGATGTGATTTTGTTATAGAAATGTACTACGCAACAAGCACTTGTACATTATTTACAAATGTGTCAGGTGATTATTAGATTGGGAACTAAAACCTGCATCTAATCCATAAATTTGTGTTTATTATGTGCAAGGTCATCATACTGCAACCTCGAAATTATCTTTCTGATCTCTCATTGAAATAGCTTGTTCATGCAGACGACATTTCCTATACCATCTCTCATCTCTTATTGATACAGTTTGATGACTGGTACTTGTCACTTATTAAAATAAGGTAACTTTAGCATGAACTTTGACCTTGTCCAAGGAAACAATGTACAAGCAATATTTCCTATACCACAATTGATAAATGTCATGATGGCAGAGCTTGTTGCATTATAAAGTTATGTCACTGTGACTGCTGTGCAATACTGAATGACTCGGGGAACAAGAATCGCCTATACCCAAATCCATCACCACCAATCCTCCCCTATGTCCAGTTTGATAGACCCATCAATCACCACCAATCCCCATCAGTTGCCACCAGTCCCTCCCTCTGGCCAGTTTGATAGACCCCCATCAATCACCACCAATCCTCCCCTATGTCCAGTTTGATAGACCCATCAATCACCACCAATCCCCATCAGTTGCCACCAGTCCCTCCCTCTGGCCAGTTTGATAGACCCCCATCAATCACTACCAATCCTCCCCTATGTCCAGTTTGATAGACCCATCAATCACCACCAATCCCCATCAGTTGCCACCAGTCCCTCCCTCTGGCCAGTTTGATAGACCCCTGTCAATCACCACCAATACTCCCCTCTGTCCAGTTTGATAGACCCCATCAATTGCCACCAGTCCCTCCCTCTGGCCAGTTTGATAGACCCCCATCAATCACCACCAATCCTCCCCTATGTCCAGTTTGATAGACCCATCAATCACCACCAATCCCCATCAGATGCAACCAGTCCCTCCCTCTGGCCAGTTTGATAGACCCCTGTCAATCACCACCAATACTCCCCTCTGTCCAGTTTGATAGACCCCAGTTAATCACCACCATTCCTCCCCTCTGTCCAGTTTGGGAGACCCCCATCAATCACCACCAATCCTCCCCTCTGTCCAGTTTGATAGACCCATCAATCACCACCAATCCTCCCCTCTGTCCAGTTTGATAGACCCCCATCAATCACCACCAATCCTCTCCTCTGTCCAGTTTATAGACCCCCGTCAGTCACCATCAATCCTCTCCTCTGTCCAGTTTGATAGACCCCAGTCAATCACAACCAATCCTCCCCTCTGTCCAGTTTATAGACCCCCGTCAATCACCACCAATCCTCTCATCTGTCCAGTTTGATAGACCCCCGTCAGTCACCACCAATCCTCCCTTCTGTCCAGTTTGATAGACCCTCGTCAGTCACCACCAATCTTCTCTGTTCAGTTTGATAGACCCCGTCAGTCACCACCAATCTCTCCCTTCTGCCCAGTTTGATAGACCCCAGTCAATCACCACCATTCCTCCCCTCTGTCCAGGTTGGGAGACCCCCATCAATAACCACCAATCCTCCCTTCTGTCCAGTTTGATAGACCCCAGTTAATCACCACCATTCCTCCCCTCTGTCCAGTTTGGGAGACCCCCATCAATCACCACCAATCCTCTCCTCTGTCAAGTTTGATAGACCCCGTCAGTCACCACCAATCCCTCCCTTCTGTCCAGTTTGATAGACCCCAGTCAATCACCACCATTCCTCCCCTCTGTCCAGTTTGGGAGACCCCCATCAATAACCACCAATCCTCCCTTCTGTCCAGTTTGATAGACCCATCAATCACCACCATTCCTCCCCTCTGTCCAGTTTGGGAGACCCCCATCAATCACCACCAATCCTCTCCTCTGTCCAGTTTGATAGACCCCCATCAATAACCACCAATCCTCCCCTCTGTCCAGTTTGCAGACCTCCATCAATCACCACCAATCCTCCCCTCCGTAAGTAGTTCACTTACTTGTTACTCTGAACATGGAAAACATCCTCCGTTATCTGATCCATCCCGAAGTTTGTACACATAACTTTGGCAAGAGTCATCTTTCTTATTTCATCACGTTTATCTGAAAAGAATTTCAATCATTAAAGGAAAGTGAATATTTGGTATTCAACAATGATATTTTTCTACTACAGTTCATGGGTGTCATTGAAATCCCAATGCATCAGTTAATCACTATTTCAGTTTTGTTAACACAATTCTTATGCCAATCAAATTCAAAATAACTGATAAGAAAGGGTACCTCACACTTGAAATTAAAATATGAAAATTTGCCATTGTTCTTGATCGTTAAATCTTTTACATGGATTTCAATAATTTTTTTGAAGGTAATAAACCTGTGACACTTAATTTTAAATCATTCCTATTAGTAATTATTTCTGAATTTCCAAGTTTTGGATACGATTCATAAATGAAGTGACTTTTTACTAAAGATGCTATGTCCCAACTGAGGTCATAAAAAATCACAAGGTTTTGAACAGTTCAATTCATTGTTGGCACAGCTATTTTATTGTGGTAGAAACAGATCGCACAAATTGGTAGCTGTTGTATGCATTTCTTACACTCTCATCACTTGTTTCTGAAAAGTTACAAAAATAATGCATGCTATTGAAAACGGTGAAAGTGATGAATGCTCACCGAAAACCACTTTGTTGGACACAAAAGTTTCAAGAGAATTAACGCTGCAATTAAGGGGTTGCTGGCCCTGAATTTGGTACATTGCCCATGGTCTAAGTATGATTAATGTATACACCATGTTTTGTTATCCTAGTTTATATGCAAGCGAAGTTATGTTCCAGAAATAGGGGCAGTAACTCTGTAATTGAGGGGTTGAGGGTCTGAATTTGGTTCACTACACATCCCCTAAGTAAGGCCATGTCCAGGCAGTGAATACCAGTATATGCTCCCCAAAAAATTTGCATTGTACATCATACAGATAGTAATCTTCTTTATGCAATCTTATACAGTCAATATCTGATGGATGTTTTGATATTGGCCTCATGCCACCTTGTTTTAAAGTAATCTCCCTTTAATATTAGTCCACCTTAGCTATAAATTCACTAAAGTTTTCAGTGATCCTGAGGGATCTTGGCACCCACCATCATTTAATCTTTATTTGCTCTTTGAAAGTTGGATCTTCTCTTTTCCTGTGTTTTGCTTTTATTTGTGTGAAATATAAAAATAACTACAATAAACTCTACAGCCAAATCCAAGATGGCTGCCTGTCAACCATTGTTTTTCTGATCATTCTCAAAATCAGAAGGGCACAAGGGACCTAGATAAGAAATAGCAATAACAAACATGTTGAAATACAAGATGACAGCCCGTCTATCAATTTATCTGTTCTGTACTAACATAAAAATAATGCTAAGGACTAAGGACCATATGAAATTTTACATAGATCTGTTCTGCACTCAAGAAATAGCAATATCAATTGTTGAATATCCAATATGGCCACCTGATCAGTTCCAAAAACAAAAGATTACATCTAAGGATGTAATGGCACCTAAACATAAAAATTTGATCATGATTTGATTAGTAATTCAAGATGTAAAGAACAGATGGATGGAAGGATGCTAGACCAGATGTACGAGGATTAGAAGGGGAGTCATGAATATAGAAAGCTGCACATAGCCTTTGTGTATAATTGACACACATTAAGTTCAGATCCTTGCTTAACTATATGCTCCCGCAAGACAAAATTTCTTACTTTGTGAAAAACCCTCTGGACTAGGCCTTTCAAACCAGAAACGATCGCCCAACTTGAGCTTCTTAAACTGTTTTGCCAGCATTGCTGAGAAAGTAGGTCCAAGAAGGCCATCGGAGGTCTTTTTCTCCGACATAGCACCAGCATACAAATCAATGTCATTGACATGGCTGTAAACAGGAAAGAGAATGAATTGGATTTGGAAACGCCATCAAAAAAACTTATTTAGTTATTTACAGAAATTTCGACAGACATATGAACCAACACCAGTTATATTTCTATAATTCCCCTGCAAGGAATCAAACCATGGACCTTCTTTGTTAAATACAAGCCTTATCCATGTTTGTTGGGGTTTATCGCCCCCTGAACAGCCAAGACCATTTTCAGGCGTGGTCCTTTTGTAGTACTTTGTTACTACCTCACTGAACAACATGAGAGACTCATCTCATGGCGTTCAATGCAATAAGGGTAGTCAACACATACTGGTCTGTTTCTCAGCTTCCCGAAAAGCACAAATGTCCAAAAGTAGAGAACACCAAACTATGCTCCCAAGATCTTCACCTTAAGTTACATATCTCAATGCTCTAAACCGAATTAGCTGTCACAGCCCTCCTTACTACTCAGTCATGCTAAAGGTATATGAAAAGCATTTACCAGTGGACGACCATTTCATTGTCACTGGTATAACAGTGGATTTATGATGGCAGTATATTCCTTTAAAATAAGAGAAACCATTAAAGTCCTTACCTGTAGACATCTTTTAAGGCACCTCGTGCACCATTATTGTGATCTGGCATGTTGTTAAAGTTATTAAGCCTATTTAATCCAAATTTTTTCCTGTACGCATTGTAAGGAGGAATTCCATGGTCACGTCCCCTCTGAATATTTAGTGCTGCCAAGTCAAAACTTCTGCCATCATTGTCAAGGAAAAGCATGTCACGTACACCAGGCTCAAATATCCTGTCAAACAAAGTAAAAAGACATGAAGGTTAAGCTAATCATAAGACAAATGTCATTTTCAATTTGTTTTGGTTTTTTGATATAAAGGAAAAACTTAAGTATTAAGAGATTAACATAAAGGTCATTTCTGTCTGTTCATACAGATTTGATGAATACATCCATGAATTGTAATTAGTATAAACCACTTTATTATCAATATTGCAATTGAAAACTCTACCTGTCGGTCCTCATGGAATTGTTGTGACATAACCATCGTGCCAGTTTTGGGACATCCTGTCCTTCATTTCCTATCACCATGGATGGCCTAAAGAATGTTTCCTGGATAGGTTTTTTCACTTCCCAGGTCGCATAATCATGGAGAAGGTAGCCCTCTAGTGGGGGGACCATTGAGTGTCCAAACCGCATTGCAGCCACTGCGAAGCCATTGCGAATGTTGGGATCGACCTTGGGTTTGTATTCGTCATTATTTGACGACTCAAGTTTATACTTTGACAAATCGGAAGGACTGAGGATGGACGGTAACCATTCATAGTAAGTTATCTGTTGTAGGATTCCAGAGATAATTTTCCTTGTCTCCTGAAATGTCCTCTCATCATCCCAGTTCGCATTCATGGATGAGAGGACTGTTGCAATCCGATTATGCTCCCGGAAAAAGAGAACATGATTCGCACCAAGATGGGGTACCACATTAGCTCGTACATCTCCTGTTACAGAAAGTTAATATTAGTAATTTATATCATTTTTATTATCAGGATATCAAATATTTCTTCCAATATACTGGTGAGTTCAGCCATATGAATTTAATCGTTGTCATCCATAAATGGCTAATTAAGTTGCATCAGTGTTAATATTGATCACATCTGTGTAAAAGACCCACCCAATGAAGAGATAAGTGACTGACAGGCTGTGGCCTTAATATGGAGGTCCAAGTACTATGAATTTTATTACATTGAGACCTCAAACTATTGACCTTTAAAGACAGGTTTTTGATATACAGGTGTCCTTTATAACCAGGTTTGACAATGTACTCACAATGCAGAAAAGTCATTTCTTACCATACATTGGCAAAAAACACTTTGGTAGCATGGATGATAACCTCATGAAAGAGAGTGCGATAACCTTCAGACTATTTGGAATGATTGGTGGGTGGGCAAAGTGATTTGGCTTTTCATAAGTTTTGAAAGTAATTGAAATATTATACACAAAATTAAATATCTATCAAGAATTTTAGAGTAGAATAATATACATGTATAAACATAGCTGTAGGTACCGACTTTCTGAACCAATCAGAAGCGTGCTAACAAACCACTGATTATATTACATACCAGTTTTGATGCAGAACTCCTCTGTAGAATTTACAAGACAGGTGTGTGGGTCACCAGCTGGAGGAAGACTTGCTGTATTAGTGGATGTCTTCAGCAGCCCTGTAGTAAAATGTATACACTTCACAGAGTTAATTGCTATTTGATATAAAAAGGTCTGAAACTAATATTGAGACACTTTATCTGTAAAGATTTCCTGTCGTGGCACCGAGTACATAAAATGTCTTGAAATTTTATTTATTTATCTGATAATAGTACATAAAAAATGAATGTTCAGTTGGATAATTTTTTACATATTCCAAAAAATTCTCTAGATCTTATACCTCTAAACCTATTACATTAAAATCTCATTTGACCTATATCTTAAATTCAAGATTTTAAATTCATGCTTCATGTAAGTTTTGCATTATGACGTATCAATATCTGGAGTTGAGAGGGCCTTTTGAATTTCTTCCTACCTGCAAATTTCTTCCCAGATTTTACAACTAAAATAATTAATCATTGGGTTTCAATAGATGCTCTGTTGCCAGAGAACATAGATAAGCATTTACAAAAATATATTTTAAGACTTTTAACAGCTTTCTGTCTATATATAGATATACATGCATGAGGTCAGGAAAATCAGTCATCTAAAAGCATTACACTAGAACAGAAAAAGAGGCAAATTAAGATGCAATGGATATTAATGCATGGTCAGAAGTGAAGATCTTAAGTTTGAAAAATATATTATGTTACTTAAATCAATCATGTTTGTGCAATACCTCTGATACTGTAAACTAAACTGAATTATGGTATGTATATTAAATTGGGCTTAAATTCAATTTTTCATGTTAAAATGATAAAGATAATTTTTACCAATGTCCATTTTGTTCCAGAATTTAACTCTGACAATTTTCAAATTCTTGGAAATGAGACTCATCGAGGTAACCCAGTCAAAAACCGGAGACATTGAGAAATATTGTTAATTTTGCTGATCATTTTACCATTGTTGAAAGATCTCAGACCATTCATCTGGTTAATGGACGAACCATACACATTGGATCCATCAATAAAAGCTGTGATAGCATTGAACTGTTCACGGTGGTCTGAAAGTACAACAGATTTGTTACAAATTGATCAAATTTAAATTAAATAAATCCTGTAAACAACCTAATAATTATGTTAGAGTTATCTCCCATATAACTATTTTGCACCTAAACATTTCACTGAAAATGTCCAATGAACAACAATTTACATTTCTTTTAGAATAAAATTTTAAAATGGAGGTAGGGCCACTATGTTGTTATATAGTCCTAAAGTCATATTTTTTATTTACTTACTTGGTGAACATGTATCCGTGATGGCCGCTGACCGTACAAATTCCATACAGTCTGTGTTGGTGAAATGGGCATCATTGGATGGGATGGTGATTGGGAAACACTCTGGTCTGAAAAAAGAATCATGTTTGTAGGTCAGATAATTACTGTTTATTACATCATGATCAATGGATCTTAAAACACTTTTACAATATAAACTTTGTCCTCCAATAGTTCACATGTTAAACATTTAAAGTGTTTAAGTTATTTTTCACCCTTACAATTGTTCAGAGCAAGACAGAAGTAGGCTAAGGTTATAAAGGACAAGACCATTAAGAGAACTGCATACTTCAGATGCAGGACAGAGTCAAGGTCATTCAAGGATACAACTTCAGAGGTTGAACAGCACTAAGTCCTTTAAAAGGGCTGATTACCTCAAAGCCAGAAAAGGGCCAAGGTCATTCAAGAGCATGTTTACTTAAGAGCAAGGACAGGGTCAAGGTCATTCAGGAGGATGCTAACTTCAGAGGTAATGCATGTTTTAATACCGACATAGGTATTGAATATATATCTTACTTACAGTTCGGAGGTGGAATTGCAACAATCCGTCACTGCTCCTTCAGATCCTAAAATCAAAAGTGTTATTCAGAATCAGGACCTGCGTTTTCTTTCGTGGATAAATATGTAGGATCAAATTTTGAAAAAATCCCACAGTTTTCTCGATTAACAAAGTACTGTACTGGTAGACTACAATTTGTTGCGGAGAATAGATGATGAATCGGGATATTGATCAGCATTGCAATAGTGTTTCAAGTTAATAGTTTTTGCATTACCCGAGCTTGCTGGCGTGAGTGTGATATCATGGTCCAAAAATTGTCCCCAAGCCATTACCATGAGTGAAACCTCAGATTCTATCTTCTCCTTTTCAGATTTGAAAACCTTGTTGCTGATTTCCCGAGGACTTGGCAGTAGTTGACCATTTTTACCCAAAGTCCTGGGAGAACCAACACCTGAAAATGTCAAAATTTCAAGAATTCACGTTTTTTGTTTAATTTTCATCCCTGAAAGCAGTCTTCAGAATTTTGAAGACTTTGAAACTCTATACTGTAAAGACTTTTTTCTGTGCTTCTAATTTTGACGGTACATTGTACCACTAAAAGCTTGAAGCAAGAACAAGGCGTTTTTTACAATAGTTGTAGAATGATGGATTTCTGTATCGGTTTTATCTTGTTTTTTTTTGTTTTTTTGTTTTTGTTTGTTTTGTATCTATTTTAACGGTCTAAAAAAGGGGAAATAACATGAGAACTTACCATCACCATATTCTGGAGGTAAAAATCTAGACTGTGCCGAACCAGCTGATCCATACCCAGGATGGACTAAATTGTTACATAACCCATTAGCAGACCGGAAAGTATTACTCGCATCAGAACAATTGATTTGATTGGTGGGGCATGCTGTCGTCTGCTTCTTCCATTCTGACATTATTTCCTTGGAGTCCTGTATTTCACGCAATGACAAACCAGTCCTGTTATTAAAAACGAGAGGAAAAAAAAGTTCACATTTTAACACAGTTACACGATTCAATTTCAATAACTCACATTCTCGAGAGCAGTTGATTTCCTTCAAACCGTCTTGAATTATATTGCAAAGTTTATTGATGTACAAATTCGCAAATGAAAGAAACGAGACAAACTATATAGATTGAAATCTCGATACTTGGTATCAAAATAATTTTGGTACGTTATTTGAAAATTATTCTGAAGCTTCTAGAAACCAAACAAAATATTTAAACAGTTCAGGTAATTGTAGATAGTACCGCTACCTTTCTAACAAACAAAACGTCCCCTACTTACAATTCCATAAGATTCTTTGTGGCATGCAGCGATTTGACCGCTGCCTCCTCTTTGGTTCTAAGCTCTGGAGATATCCATTTCATCTGCTGCATCATCCGTCCACTTTTTGTACTTCCTACGTGTTAGATAATTGTAAATCATTATCAAGTCAGTTTAATTACATTGTTCGTCGGCTCTACAGCTATGTGAAAGACGGTGCCATTTTGAGGACGAGTCTCGTTGACGTAGCTGGTTGCTGAACATGCAACTGCTCCGTCGCATGCCAACTTTAGTCTTTTCAGAGTACCTTACGACGACCACTGCAGCACAGACAGATCTCAACTTCCCGAGAAACAAACTACAAACCCCTTTGAAACAAACCAACATAGATAGTGAGCTTCAAACCACGCACCTCCGATTGTTCTAACCGACTTAGCTATAGCTGCCCACAATTAAATTGTCATGACAACCAGAACGTGGTTTAAGCTCTCCCACAAGTTTGTTTCTGACGAAGAAACTGACCGATCTGGGTTAATGGTAAATTAATATAAATATAGTCTATTGCAATTGCTCTGCAGGGCATATAAGCTTACCCTGGATGTTCACAGTGCGAACAAGCATCAAAACGACGCTCCTTTCTTTTTAAATTTAATCATTGGGGTCAATTAATCCGATACGGATTTAAAAATATGAAAGACAAAAATCCAACTTACTCATTTGACGTTTTCTCAACTCCTGATTCTCCAGATGGCTTTTATGCGCTTCATCATTGACGAACCGTACAAGTTCTTCAATGGCCTGTTCTAGATCTATGACCTCTTTCCTTCTGGTGGAATGCGAGTATGTTAGGGAGCAGACTAGTGCCACCAAGATAATTTCCCTCAAAAACATGACTAAAAATTAAGACAAACCCCGAAAAAAGATTAAAATCACACCCACAATTTATTTCATAAGTTAAGATTTATTTTTTAAAAATCATAGTAGTGGGACACCTGTAAAGAGAATGAAGACCACGGATTATAATTGGTGGTTGTACAATGATACAATGTACATCTGTACCATCTGTACCATCTGTACCAAAGACAAGTGAATAACACCTTTGAATGCAAATGTTTACTTCGATACAGTAGAGCTAAATGTCCTCTAGAGCTATCAGAGATGTTAAGGGTCTCACCTGGAATAAGTCCCATGATAAAACTTTGAAACAACCACGACTATCTTGGATTCGATGTTCATTTAGAATACTTTCAAATCGTACAATGTCGCCCACCAAAGCTTGATCTTTATTTGTTCTTAAAATAGATGGATGCTTTCCCTTCTCATCTTCCTGTTTTTGCCCTTGATTATGAAGTTTGAAAATACTTCTAAGAAATAGCGATATTTTTTTAAACTTTCAAATTCAAGATGGTTGCGGTCGGCCATCTTTTTGAACAGTCCCAAAATCAAATGAGCACAACTAGGGATTACAGGAAACCTACATACGAAATCTGAGCATGATCAATCCAGAATTTCTGACGATAAAACGATAAAATGAATTGTTAACCGGCGGTTCAATGGACGGACGAAGGACGAATTGAAAAGCCCGCCATCTAATGATAGAACTAAAAACGTGATTGGGTCAAAATTTGCATATGCGACGCGTTTTTGTCACGAGATAAGCGTGAATGCTTGTCATACATGCATATCTCGCGGGAAGGGGAACTGGTAACTGGAGTATATGTTGGTTTTGTGACAGGGGTGCTACCAGGGAATAAGCTTTTCTTTTTGTGGCACCGTCGTCACATATATCTGACGCCATAACAAACTTAAAACAACGAAAATTCTTAAAAAGTGTCGAAAATAATTTCTTTATTCTTTGGCGTCTTGTTCAAAAGTCACAACATAATACATTGTACAAATTACAATACAAGTAAAATATAGACATTATCCAAATGTGGCAAATTGGAGACTGGTTATGTAGTTGAGCTAAAGGAGATGGATACTAAGATTTCCGGAAAATACATTTATAAATACAAAGCAGGAAACTGGCCAAAATATCCGGGATGAAAATTAATTATGAAGGCTCATATAAAAGGGAAAAAATAAATTTGCGAAAAACAAATGAACAAGAATACCAATTAGTTACCAGAAAGGAACCTTAGGAATTACATTTACACCTAAATATAATAAAATACATATGATAACGAAAAATAAGAAATCACGTGATAAAGAAAAACTTAAAAAGCAAAATCAATTATGAAACAAATGCTACAAACAATAGATACTTACCTTTGAAATTTCTTCTCAATATTGGTGTTCAACTTTAAAATAAAAACCAAAAGAATTGGTCAAGTCCGCGTGTTCGACTAACTTTCTCCTGATCTCGAGGCCTACTGGTCTGACTTGGCCGAGAAACTCCGACCATCTACGTAACAAATCAAGAGGCACGTGGTGTTATAGAAAGATCGTCACGTGCATCTTTCGTGAGAGGCAAATTGCACGAGATATAGCTTACGCATCTCTGACCAGCGATAAAAATTGCAAGCCTTGCATTTCTTACTTATTGATATCGAACATTAAGATTTACACAAGGAGTAAATCAACCAAAAATTGCTTATTTAATTTTACGATGAAAATGCTTACATAAATCATTTCTCATAAGAAAGACGTTAATTTGAGGTAATTTTTTTGCACTTTTCAATGTCGTTGCACACTGGTTGACGATGAGTAAGAAAAGAAATTTCATGAAATGTAGGAAAAGAAATTCAATTTCAGTTAATTTATATATGACTCAATACAATACACTAAACGGATGATTCTAGATGTACTTCTTTGATATGAAAATTACTTCACTTTTTCACATTCAAAAATTTAACCGATGCAGTTATGTAAAATCATAAGTTTTATGGGATTTATTTTCGTTTATTCCGTGGGTACTTTAGATTCAACAAAAAAGTAGTAGATTGAAAAAAAAATCCCAGCATGCCAATATTGTCCGGAAATTTATTGTGGCTGATTTCTGCCATTTCGTTATTTCGTTTTGTCGTTTCGACAAACTGTAACAAAATTCAAGCGTTTTTAAATTAAAAAAAAAAAAAAATGGCACGGTTTCCAAGAAAATATTTCAGCACTATCAGCTAGTTCCTATAAAAACATACGTCATTATTGTACTGGTGAAAACTTCTTGTTCTTTTTAATAAATTTAACAAAGAAATTGTGTCGCGACACATAGAGGCAGACCCGATATCTCGAACTTTCTTGAAATTGAGACCAGATGATGCTAGTAATATTTTTATAGTGAAAAATTGAGTTTTATTTCATTTTTGATATTTTAGGCTTTTGGGCATTGTAAATAATTATTCGGGGTTGGTGATGGAATTTATTTGATAATGTTTCTGTCCCTGTGTTTATTACCTTTTATCATTTTTTTTTAAAAGAAAAATAATTTTGAAATATATATATAATCAAAACATTAACATGTGAAATAAAATCGTATGAAATCGCCGCTAACTTTTTCCGGCCTTGTGGCCATCTTCAGGCGTTTGGATTACGTTACATAGTAACCTTTATTGTGCCGTAATCTTACTGCTTCAATATAAGCGGAGTTACTAACGTTAATAGTCCCAGCACAATCGTTAATGTGCGCTGAGGGAATGATTGAACAGTTTAACAAAAAAGTCTTCTTTGCTGATTCGCATAAATAAACATCACAAACAAATTGACATTTGATATTTATTATTATTTACACACAATAAATAAAAATAAAACAATACATTTACAAACTATAAAAGATCGTTAAGTGTATACCAGGTAAATGAGTGACTTTTCAAATCAAAATGTATATAATTATCACAAATATACTTAAATGATATGGCAATCGGTACTTATATATCATACAAGCTGACTATGATTTCAAGAAAACTGAATATAATAATAGAAGTTATAACGCTTTTTTATATCGTTGTGACATAGGGAATTGAACCATTTAGTCCCTGTAAGATACCACTAAATTCTTCAAGCAACTAGTTCTTATACAACTTATTTAAAAGTAGATCAGTGTACAAAGGCTGTGAGAAAAGACAATTAACATGACAGGTAGGCATCTATTATGATGTTAGTGTAATACAAGAGAATAAACACAAAAGATAGCATGGATCAAAGTTTCAACGTTCACAATGCATAATTATTAGCTTCCAGCAATCCTGGATCGCGGTGACATTTGTCCACTCCCCAACTTGTGAAAGCATCTGGAAATTTGACATACCTTAAAACTTTTATGAAAACAAATTTTTTTTAACCTAAAATAACCGCCCACCTAAAATTATCGGCCATGGGTGGCTTATTGACTGGGTGGCTTTTGGGTAGGTCTCAGTACAATTGTTTTATTATCCAGAGTTGGTCACACCTACATGAAATGCCAATTTACCACAGTTGTATTAAACTTGAACAAAGTCCAGTTGCAGAAATGTTTCAATTCATGAATAAATATTAGTGTACAACAAGCAAATGATACACAGTACATTTTTCATATCAAACTAACATACAACTTACAAATAAAAACAGAGCTTCTAATACAATTAATATATTTTATGAATATTATTGAGGTTTTGAAAATATTGAATCATTTGAGGAAAATTCATTTGAGTAAATGCAAGTTTTGTTATGGATAAAAGTGCACAATATCTGTACAATAACTCATTATCCATACTATTAATAATATGTTTGGAAAGATTTTTTAAAATTCGATCAGATTTGTTAAAAAATCTCTCATGAATCGATGAAAGAAACAACCGATATCAAATCACTGGTAAAAAGACAAAAAAACGAAAAATCTATTAAAAAAATTAAGTGGAATGTCACAACCTTTAGATATGATTAATTAATTTTGTGAGATTCTTTGAAAATATGATTGAAAGAAAAAAAATCGAATTCAAAGCTTCATGCATTTGCAGGCATGTATATGGGACAAATGCACTTAATTGGTTGCTAATGGAAATTCTGGCACAAAATCACTTTTTGGTAAATTATTGTGATAATGAATTCAACAATAATTGCTACAACAGACATAGATAAAGATACATTTAAGTCTGTGTTGCTACATTATACGTAAAACAGAAAACGGTAATATACACAATCCTATTTCATCAATATAATCAGTATGCAAACAGCTTGAGTAAATTCCTGCTATCATTATTTACAGTGATTCCATTTCATTTGACATTTTTTGTTTATTAAAGGCAGATATCTAAGGTCTGTTAAAAATGATGATATAAGTTATGTGCATAGTTACGTTTTGAGCACGTTTTAGTATGGATATCACCAGACAATTGTAGACAGGTTGACATTAACTAGGTATATTTCTGTGTATGGTGATAACTATCTCATCAGTTGGCCATTCTAGCTTGAGTTGAACCTGATTGTCTCTTTGTTGTAGACAAGCCATTAAAACATCCAACTTCAGGTGAAGGAGTCGGAGAAAACTTTGGCAATGCATGTCCATGCCTATATTGTAGTAAGAGGTAGCAAGCCACCGGTATCTGTTACAACCAAAATCATTTCTTTTTTCCAATTTGTAGAAGGTTTTCAGTTTTTGTGGTATTTTACCCTAAATATTCTGTTTATTTACGACTGTATTTACTACCTTAGTAGATCAAGTTTCTTGTCAACTACACTGGAATCTTACTTATATTTCACTCCAATCCAATATTCTTACCTCAAGTCTAATACTCTATTAACCACAACTATTCTATTCTGACTTAAAGTCTAGTATTCTTACTTCAAGTCTAGTCTTTTTATCTATAGTCTAGTATTGTGATCGGATGTCTAATAAATTATAAACCACAAGTCTCCTACTCTAACCAAAAGTCTAGTACTGTCACTTCATGTCTTCTATTATGATCTAGTCTAGTATTCTGACCCCAAGTCTAGTATCTTTATCTAAATTTAATATTCTGGCCTTATATATAATACAATATGAACCACAAGTCTCCTATTTTGATCTAAAGTTCATCATTCTGACCTCAAGTCTAGTATTCTGACCAACCTAATACTGTATTAATCGCAAGTCTTCTATTCTGATCTAACATCTAGTATTCAGAAAAAAAACTTTTGTGATATCAACACTCTTTTAAGTTTCCTATTTTGATCTTAAATCTAAATTTCTTACCTCAAGTCTAGTATTCTGATATCAACTTTTGTAATCTAATCTCAAGTCTAGTATTTTGACCTTAATGCTTGTTTGTATTCTACTCTCAGGTCTCATATTCTAACCCCAGCCTTGTTTTCTGACCTCAGTATGCAGACCCTAAGTTTCATATTCGGACCTCAAGTCTTGTATTCGGACCTCAAGTTTTGTATTCAAACCTCAAGTTTTATATTCAGACTTCATGTACAGTATTGTAATGAATTGCAGTCTCTCAGTGTGATGAAATATGACCATTGAAAGAAAAATATTACACAAGATTCAACTTATTATTAAGTTTTAGGTAAAGTTCAAAGAAACTCCGTAAAAAATGACTAGTAATTACATAGAAGTTAAGAATAATACAACCACAACATACAACAAACCACGACTGTTTACACATTCGAACTCATTCTGTTTGATCACTGGAATATACATGACATTTTGTCCATACACAGTCACTAAATTCTTACTGGTATATATTTAGATTTGTTTTAAAATCATTCTCTTGTAACCCAGGAAAATCCTAGGAAAACCAATCAGGTAAGGAGAACTGTTTTTTAGCTTGATCTGTTGAGCCAGAGATTATAGATTTGATTCCCAGCCGAGGAATTGACATTGGTAACCATGATGGGTCTCCAGATTACTCATTAGTCGCCCCACAGGCATCCCTGTAACCTCTTGACACCTGAGGACAAGTTCTGATTATTTTTGCTTGCTGTAGAATATGTAACACAGGAAAATACTAGCAACAATATACAGATTGGCTAAAGAGAACTAACCCCCTCCCTAACCCCTGCACAAAAGACAGCCTATACTACTGATTATGGTAAATACATGATATATGCCTACCTACTGTGTACATTTTTACTTCATGTTTACCAAAGCTTAGCCAACAAAATCATTCTATTCACAATCATCTACTCTCTGAAAAAACTAACATTTTGGATATAGATCTCTATAGAAGTATATGGTTTTAAGATCAGCATAAATCAAACTCTGATTCATAAAATGTCTAGCTATGCAATAAATACATCAGTCTTGTAGTCAGTATTTTTTTTGTTCTTTCCTGGAAAAATGACTCTAGTCAGTGAAAACTCCTATCTGTCACGTCTGTAATTTTGGACTGGAGTCTCCAGCTTAATTTATCTAGTAAAGGCCATCTCCACTTCTGAATTTTGGTTTCAAACTCCAGATATTAAAAATAAAATCCATTACATATATTTTTTGTCTGAAGTGCTGCCTTCTATACTAAGTTTGAACACATCATATCATAACATTTGAAGACGTTAAAGCACAGTAATTGTTGAATTTAGGTGATACAACCAACCATCTCGAGATTGTTAAAAAAAAAAAAAAAAAAATAGAGACCAGTTTTGAGCTCTTAGTAGGAATGAATACTTACATGTTTTGATAGAAAACTACTGTAAGAAGCCTATGCTACTAAATCTCTGACATTATCACTGATTACAGCATAGTACAACAAATTCTCTCCCCTACAGTTATCTCACATAAAATATATGAACTTCACTTTTATAATTACTACAAAGTAATAAAAAAAATTCAAATCAAATTTCAATGAGTTTGTGAAAAGTTTCAACGTTGTGACATATTTATACGTAAATCTGATTAAACATGGAATTCAAATTGCACATGGTAACAAGTGTATATACACTTCTAAGCAATGCTCTGACTTTACATTCAATGTAAATAATTAATATTTCGACAATCAAATTGCAAAATTGTTGACTAGATTCTGAATAAATAATATAAAATTCAAACATCATTAAAACCTTAATTAAGAAGAAAAAAAATTGGTGAACACATATCGGTATCCACGAAGTCAATTTCTAATCCTTGAAGCTCTGAATGATTACTTAAGACCTAATATTATTATGAGTATTGAATATAAAAAATTTGATATAAATTTCTAAGCATCAGAAAAAATACAATTTCAACTGAACACTTCTTAAAAATTAAAAATAGATAAACAAATGAAATTAGTGTACATGTATACAAACTTTGCCAAAAGTTTAATATTTTCAGCTTTTAGATTTTAAGTTACATTATAAAATTACAAAATATTCTCAATTTTAAGCTTCCATGTAATTCTGGTTACCTAGTATTTTTTTTTTTCATGAATCAAGTTCTTATAACTAAGATATTGAATAAAGGAGATGAAGGGAACTTAAACCTTCCACTTTGTGATAGCCAGAGAGTTCTGGTTTTCAAATTGAGGAAACAGCATAAGCATTACTATTCACATAACAAGAGAAAAAAAAAATTTGATCATAATTTTTTTTTTCTAATCTATAAACTGTTAACATATCACTACCCTTTTTATATAAATATTACTAATTATCAAAATTCTGTACATGTTCAGTACTTAATATTAACATACAAAATGTAAAAAAGAAAATAAAAGGTTAAAGATTGCAAATTTAAGAATTGCAAATATTAAGTTTCTGGATTTCTGATTCTAATTACAATTCACAAAAATATGAAACTGTTCATACATCAAGTACCAAGTGAATGAATCAATATGCATTACAAAATAGGCTGAAGTCAGGCACTAAGATCACGAATCAAATCAGGATCAATGAAATAAACTACATAATATTACTGTCCACAGACTTGTACCGCAATAGTTCACTCTACGTGGGACACATTTTTTCATTACTTCAATTTTCTGCTCATATGGCACAACAGTCCCTTTAACTTGCAAGATGCTGCTTCCATCTGTACTGATGTAACTGACCTTCATGTAAAGCCAAATGTTTTGAAAATAGATACTCTGTGGGTGCTTTTTAAATAACTCCTGGAAATATTTAATCAGTATTTTAGAAACATTTAAAATTGTATTTATGTCTTTTAAGACTGATCGTTATTAATTTCGTAATGAGAGGTATGTTGAAACTCCATGAATTGCAGGACAGATGATCTTACAAACAGTTGTACCTACACTGTGCATGCATTCACTTCATTTGCAGAATTTAAAACAGAAAGAGGTCAAAGTTTCCCCATGCCAGAGAAAGAAATACATTTTTATATGCCTGTCAATTTTCCTTCATGCTAATTGGTGAAAACACCTTTCATAGACCTAAAGATATATGTGATCCTGCACCAAAACAGACAGAATCTGTGCATGCAAGGTGAATATAACAGTCCAAATACCCTATTGGTAGTGGGCTGCAATTACAGAAGCGTGGATTGTCATCACATAATAAAACAATTACTGACCATTTTTAGGTGAATACGAAGATCTATTAACATGTCGAGCCTCACCTCAGGTGTTAATTCCCTCAACCCTTAACCTCAGCAAAAATCACCTCAGTTTAATAGATTCTTCTATTCCCATATTCACCTGGTTGAGATGAATTGTTCTTTTGGGTATACAGATTTCGATCATACTGATAATATGGTTTGAATTATACCCACATTACAGTACTTCATAGGACTTTATTTAAATTTATCAAGTTTAAATTTTTTGGTGGTAGGTGGAGTAAGACTTTTCTGTTGTTGAAGCACACATATAGGGGAATTGTGAATATGTTAGAATTAAGCTGGAGATGTCAGACAAGTACATAGTCTTGAGAAATATCTAGAATAAGTAAAACTTGTTAATCATGCATAAGGTCAAGGAACAGATTTTTTCAAAATTTCACTTATGTAAATTTCTTTAAATAAAAAAAAAAGGTTTCCATGAAAGATTACAAATGATTTATCCTTTTTATACAAAAAGACCTCAAATATAAAATGAATGAAAAAGCAACACTGTGACAAAAATTTCCAATGAAATATTTTGGTTGAATCATTACTGATTGACAGGGAGATTCTGTGGCTGATGTGTGCTGTAATCTGCATTCTGATTGGCTGTTGGTGAATGAATTTCCTGATTTGGTGATCCCTGATTGGATGATTGAAATAAAGAGTACGGTGGGGGCTGGGGAAGGCCACTGCTGGTAGAATCGGTACCTCCTATAGAAAAAATGAACAAGAAGATGACAATAGGAACACAAGCAACATATGAAATATAATTTTGTTCTGTAAAACACCTTCACACAGCTATTATTGTGTTTATGTTATAAAAGAGATTAAAAATTCCACTTAAAATTACAAACTTAAAGAGTTAAATGTCATAGCATTTCTTGAAAATAAGATCATACTTTCAGCATTTTTTTAAAAGAAATCTTTTCCTTTCCATTTTATGGAAATTTATTAACAAAATGTAAAATTAAACAATGGCTTATTATCTAAATGGGGAACTCTCACTCATTGTTGCTGTACACATAGCAAAAATTCATTCGTTTGGCCAATAGAATTCCAGGAAATTCTTTTCCCATTTAGATAATAACTAAATTTTACATGTTCATTCGGATAATAACATGTTATTATTTAAGTTTCGGATCAGGTTAAATTATTAGGAAGTTAAGGTGTTATGTGAATGTTTTTATAAGGTATACACATGGTGAGTAGCCCCAAAGAAGAGCCAAATGTAATTCTTATGACAAATCTTGTTATGTAGTGTTTTAAATAATAAATAGTATGTAAACCTTAACTATGGCGTTTCTTATGTTGTGTATAAACTTCTAAAAACGTTCACAAGTACAACTTATATTGTATACTATGTTTTACCCTTCATAAGCTTTAGGTCAATCTGTTCTTCACTAGAAGCTTATGTGTAAGTAGACAGCTTTATACACTGACCTGAGCTGTTTGTAGATACAATATGTTGAGTGCCTGGATAAGGTGGTAACACTAATTCTGATTTGTGAGTAGGGTATAACTCGGGCTGCATCATCACCTGCAAACAATGAAATTAAAACAGTGAGCAAGGACTCCTATATCTTCCCCATTCCCCCATATTTTCTTCTAATCTAAATCTATTGGTTTATGCAGGTGACCTCTGACCTTTGACCTTGACTAATTAAAACCAACATCTATGCAGGTAGACCTTGGTGGGGTGATGCTATTGTTTAAATAAACTAATCTGTCAATGAGGTCCATGAGATATGTTGTACACAAAGTTATCAAGCAATGACAGAGGAATACATCAAATGATTACTATGTAACCCACTTATGTACATAAGTGGGGAAAACATCTGTTTGGTGGGTTGAAATTGATCCTGTAAACTTAGTTTGGAGTCAAATTCTCAATATCCCTATAACTTTTAGAGTCCCATATATGTTTGAATATAAATCAATATACATATTACTTCTAGAGTCCCAAATAACCCTGAATATAAATCAATATTCCTATAATGTTTAGAGTCACCGATTTGTTTGAATATTTTAAAATGACAACTACAGAACTGGTAAGTCAGAAAGGGCCCCACAATGTGTATGACTCTAAACATAAGAGCTATATCAAAAAGTTTCAAAGATAAGTATTATTGCTTACCTCTCATGACAGCCTGGATATATTTTAAATGATATAAATACTGAGAAAAATCAAAGTCGTGTGGCCTCTACCTTGTAATTCTTACTATCTTTTTCATTATCTTAAGACTTGTAAATATATCTATCAGTCAAAAATCAGAATGTTGACATTGGCATCTAAGTGTCTCATGTTTTTTTTTTTTTAATTTTGATCTCTCTGGTCCATAATCTCATTAAAATATCTTTTCCAATGAAAGTATATATTATTTGACCTTGACACTTAGCTCTATTTTCTACAACAGAGACCTTGACATTAGAAACTCTTTAAACCCCTATTGCACTTTTGCATATCACAGTTCAACATCATGTGAAATTTCAGAAAGTTTGCCATGGATTTCTGCGTTCGGAAAGGAAAGTGCAGACAGACAATTGGACAAGCACTGTACTTACTAGAGAACAGAAATATTTCCATACAAAGTCCTAACAAGGGACAAATGGTAAGCTCAATATGAAATAAACGGTGATAAGGATGGCTACCTGGGACAATTTTAATGCACTGTACTTATATTCTAAGCCAGGTTTAAATTGCAGTGGCTTCAATCTCTCTATGCTGTAGATTGCTTTGTTTCCTTAGTTGTGTTACAGAAGTAGTAATATCTTACCTCGGAATAAGCTGGAGGTTGCATAGTCACTCCTGATCTGACATCTCCACTACCAGTGTAACCAAAGTTGGAATGTGAGGCTGGGATATGGGAGGGATTGACATTGATTCCACTCCTTAAGGTGCTTGTCTGGCGCGAGTTATGTCCCAGCTGTGAGGTCACAGTCACTGCACACACACCACGTGACCTCGCAAATCTCTGCCTCTGTTTATAATACCCACAGCCACCAAAACATGACATGAGGACGAACAGTACAATGAACCTGTAATCAATGTATGTATATTTTTTATCCAGAAATATTCTATTGTAGATAACTCTACACTACACAGGGAAAACATTTGCCCTCACAAAATTTGCCTTCGCCCAGTGTTGTATTCACCCTGACAGCACAATAAAATACATTTAATATTTTCAATTACAATTCAAACTTTATGCCATATGCTTAATTCATAAAAATTAAACGGACAAAAGGCTTCGCCCAATGTTGATAACAGAACAACAACATAAATGTATAACTTTTGTCTTTCAATTTTCACTTCAAACTTTACCCAATGATTTCTATTCACTTAATTGATAAAAGGATGAAACAGACAAAAGTTACACTAAAGTCTTCGCCCAATGTCGTATTAACCCTAATAGCACAACATAAATGTATACCTTTTGTCTTTCAATTTTCACTTCAAACTTTGCCCAATGATTTCTATTCACTTAATTGATAAAAGGATGAAACAGACAAAAGTTACACTACAGTGAAAAATTTCCCTTTTCATTATTTGTGGGGGATATAATCTTGTTAAACACTTAGATATTGAGATTGAGGGAAATTAAATAACATTTTAAACAAATGTTTTATAGTGAATTAAAAAAATTGTAAGAAAATGCATTCCTGTGTACTGCTAGAGATACCATTGTGGGAAATTAAATCACAAGCCTTAATCAGGACGCAAAAAATAAAGCAACTGTAGTAAGTAAAACGCTTAACGTAAGACAAATATTTGGTAGTAATTTTACAGATCTGCTAATACAGGCACCCCATCATGGACATGGAGTTATAGCAATATTAGCATATGAATTTACATACAATGTACTATAAAAATACCTACCTAAAATTTGTAATTGTAATATCACTTTCAAATTCAGAAAATTAAAAAGTCTTTAACCAGAAGTGTTACTTGGTAGGTAAATATTTGTAAACTTTACCCTTTCCTCATGATGGGAACAAGAAAAACTGGGGTTAAATTACAGTCACATCGCCGATGATGTGGCATTCATATATCAAATAAAACACTGCAATGACATAGTCTTTTCATAAAAAAAGTATTTTATTACATTCCAAGCCATGAAGAAAGTTTTAGTTTGACATTTCCAGGTTTTAAAGAAGTTATAACTTTAACCACTTTATGACCACATTTGTACCTCGGGGCCAATCAGAGATTGGAAACATTTGCACAACTTTAAGTTTTAAATCAATCTAGACCAAAAAAGCCTTTTTTCTTTAACAGTATAATTTGTTTTCTTATTTGACAAGTTGAATACAGAAGCATGTTGACAATGAACTGACAGATCTACGAAGCAGAAATTATTCACAATTATCATACAAGATTTCATATGAGAAGCTGTTAAATGGTGAGGCCACATGCAGAGTTTTAATATAAATCCTAAATGACAATACACAGCTTGTAGTCTTTTGTATATGTATTAATTAGACCAAGAGGTCTTGTTGTTAATATAAACCTATTTTAAGTTCTCTTTTGCTTTGTGAAATCACAGTTTAACATACCTATATCTTCTCATTACAAAATAGTTTTCAGTGGGATCTGAATTACCGTATATATCTTTTTTCATCATTTTTTTTTTGAGAGGCCATCTTGATTTTCTAACTGAACCTATATAGAAGTTATAGTTGTGGATATTTGTTAGTTTGTAATTATAATTATTTATCATTTTTTTGTTTGTTGTAAGTACTGTAAGTAAATATATATACATCACTTATTGAGCCTCGAGGAATAATGATGTTGAAGTGGATAGTTTTCATTAATTTACACAGCAAGTATCTATCGTCATTGCTGATAAATAAAAAGCCTTTGATCTTTTTATCCTATAGCTAAATAATGTGCACATTCCCCATTTTGGACCTGTAATTTCTCCAGAAAACCCAAGAAAGTTATGTGAGTTTTTACAGAATTTGGTGGCTGTCTTGACTAATGTTATGCAACAACATAATGCAAGGTGCGACATTATCCCCTGCACACCACCGCTTAAAAGAAAGACACCCAATCATATATATATATATGTTAATATTACATTCTATAATCTCTATTATATACACAGAAAGTTTGAAAGTTGTTGAGAGGAATGGTTTCCAAGTTGTAGCTCAGAATGGCTGTCCAAGGGGAGATAACCAGCAAATAAACAATTCAAACTTTAAATATCTGAATTTTTGTACTATCGCCTAATTCTTACCAGCTGTGATATAAATTTTATTCATGTTTTTCTCGTTCGCATTGATTAAAAATCAGCATATCCCAAGGTTTGCATAACCAAACAATTATGCTATATCTGAGTAGTTCGGGTATGAGACATTCTACTATGGTTAGGGGAGGGGGGAGGGGGTTACCTTATCACAACTGGTTGTTAGTTTTGAATTTATACAAAATCATAATGTAGATGATTATATAGTTTATTGTTCATCTGGATGCACTACATTATCATATAATCCAGATGATGGAATCTTGTGCACCACTCTCATACATCACTCACATAACCTAATAAGTCTAAAGCACAGGAGGGGTTTACTGTGGGAAGATAATGGACAGGAAAGCCCATGTAGTCAGGCAGCTGACCCGTATACCTTTACATGTCCTTTCGAGGAATAGAATCTCTGACAACTAGGTGATAGACAAATGTGTTAGCACTACCACCCTAAAAATCAAATCCATAACCATATCTAAATACTCAGCGCCCTGCCGAGGTTTATCTGCAGAGAGAATCAATGGAGACATACTTGAAATTCATATACATGTTTATTATTAAATTCAAATTTTTAGCTGTCAATAATACTACCACACGAGGCCCAAACTCCCTGCATTATTCACCAGCTTTCGTTTGGTCACAAATAGAAGGGGAAGGATTTTAAATATTTCCCTTATTGAAAGTCAGATCTTGGATTTATACAAAATTAAATCCTCTCCGTCCTATTATGCTTCACAACAAAATCTGTAAAAATTTACCTTCATCACAACAGAAGATTGACTTCTCAGTGTTTTCTCTATTTCATCGATTTCACCTACTTAACCCTGCCCATTTGGCCCAAGCGGTTCTTAGCCCTTCGTTTATACAAAATTGAGTCCCCTTTACCAAAAAATGTTTTAAATCAAATTCCTAGATAAAATCCTGTCATTTGTAATCAAGGAGGATTTAAAAAGATTTGCTTTGTTTACCTAACGGGCTTGCTACACACTTTCTGATCTATATATATAATTCAGCAGATTTCCCAAAGTTACATTTGACAGGTTTTAAAACAAAATATGGAGCAGCCATTTTACAGTGCCATTTCCGGTTAATGACGTAATGTCATTGCCTGTATGCCATCACAATAGATTTCTGACTGGTGTAATCAAAGAAAAACACTTCAGAATATATTACAGAAGTGACAAATACATAAAAATAGAACATGTGTAAATTCACTAAAAAACAGGCAGATTATGTGATTAAGGTTGAAATATGTGGTCACCTCTTTAAGGTTTATTGTACAATAACCTTACAAGTCAGAGTGAGGGAGGGCTATGAACTAACATTTAATGGTCATTTTATTTGATGTAATATGTGATATATTTGTGAGTATATTAACAGACACATGCTTATTGACAAATAATATATACAGTATATTTATTGTGACATCAAGTTCATCGACACAAACAAATTATGATAAAACAGACAAAAATACCTACCAAAAGTACCAGAGGTTGTAAAACGAAACTCTAAACGAGTAGGCATGGTGATCGTGATTGTTGTTGATGCCATAGCAACACCCACTGGGACAACAAGTCTTAGGATAATCACATCTGTAATAAATAAGGATCAGAGGATGATAATTTAAATCTATGGTTTTATTAACAGTTGCCATTGATGTTTGCCAATATACACTTTCTTATATAAATGTCAGTACCAGGTAATTGTATATTGGAAATGTATACATATGTTCCCATGGCAACGTCATTATACCAGATGATGTATAATTATAGTTTATGTGAATCAAGAATTATTATGATCTGTAGAGGTATAAATTAATCCTTGGCCGCTACTAGACAGATATTTACAGAGTAATCCTCAACAGTTACTACTAGAGAGATATTTATAGAGACTGAAATTAACACTTATTATAAATATAAACCTGGTTTAATGTAATACAACTGCATGCACTGTAATTAGAAACAGCTATTAACTTCTGTTGAGGGTGATACCAGGAATTGTTCACTCTCAGAAAAGACAATTAATATTTGTCAAGTTGAATTGAGATCTACATGTGTTTCAGTTTATAGACATTAAAACAAATAAAAAGCATATAAATGATGTTAACAAAAGAATTTGACTTAATTTGTCTGCTCAATATAAAAAAAAAAACTTATGATAGTCAGTGAGTATATAATACATATTTGACATGTTTAAAACGTACAAAGCAAATGTGGACAGCCAGCATAATATAGAGGGCAAATTTTGAAGCCATTTGTATCTATAACAATGCTGATGACTTGTAAGTTGTCAAATGACAGCAAGGAGCATATATTTAATGCAGAAGGACTAAAATGTCATCACACCACTCAGATCGCGGGATTCATAAAAGGGAGAATGACTCTAATTTACTCTGAAAGGCTAAAGTAAATATAGGTATAGCAGATATTGTAAGCAATGGAAAAAAACATGTCGTTTTAGAAATAATAGATGATGTCATGTATGTTAGACAGATCAAAACCTCTAGGCTTACTTCTGTCTCCAGCTAAACTGATCACGGTCAAATTTAAGGCAAGAGAAATTCTCTTTACCTAGCCATCAATTAAGCGGTATATTCCAGCTTGTATACTATTCAGAGAAGGAGTCCTCTCGAGTAGAGCTCATGAGAAGAGCTGATGAAAGCCTGCGGGAAGCCAGTGTGCCGACAACTCTTCTGAAGACCAAAGCCAAGACCAGGATAGGGACCTGGACCATCAGAACCCAATATGCAACCAGAAAGAGTGTATTAGTTTGATGCACAGATACAACCTGAAAACACTAGGCCTATGTGAGACTAGAAGGACAGGAACAGAAAGGACAAGTCTAGTAAGTTAGTAAGTAGAGACATCATCATCTACTCTTGACAGGAGAAGGCCAACCACATATCCATAGAGTCTGCTGTTGCTGCTGCTGACACCGGAGGCAATGCAGGTACTACTGTCCTTGGAACCTGTGTAACTAACGATTCTCATGGCAAGATTCAACTCAAAGGGCAGGATAGTCACCATCTTAAAGTGCTAAGTCTTTACCAATGTGGCAGACATCAAAACTTCTACAAGCAAATCCAACTAGTTGTAGACAAAAAACCCAAAAGAAACTTGAAAACCCTCATGGGAGACCTGAACCCTAAAGTAGGCACCAACAACACAAACAGAGATCTCATCTTGGGCAGACATGGCACTGGAGAGCAGAACGAAAATGGCAAATTGTTCAAAGAGTTCTCCACCTTTAATGACCTGGTCATTGGAGGCACCCTGTTTCCACACAAGACCATCCGTAAGACAATGTTAATTTCATTTGATGGCAAGATGGAGAACCAGATTGATCACATCACAATTGACAGAAAGTGGAGAAGGAGCCTGCACCATATCAGGGTGAAGCTTGGTGCGGATGCAGTATCAGACCACCACCTGGTTGTTGCAGTACTGAAGACCAAGCTGAAAGCCTACAACAACCAGGCAGAAAGACCACCACACAAGTTCAATGTACACTGCCTGAAAGAGAATGTCAAAACAGAAGAATTCAAGACAGATTCAATTCAGTGTAGTTGCCTTACTACCAAAAGAAACAGTAGAAGAACAATGGCACAGTCTATGTGAGACCTGAAAGACAATGTGCAAGACAGCCCCGGGCAAGAAGATGAGAAACGTCTGAAAGACCAGATCAATCAGATGCAAGACCAAGCAGAGAAAGATGATCTATAGGCACACTACCGTGAGATGAAACTCTAAGTTAAGCAAAGTGCAAGAAAGGACGAAAGAAGCTACATTGAGGCTGAGAATGCTGCAGGCCAACAAAACATGAAGAGGCTATATGAAATCTCCAGGACACTCTCTGGAAATACAGCAATCAATACCCCCTCATCAAACACCATCCTAAGTGAAGAAGACCAGAAAGCAAGATGGGTAGAGCACTTCAAGGAAACACTCAACACACCAGCACTACCTGCCCCATCAGACATCCCACTGACGACCCAGGTCCTAGATATCAACATCAACCCGCTAGCAAGACAGAGATCGCCAAGGCCATCAAGTCACTCAAGCCAGGCAAGGCAGCAGGCCCGACTTTGACTGAGATGCTGCACCCATTCCTTAGCAAGATTTGGGAACAGGAGCAAGTGCCAGAAGACTGGAAGCATGGACACTTAGTAAAACTACCGAAGAAAGGAGATCTGTTATCCTGCAACAACTGGCGGGGAATTATGCTGCTGTTATTGAGAAGAAACATTCTTTAGAGGCTGAAGACTGCCTTAGACACTCCAGGATGAACATGTAGGCTTCGGACAAGATCGCTCATTCAAGCCATGTCGCAATCATGCATATCATCATCGAGCAGTCCCTAGAGTGGCAGACCCTCCTGTACACAGTCTGTGTCGATTTTCAGACGGCATTTGACAGCGTCAGGTGTAATCTGGAGACTGACGTACCACTATGGCTACCCTTGAATGTTTGTCGCGATCATTTAACAAATGTACGAAGACAACACCTGTTAAGTGATCCATGACGGGAAACTGAGAGAACCTTTCATCGTACAAAATGGTGTTTGTTATGGTTGCCTACCCTTATCCTCACTGACAATCTTCCTGATGGTGAATGACTTGGTAAGCTGAGTCTACAGTAGGCCGGAGACCTTCAAGAAGCAGCTGCAAGATCTGGACTTCAGAGACGTTATCAGCCTTCTCTCCCACAAGCAGCAAAGATCGCAGAATAAGCTATATCATGTAGCAGAAGAAGCTGAGAAGACTAGGCTCCAAATCAACATTGGGAAGACAGAGTTCATGAGGGTGAACAACAAGCAACAGGATCCAGTGCAACTACACCAAAAAAACACCAAGGAAGTTGGCAAGTTGTCTACCTCTACCTGGGCAGCGTAGTCAGTAAAGACAGGGCAAACGAAGACATCAACAGCAAAACAAACAAAGCAAGACATGCCTTCAACATCCTTCAACCAATCTGGAGATTAATAGTCCTCTCACTCCGCTCCAGATCCTGATCTTCAACACCAATGTGTAGTTTGTCCTACTCTAAGGTTCAGAAATGTGACAAGTAATGAAGACCAGCACCCATAAACTACAGACATTCACCAACAAAAGTCTTAGATACATCCTGAATATCAGGTGGCCAGAGGTTGTCTTCAACAAACAACTTTGGGACATGACAACACAAGCCCCAACAGAGACAGACATCAAAAAGTGAGAATGGGGTTGGATAGGCCACATGCTACAAAAGCCCACATCCAATGTCACCAAGCAGGCCCTGGACTAGAATCCACAAGGGAAGTGGAAAGTGGATCAACTGAAGCAGACTTGGTGGAGGAGCATTGATGCCGAGACAAAGGCCGCTGGAAGGACATAGGAGAAGCTGAGGAGGACCAGTCAGAACAGAGTGTGTTGTTTCAGCCTTTTGTTCCCCATTGAATCATGAGGCATAAGTCAAGTATAAACTCATTATTTATTTTGATGTATCTAGGCTTGCTAAGAATTGCATTGGGGACCTCACCTCTTCCTCCTAATTACCGCTAGAAGAGGTCAACCATGATCCTATGTACAAATAAAATCTGCCATACTAGTTACACTATCCTGTTAAGCTCCAGCTTATATTACCAAATGATATACTGCTTGATTTACAGGGATCAGTTTTACAACATGGTGGTAAATATGTATCAAAATATTGCAAAATTGAAAAAAAAATTCATTTCGTTTGAAATGGAAAAGTATGATTTTTTTTGACAATTTTTCAAAGAACTGAAGCATGTACTTTCTTCCAGTTTGAGTGCACCAAAAATCTTTATACATTATTTGGCCCTTTATATCAAGAATATTTGTTGAAAAATTCAGGAAAATCAAGAACTGGTAAAGGTAAAATTAGATTTTATTTTAGTCAATTTTGTTGGGGTTTGACAAGGGCCAGTATTCCCTCAAAAATGGTGTAAATAGTAATAAGTTGTCAGTTTTGAAGTCTGAAGTGTATATAGTGAAAATTTCAGAAATATTGAGAACATGTCAGATTTGCCATTTAATGCACAAGCAAAGTTTCTATATTTCAAGAAATTGCATGGTCAGAAGATGATAAGATGATAATACCGTTTCAGAGGCATCAAAACAATCCATGTAATATATTATCTCTAACATTTTTTTTCGTCCTAAGCGAACTTTTGATTATCAATAATGATTGTTTATGAATAAATGAGTGAATTGGGATCCTTGCCTTGATGGTTGAATTTTACAGCCTGTGCTGATTTTGAATGTACATTAATATGAGGTTTTCCTTTGTATGGATGAAATGTAAATGTCTCACATGTACACTCAACAACTCATAGTCAAGCTGTAGTGAAATCCTCTAGATCTCTAGTCAAGCCCTACACTACGACCAGTACTTAACTGGGTTTTATATACTGTATACTCTGTTTTGTGGTTGTTCTGCTGTCCAAGTGATATGTAGCATTCACGACATAAAAAAAAATTACAGTGACTATATATATAGTAACAGATAAAAGATTAAAATATTATACCCTCCAACACAGTCTGTTGTATCATTTAACAGCTTTTTTTATGCCATTTTAAGGTTCCTGTATGTAACAAACTCTAGATACACATGTATACCAGGTAGATATAATTGAATTCTGTACATCATATCATCAAAATAAAATGATAATAGTTAATATTAAATTTCTCACCTTTCTCCCGTATCACTACAGTACTGTGTGTCGGCCGAGACCTGTGGATTATAGAATGAAAATCATTAATCAATATATAACAAGTGGCCCAATAGGCCTGCATTGATACCTGGTATAATTAACTGTCCTAATTGAATTAATAACCCATACCATTGTTATTCCAAGTGAGTGCTGATTGAATTTATCTAAACCAAATTTGAAAACACTATATGTTGGCAACTTCAATCAACACGTGTCAAGATTAACAAAAGACATATGTGAATAGTAACATTCAAGTTCAGGATCTGATTATCAGTAGAGCTAAATATCTAATTGAAATACATCATACAACTGTATGGTAATTAGAGTCTAAATTGCCCTGAAGCAAGAACGTAACTAAAAACTAGTGATTACAATATAAAAATTGACAGAAAGAAATGTTAAAATCAAGCTTGAGAAGTGCAGTAGCCAAAAAAAAAAAAAAATCCATCTGATAAATTCATAATAACTTCAAGCATATATGTTTATATTATAAAATTGTTACATAAAGATTATTTCTTTTTGCAAACAGTATCTATTCCAGGAACGTTAGATACAGTTACATCATGATTTCCAGTAATTGGTTAGTAATTATTAGAAGTTGTTTAGTTGTAATCAATTTCTCTGCTTGTCATATTGAATACATGTTAAGGTAATTTCTTTTCAGAAACTTGGGAAAGGAGTAAATATTATGCTTCAGCTTTAGAGCATGCATTTTGTTTTGTTCAGTCCCACACATATTATATATACAGTGTAATATTTTCAACCTATCAAATAAATACTGCTTTAACTAAATGATATCTAGCTTATAATGATCATGATTCAAGGTGATTTGATAGACTTTGACAGAAATTTATGATATATTTAAGTATAATAGGCAGCCAATTTAACGGACCGGATCAAAAAGTTTTGAGTCAAATAATCTGCAGTTAATTTTCCTGATTGATAACATACATATACATGTATTCAAATCTAAATAGAAACACATATGGTTATTCTGAGATTGATCAGGTACCCCCCTTACCCTCTGTCTGGACAGCACAACATAACAAATTTATGAACAAATGAAAATCAATGAATGCAACTAGGAATAAGTATCAACAGGGGAAAGTAACTGCCTATATATATCTCTGTAATGCTATAGAAAAGCACTCTGAGCTAATAAGACTGCTGTGTTAAGAAACCATTTTTCTCCAAAAATACGTAACTATCTTTTTTAAAAAAAAAAAAAATGTTAGTGGAAAGCTTAATAATTTTCAAATTGCTTATTCTAATTTTGGTGACAAATTATTCCTGTGAACTTATGACATTTATAAAACAAAATTAATGTTTAAAGGGACTAAATGGTTAGATTTTCATTTCAAAACTGAAAAAAATATATAACACTTAAATATCTATCAAAAATGTGTACTCTCTGTTAATTATGATATTTTAAAGCTGGCAATTTAATCCATTTAATTTATTTACAACAAAAAATGCCATCCTACATTGTGTTAGCACTTTTTGGCTAAAATACTGAGGATATCATTTTTCAATATATAAATGACATTAAGGAACTGAGTTAATAATCTGATTGATTTATGTAAGTTTTGTCACTGTAATTTATTAGTATTGCTTTTGTTATGAAAATGATATTCACTTCCCACTGCTTGACAAATTGGCTCTGGTCAGGCTGGTCAGTATTGGCTCTGGTCAGGCTGGTCAGTGCTATGTCCTCACTAACTACCTATATGCATCTTAATTAGCAGTGATTGGATAAATAAAATTATCAGATAACAAATAACAAGTGGGGACTTTGGCGAGTTCATGGCTCAGTGAACAAACAAAAGCTAAAACCAGAGAAGTCACTGGGCCTTGCTTCTTATCTCTCTGTTCCTGGTACGCAAATACATGTTGATGTTTTTTTAAGCAAAATTACATGTATCATAAATCAGGGACGTATATGACAGACATATACGTCCCTGCATAAATCAAATGACAAATATGATACTAAAGAGACAAATAATTCATTATGCTATATTAACTGGTGCTGTAGGTCTAATGCTTTAACACCAGACTTAGAAATAGGCCTTATTACTACACAGTAGCACGGACTTTAATATATCTAAGTCTGTGGCAGTAGTATGTACATGATATGTATACAGGTATACCAGGACGATCAGCAAACTATGTCTATTAACTCATTATGACCTCGCTACTATATCATAAAGGGATTTAGACCAAGTTTCTCAACAACCCAACTTGTATATATAACACAGTGTGGACATAGAAGTAGTCTATCATTATCTAATATGGTTGGTGGTAAAAACAAATCACGTTTTTGATTCAAATTCTTGATATCAATTAATGCAAATGAAACAAAACAATTTACGTAAAGCCCAATAAATAAGCCTACTACGCGAATTTTAGTAATGTACTTTTAAAATGAAGAATATGGATATTACGATAAGGCTTATTCTTCTGTTATTTACAAAATTCGTCTAAAATGAAAGAGCTCAATTCATCATTCCAAATCCACAAGTACCGTACACAAAAAATATGAGGATGACAAAAGTCGATTATCAAACGTGAGATTTACCTGTTGGATAATTTCTATCAGGGAAATAATCCATGTCACAAACTGGATATTGTATATTGTAATCATATTCCTCCAAGATAGGCGTTTGAAGTGTCTTATGTAATTGTAAGCAGCCCTTCGTTTCAGTTTCGCAATATTTTTCTTCACTTCCGGACATGCTCCATCAATCGAAACGTGCAATGAACTTTGACCTTGATCAATATGTGCTGCTGATGCTGTAGCAATACGCGCCTTGCTAACGCAAGCGTTGTACTGTGTTATAATGTACATGTCAAACAGTAAGGTTGATGGCTCGTCTAAATAGAGATGTATGATAAGAATGTGCATTAATTTCAAAGTTTTATTATATATCGCTAATGACATGACAAAAGAAACCAATAGTGAATACTTGTACAACTCCATCTTGTGTGAGAGTAAGTGGAAGAGCGAAACGTGATCTGTAATATTGTTGTTTTTTGTTTTTTTTTAATTTTCTGATATCAATTTCGGAACTTTAAAAAAAGTATACCGGTTAATACATTTATTATAATTATAACTACATACCGTAAGACACGTGCGTGATAACACTATTTTGATATCATAAATAAGTCACGTCTTTATGACGTCACGTGATTGTTTCAGTAGTGAAGAAAAACTTACGTCCCGCCCGCAGCGAAATAGGCCTGTCTTTTAAGGAATTTGTTTTGATTTTTTTTCGTTTATTTTACGGGTACGTCATGATAAATAGAATCTTACACTTGTGCCAATATAATAAACCTGCCAACTAAACTGATATACAACTCGCCGTAATGCTCATGACACAAAAAAATCATCATAAACCACGATATTATGAAACTCATATTAAATCGTCACTCTTGTATTATCCTCTATTTATATACAGGTGAATATTGTATTGAACAATATATTGAAATTAATTTAAGTCTTTAATCCAGTTATGATAATAATCTTCATTAAAACAGTATAATATCGGATGGGTTTGTTTAGATGAGATGTGTTATATTTATTTACCCCGTGTTTGCTGTTTGATTGGTAATCGTAGAGTAGTATTCCCGACTATTACCTCATGTCATGTATTCTATTCTTAGGATTAGATAAAGTACTATGTAAGTATGTGACATATTATGTCACAACGCAGACAATAGATATACGAGTTTGGCATAGAAAAGTAACGTTTCCTGCAGTATTTGCCAAAATTGTCGATAATATGACAAGAAATTCATTTCCATTTTATATTGTATGTAATTTATGAAACTATAGTTGTGGTTTCTTTTTCCAACTTAACGAGCATTTAATAAAAAAAAGAGTCTTCTTTCACAAGCCACAGATCATAATTATAAATGAAAAGTCGTGTAAGATCTTATATATATTCACAATGTTTATATTTACCTTTTCTATGTGAAGATGCATGGTTTGTGTATTAAATTTTGCCCCTTTCCTCACTTTCATACGTATTTATATATACTAAATCGTAATACAGATGTAGGCAATCCCCTGATCGTCTGTAATTTCGATATCCGAGTGCAAATTAAAGACACCATTCAGGGTCCTGTAAGTACAAGAGATTAGCCTGAACGAAAATATACTATTGAAAAGTTTCAAATGATTTCATGCCCGTGTGTATCATTGATACAGGGTGGTTAGCTTAAGAATTAACGGTTCCGTTTTGACTTGGTCGTTGTTGTAGCTCCAGGTACAGGGGTTTCGGATTTCTTTAGATGATAATGTTAACTACTTTTGATAATGATTCAATGCCACCCTGGAAATAATCTATTAAAACACTTAAAAAAAATCTGATGCAGTGTACCTGTATTGAAATTTACTTCGAAGAGATTTGCTGTGTTTGTGTGTGTCCTGGTGAAAACATCAGTGGCTTTACGATCAACATCACGGAATTTATTTGATTGCTATATATACACACCAATAACTGAACGATTTTAGAAATCGTTTAATTACCAGTAAATATGGGTGTCACGGGATGTGTTATATGCATGTCTGGTCCTTGAGTGAAGTACCGACAAAACTCAAAAACGAAGATTCATACATTATGTAACTAGTTTATCGAATTTTTAAAAATTTCAATTACAGACATTATTTTCTCTTTCGATATACATTATATGTAGGTCCACTCTGAAATGCGCCACACGCCTAATTATTAGCCTCGTTACATTCCTTCACGTACTGTCTGCAGTAAAAAAAAAGCGGGAGTGCAATCGAACGTTGCATGGTTACCAACGATGATTAGCATCAAATGAAACCGTATTACCCTACGTTCTGGAGAAGGAAAAATCAATCTTACAGCATCAGCGCCCGTTGTCATAGCAATCATTGTTTATTTTTACTGTCACAAGTGACAATCCATTCTACTAGTACTGTACAACTACAGAATGTGTTCTGATGTATATCGTACTGCGATTTTGATTTTGTCTTGGTCACGACTACGACCAAGACAAAAAAGATAATTACGTATAGTGTTTTTCTGTACACTGATACACAATATATAATGATTAATTTTTACCCCCTCAATTATACCCAGGATATAAAGATGACGAGCGTGTTATTTTATTATGTATAAAGAGCATTCTGGTGAAACTTAAATCAATTATTCTGTCTCCCTCAGCTCCGTTCTAAACGAGGCAAGTGATTTTGAAATCGTAAAACAGATTTCGACGTGGTCACATTATTTTACATGCTGTAAGGTGTGAAGGGAAGTAACTCTAGTAGATCAGTATGGTTAATGACGTTTTTTTCATATCTGAGTAATGGGACTCCATGTATGTATCCTATTGTGCGTGCTTGTTCAATTTAAAAGACATAATTAAGTTAGTCGACTGATAAAAGCTATATCTGATCTGTATTGAATTAATCTCCTAAACTGATCTGTTTACACACAAACTACATTTTGTATACCAATGCTTTCCATTTAAGGGAAATTTATCATAGCTGCGAAGCTTACAGTGTAATAAGTATAAATATTGTAATCAGTATATATAGTGTAATCAGTATATATAGTGTAATTAGTATATATAGCGTAATCAGTTTATAATGTTATTAGTATATATAGCGTAATCAGTATATAGTGAAATCAGTATCTAGTGTAATCAGTATATCTAGTGTATATAGTATATATAGTGTAATCAGTATATATATAGTATATAAATCAGTATATGTGAAAGTATATAAATCAGTATATAGTGTAATCAGTATATATAGTGTAATCAGTATATAGTGTAATCTGTATATAGTGTAATATATATAGTGTAATCAGTGTATATAGTGTAATCAGTATATATAGTTAAATCAGTATGTAGTTAAATCAGTATATAGTGTAATCAGTATATATAGTGTAATCAGTATATAGTGTAATCAGTATATATAGTGTAATCAGTATATAATGTAATTAGTATATATAGCGTAATCAGTTTGTAAAATAATCAAATATATATAAGGACTTGGTAACAACCAGAATTAGAACATGAGATGTTAAGATGGCAAGCACAGACAGTGTTTGATAGAATAGAAAGGAGAGGCGTATCGCACATATAACTAAGATAATCCTGTTTCACACATCGACAATTCTGGGTCTAAGAGTATTTGCGGATACCTGCAGTATTTATTTTGTAGCTGTTGTGAGCTGTCTGTCTCCTATCTGATGGCCAAATACTCTAACGGTATTTTTTTTATCATGTAAATTGTATATAGTTTTGTAAAGTCTCATATTCAATAGTGTTAGGACACCAGCTTCTTCAAACGGTTGCCATATGGTAGAGCAGAAAGTTTTGTCGCCCTTCTTGGGATACATGTCACACGCTATTGCTAGCAGGAGTTAAATAGGGTGAGTTTTCATAAACATACATGTAACTGCCATTTTGTGTCGTGTCAAGATAAAGCGGAAAAATCAATATTATGGATTCTTCTCCATGTGTAGTAAACACTCAAACTAGTCTAGTATATATATGTAGTCCGAAGGGTTCTTAGCTATCTATCTACGCCGCGTCCAAGGCAAAATACAATATCGGATATTCAAAACCCTTCGGACAAATGCTAGGCCAATTATCATGTACCATTGGTAATTAAAAGAACTGATGTTTCGTGTGTTGATGCCATATATTTCCCTCTATGTTTTCATTTCCGTTATTAATAAATATGTATTACTTGGCGAAATCCAAAAGATATTTTTCACCAGGAATGGGTGTAAAATGTGTGAAAAATGTACTGTTTTCAAAAACTCCCGGCAACTTGTCATATTTCAAACATCTCAAAGACCAAGATTAGCAAACGTGTCCGAAGTGAACATGCGCATGACAGAAGAAATGAAAGCCGGAGGGATGTAACTTCTAACCAAAACATTGCAGCTATGTTCAAGAAATTACGAACAAAAATCGAACAAGGGGTTGCTCAGACTCCCCTGAAAGGTGCCCTCGCTGCTGTATCAAAGGTAATGTCAAAATCGCACTGTATCGATCTCGAAATTACAACAGGTGTTCGTGTGTTGACATTGGCATCACACTCCAACTTTCACTATCGGTGTTCGATCTCGTTTTGTCCTCGTGTCGTATTCATTACCAGTTTTTAGTTACATTCTCACTACAGAGAAAACGTCAAGTTTCTTCTAGGCCGATTCTGATAAATGTAATTGTCTTCGATAAAAGTGAAAGTAATGTTCTATAGTCTTTAAAATAACGATTCCTGCAGAGCATTGCATGAAGTACGTATACGTGTTAGTCTGCTTAGAAGGGCTAGCACGTAATCATAATGTGTCTCTTTCATCGTGATTATGACCAGTTTGTCAAGTACATCTCGTTCTACATGAAAAGTGGGGTTACCAGAATAGGAGTATTTTTTATTTGGCTTAATGTATAGGCATATCATTGTATGCATAATACATCACGTTCTACATGAAAGTGGGGTTACCAGAACAGAATGTGTTTTCTATTTGGCTTAATGTATGAGTAGGCTCTATTATACTGCATGCAGAGAATAGGAGTAGCTAAAGACCGGATAATTATCCAAAAGTATAAAAACAATGATGACACCTGCTTACACCTTTTCAGTCAAATCAGACTAGATGCAACTTTAAATAGATTATCAGTGTTGCTTATACATGTAATTTTACACAGATTGCAGGGGGGACAAAGCTATGTTGCATTTCTATCTTCTTAGGGGTTCACACATTTCTCCCGTATTATTGTAGGCATTATTAATGTGCTTGATTACTTTATAATTATTTTTTTTCTTCAAACAATCAGGTTTCCAGCAACAACATTACAGACACATTTGCCATCGTTTTAGTAAGCTGTCAAAGTCTGTTTGATGTGACCTTTCTAACAGAACAAATATTCACTGATAACTATGTAGGGGCAGATGAAAATAGTTCAAGATACCGTATACTCAAACAGACCTTTGTCCACAAATAAGCCCCCTTTTTGCAGAATCATCAATTTTGGAAATGTAAGCTAAAAGTAGTTCACACATAATCCCACCTCAAACATTATTACCAAACTTTTACACTAGTTACACACCATAGTATCAATGTCAGCAACAGTAGAGTATAGCCGTAGATTTGATATTGTATGAATCACTTGCTATCTTGCTTAACTTCTAGTCACCTACCATTGGAAACATTTTCTAGCATTACCATGCAGTATTTTAAGAAATTTTGTCATGATGCTTGCAAATGATAATTGTAATTGGTAAAATTTATCACCATTGTTTGATGACTATACCGTTGTTGTTGTAGGAGGACATTTCACAGAATCCCCAGCCTATAGCAGAGAGTACACCAATAAAAGACCAGAATGTCAACAATTCTCACGAGATGGCAGCAGATGGTGTTATGCCATTGGGGGCCACACCCAGTAATGTGGCTGTGGGACAGCTGGTTGATATTCCACTGCAGGATACCCCAGATAATTCTACGACAGATGTAAGTATTAGTAAATATGGTTTTATGTCAACTGATGAAGTTTTTGGTTGATATGATTACCTTGGTTGCTATGGTTATGGTTTTTTTTTTAATGACAGTCATAGACACTTGTGTAGGGAGTTTCGTTAACGTCTTTATAGTTTCTGAAATATGATAAATACAGCATTAATGAAATTACAATATTCAAAATGTTGCTTTTCAAACAATGAATGTAAGACCAAATCTTTAATGCATGTCAAACAAGTGTGTTCGAAACTTATAAATGAATCAAAAACATCAAATTTGAGGTATTTGAATTGATTATCATCAAAAAAAGAGAAACGAAATCAAAGGAAAACAGTGATTTGATCTTTTGAATTGTGAGTTTGACAATATTTTTGTTATGTAATTTTCAACATTGATTTATGCTAGCAATGGTCCTATGGCCAGAGGCCACCAAATAGATGGAAGGACCACCAACACTTCCTTGGGCAGTGGTCTATTAGACCACCCCCAAAACCTTTTGATGAACTCCTTGTCTTACAATTTCAAAATATTGGGAGAGTGATTATTATCTGCTGTCTTGCTATCCATTAGTTTCTCATTTTGATCAATGCTTGTCCTTCCATTTTAGTTCACTTCTGCCTTATCTTCTCTCCCCGGGAACGATGACACACCCAGGATGTCGCGATCACGTACCTCGTCTATCAGTTCAGTAACCAGTGACAGTAGTTTCTTCAACACTAGTGTTGCATCACAACACTATTACCAGATGCCTTCAGATATTGAGAGTGAGGTTGAGGAAACCTCAAACCTGGATGCATACTCAAAGGAGGACTTATACATGGTCGTCCGAAAGTTTGAACGTCGGTCTGTCAGATATAAAAGTAAATTTATGGAGGTGAGTTGACTCCATCAAACAATGTGGTGTTTTCAATAAACTAAATTTTTTTTTAATTTGCTAACTAAGTGTAGAATTTTTTTGTGTTCCCTCAAAATTAGAAAAAGGATGACAAAAATGCCAACAGATTTGTCTTTATATTGTTATCAAAAATGTTAATTGATGGAGTGATTGATTTCCATTTTAGTTAAACTAGCTTTATATAATTTTGTGAAATTTCACTTTTGAAAGAAGGTAATATAATTTGAAATCTAATGGAAATTTCATACATTTTAGATATTTTGGGAGAAGAATTAGTTTGGATTTTTGTGTGATACAATAATTAAAAGAATGATTTTCCATATATTTTTTACAGCTTGCCAATGTATACAAAGACTTGAGCCAAGAAAAAGACAAACTTAAGGTATATAATTTAGCACATAACATGTTGATCATTGATTTGCTAAAATGCTAAAAATAATTGTGAGTCCCAAAATAATAAACTACAGTACATCCAGAAATTCTTTGAGTTCCATCACAATTCTATGAGTACTGGACTTTGGACTTGTATGTAGATTTATCACTGTGCATATACATTAAACATAAAACCTGGATAGTTTTACTGTTATTGTTACTTTCATTCCTTTATCTTTTATCATGATATATATTTAAAATATGCCATCAAATTATAACCATTAGATCTATTAAGTAAAATGAAATAATTGATATCCATGTTTTAATGTTTTTTTTGATCAGTTAAAACATCATTCATTTTTCAGAATACATTAACACAAACTCAGGATCGGGCATTTAGAAGAATCTCTGAACTGAAGGAGCAGATTCAGTTAGATGTGATGGCTAAGCGTGACTTAGAGGAAAATTACAGATTGATGTTAGAGGAAAAAGATGAACATATGAAAGTCTTCCAAACTCAGGTATACTGATACCAATTGATTGCTTTGTCAACTTTAAGTGAATCTAAGATACTTTTAAACTAGCTGAGAGGTATCAACATGTAACTTCATAGGCAGATAAATCACAGCAAGAAGAAGTGCAGTGCACAAGAACTGTCACTCTCTTTTGCATAATTTAGGAGTTATTGCCCTTTGTTATTTTTCATACTTAAATTTTGTCCAGAGCATTACACTAAAACTGTATGAGGTATAAACATGAAACTTCAAAGAGAAGGAGGGCAGTGCACAAGAATCATAACTCTCTTATTGCTCTTTGGTATTTTTCATACTTAATTTTTGTCCCATTTGGGGAGCATAACATGTCTCTGACTGCCCTTTTTTTATCAGCTGGTAGGTGTACCAGGGCACACCTCTTTTTGTTGAAAAAAATACCTTTTGTCTTGATAATAATGATGAACACTATACAAGGAACAATCAACCTTCATTATTTTTGCTCTTGAATAAAATTTTCATTATTTCATTGTGTTAGATTTGCTTTTCAAATAAAAAATGTATACGTTTTGTATTGTAACATAAATATTACACTCTCATTGTGAGTGAAAGGAAAAAACTGCAAAAACATAAAGTAGTCCAAATTAAGTTGAAACATTTTATTTTTGGTGTAGGTGCGTCTTCTGAAGGAAGGTAAAGAATTGTCACCAGAACTACTTAAGAAACTAGAACCGAAGGAAAGGCCAAAATCTGTGCCCAACTCTTCAACACCTTCAGATGGTGTTAAAGGGGATGATGGAGATGTCAAAACACTAACAGAAAAGGTAAGAAAAAAAATATCTTCAATATTATCACAGCTTATTCCTCCAGACCATTTGTTTTAGTCAAGGTAGGATAGCTCTGACAAGAAAATTCCTGGCTTGATTTGAACACATGCATATGCAATATTAATCTGCTTTTGATTGCTGAAGACTTCTTGAGATTGATGAGAATTATTCTAGTAAAAGCAAAATTGAAAATACAGTATGTCAATATAAATTACTTTCATGTATAGTTAGTCTATCTGCTTAGTGACTCACTTTTATTCTGGTCCCATCCATATCTATTCAAATTCAAAAAGTGATAACAAATGCTACATCATTGTCTTGTTGTGATAGGCCCTGACTTTGGGCAAGGCTTTTGTAGGATATATATAGTATTATTTTATTACATGTCAATTCTGAAGGACTAGATACATAAATTATGTATTTCCCATTAGGTGAAGAGACTTGAGGGACTGTTGAATCGCTGTAAGGAAACAATCAAGGCCAATAAAGAAAAAGCTGTGCAATTAGCATCGGAAAAGGAACATCTCCAAAAACAAGTCGAGGAAAAAAACAGGGAGACAGAGAAACTCCGGGTCAGTTTTTAAATTGATTCATGATTCAGAGTAACTGAAAAAAAACCTTCATGAGAAAATCAATTGTCATTTTTTTCCAGATGAATATTGAAGTAATTTCACTGAAAATGATTGCTGTTAAATCATATATTTTTGTTGGGGTCAAATTTTTTGATTTACAAAAAAATACAACTTTCGTTGGCACTGGATTTTGTGGTCAAATCTTGCCCACCAAGTCTGCTAGTATTATAATCAATTGCAACATTAATTTGTTTATTATTTTGTTGACATATAAATACATGGATATAGAGTACCCACAACTTTATTGAAAATAAATCCCCAAGAAAAATTTACGATTTTACAGTGTTATTTTGTGGTATGATTTTATATTGCTTTTAAGTCTTTGGCTTGTATACAACCATGGTCAAGGTTTAAAAACATGTTTTTGATACTTTAGTATAATTCATTTTAGATCTGACATACTGTTTGAATAATTGGTTTTAAAACTGTTATGTTAATATACAATTGTATTTACAGGTATCTGCCAATCCTGAGGCTATTGCCAAACTGCAGAACCAAATGAAGGAGGCACGAAGAGTTATAGAGCAATTGGAGACTGACCGTGAGCTCGCCATTGCAGAGGTCAAGAAACAGGTCCATGAAGAGATAGAACTGAAGGATCAAGAGCTAGCAGATATACGCCATCAATGTCAAGTTCTTCAAGTAGAAAATAAGTCTCTCGGGGAGAAGACGGAGAAACTGGAAAAACAAGGTAATTACTATCTGGAAGCTGTACAGCAGGTGCAGTTGAGGCTATCTGTATCTCTAGCTGAACCATCATCATTGCTTTACATTTTATTGAGTTATTTGGATGTGTAATCAAATCATAGATTTAGTAGGTTTAACAAACCCAATATTGATACTGTTTGAACTTGTAATTTTTAACAACAGTAGTAAAACAAGTACATTCATGGTGTAGATAACACTCTTGTTGACCTGGATGGATGCACATGAGGGTTCTTGTTGAATGAGGAAGCCAAAATATCAAGAAATTACCACTTGGTCAGGCAGATGACTCCATATACCTTTTCATATCCTATCTTGAAAATCACCTAGTTGAAAGGCTTTACTGCTTAACCCTTCCACCTGCCTAAAATAATTATAATGAATAAACAAGACATAACAGAAACAAGTTGCTTGTTGACAGAAACGTCCCAAGCTTGTACAAAATTACTGTAATATCTTTAAAATTCTTGCTTTTTTTTAGTGCAAGACAATCTGGAAAAATCAAGAGAAATAATTAAAAAGCTGAAGGAGGAAAAAAGGAAAGTGTCTGTGGAGATGGAGGAAAGAGTACAACAGACTGAGAAGGCAGTTGAGGATGAGAAAGAGAATCTTATACAGGAACTGTCACGGGCCAAAGCTGCTGCAGTTACCTGTCTGCAGGTACAAAAATTTGAAAAATAAAACCAAAATAGAACATTTTTCAGTCACACCGTTGAATAATTTAATTGGATGGGAGATTGGGGGGAGAAGATTTGGGGGAGAGGGAGGGGGGAGGGGTAATTGATGTAAACCATTTCTGTAATCTGTTACATTGTGTTCTGTCTTTATATATTAAAAAAAACCCTTAATACAAAAGGAAACTTTAAGAAGACCTTGAATAAGTTTGTGTTTTGAAGGTCAAGGTCACAGTAAATATATTTTCATTGATATTGGTCAAACATTGATGATGAATTCAGGTAAGACATTTTCTAATTCACAACAATTTAAAATTATCATCCTTGGAAGAGTTGTTACAATCCTTTTAAGGACTTTTTTCTGTTTTAGGAAGAGACAGAGAAGAAAGTGTCTGCCTCAGTGGAGAGTGTCAGACAGGAGAGAGATGACTACTGGCATAAACAGATGGAAGAACAAACTCGTCTTCACCAGGAAATCCTCACCTCCAAGGTAACTTTCCTTATATAAAATGATGGGTACTACGCAGTATCACAACAAAGAAGGTTTGACTTTGTCGTAACTCTGACAACGTTGTAATATTATTTATCACATAATTTGTCTGACATCCAGTGAATTTGCCTATTTTTGTGTATATGTCACTTGTGTAATATATCCTGGACAGTTTTTCATTGCTTATACCATTCAGAAATTGTTTGTGATGTCATAATTTGGACACCTGAGTTGAAAAAGGCTCAACCAAATGGCTGCCTCTCTTTGACTCCCCATCCCCCGCCCCCCACATTGTTACATCAAACAATACCTAGTGTATTGATATATACGTGTAGACAAAAATTGCACAACAGCAATAATTAAACTAATGTTAGTGCACTATAAGAAATAAGAAAATGTCTAATTAATATTCACAACGTGTATAAATGATATTTAAAACCTATTGAAGTTATTTATGAAATCAATTAAAACAAAAGAATGACCTTGACACAGGTACAAGAAAAGGACCATGAACTAAGTGAGTTACAAAAGCAGATCCATCGTCGTCTGGTGGAGAAAGAGGAGGAGATGAAACTTAGCAATGAGGAAAAAGATCTACAGAGGATTGCTGCTCTCTCCCAACAAGATAACATTAAGGATCAGCTGGAGGCTGAGGTCAACCAGCTCAAACAGGTATCTTAGGAATGCTTTTATTCTTGTCTTGATTTTGCAGTTGGTACTGAAAATACAGACACCAGAAGTCATAGTTCTCGAATTGGAAATTATTGTGAATAAGATGACTGAATTTGATATAACCCATAATTTGAGTGTCATTGAATGAATTAATGTAGGTATCATGGGAAACTTTTGCCCTTGGAATTTGTTTTTACCTTTGTGTATAGGGCATGGAAATGAAACTAAAACTATGGTGAAAGTTTCCCAGTATACAGGACATTGTACATTGTATCTTTGCCCTGTCAAGCAATACCTGGCAAAACCTGTCCTCAAGAAATATAAGTATTTTACCTACTGAACTCGTGAAGCTGGATAATGCCGAGAACACTCCTTTCTACATATTGTTTTGTTATACTCTTGAGTGGAATCCCTGTATACTTAACCTTATCCATTCTCCAGCCACCAGTATACTGAAGAACCCGACCTATATTGACCATGTTGGCCCTTGGTCTCCTCTATTCCGCACATAATTTATGATTTTGTAACAGAACTGAAATTTAAAAGTCTGAGGACTGGTAACACAGAAATCTTTCGTGTGAAAATGAATACTTTTGCTTCTTATGATTGGAGTTGTACATCCTGAAATCTTATTTCTGTGATTATAGAAAGACTTTTATAACCACATTTTTAACTTGTTACATTTTCAGATATAGAAATTTATAATTTATGGATAATCTCTAAGGGGGTTGAGGTGTCAACCTCAAAAATGAAATTGACCCCTCTATGTTTACATTAGTTTTACTTTCAGTTTTATATAGAATAACCTTCTTTTTTACTGTATTTACAAACATTGCTGAAAATGATCCATTTTTATAGGATTTTCCCTGTAATTTGAAGACTGGAAAAGAAAGACAGTATTCTGAAGCCATAGATTTGTCTTTAGCTGGAATTTCAGAATTTTATAGTTTTGTATCTGGAAAATAATTCTAAAGTCTTCAAATCAGTTCTGTTACATTTAGGGGCTGGAATTGTATGTATATAAGGGAGACTTCATAATATTTTCAGTCTTCTGGAAGGATTGAAAGTGCAAGTCCGATTAGCTACCCAGATGAAATTGAATTTCAAAAATCAAAGGTTTCAATTTCCATGTGAATAACAAGGATTGTTCTTTGGTTCAAATTTTTGCTGGTTACCAAAAGCTTGTAGCAATAAGGATATACTTTTGAAGGATTTTTTTTAAATGGAGCAATTTTTTCTTATTAATTTTTTTTTCAAAATATCTATTTTTTATTCCATCCTTGCAATAGAAAAAAAATATATCTCTTAACAAAAAAGACTTGTACAGCAGGAAGAATTTCACTTTTTTTAAAAAAAAAAAAAAATCAATCTTTTTTTGTATCATAAATTAAATGGATTGTGATTGACATTCTTTAATTTAATTTAATTTTTTTCAGGACATCTCAGGAAAGGAGGAAGAATTGACAAAACTGACAGCAGACCTAAATCAGCAACGTGAGATGTTTGAAAGGCAATTAACAGAAGTTCGACAGACATTCCACGAGGAAATGGAAACTTTGAAGAATCAGCATTCTGAGGCACTCATTGCCACAGAAGCTGCTCACCAGAAACAAATGATGGAGAAGATTCAGACTTTAACTGACCAACACTCAGCTGCACTAGAGGAAACGTCAAGATTACACGAAGATTCACTTCAGGGTTCCGCAAAGGAGATTGAAGCATATTACAAAAATCAGGTGAAAACTGATAAAGACAATCTTGAGCAGCTCTTACAGGAACGGAATCAGCAAGCAGAAAAGTTGGCGGAAAACATTCAGCTTTTGAGAAGTGAAGTGACAGCTAAAGAGGAAGGAATCAAAACCTTGAAAGAGGAGTTTGAGTGTAATAAAGCGGAACTGGAAAGAAGATTACAGCAAGAAGTAGAGATATCCGAAAAGCTTCGTAAAAACTTAGAGAATCTGAAAACACAAACACAGAAAAGTAAGACTGATATGGAAAATGAGTCTGCCTATTTCAAAGAGGAATTGAAAGAATCTCAAGCTAGTTTGGAAAAAGTAGAAAAAACAAATAAAGAGTTATTTAGTCAGGTACAACAGCTGCGGACAGAGAAAGAGAAAATTGAAGCAGAATGGAAAGAGAAATATGACCTCACTCTTCAGGAACACAACAATACTATGTCTGCCATTTCAGAATCATCTGAAGACAGTTTGAAACACATCACAGGTCAGCTTGCAGAAAAAGAGAAAGAGCTTCAGCTGTTGCAAGCACAGCTGGATGAAGCTCAGAAAAATATTCAACATTGGCAACATGTGGCCGAGGATGAAAGCCAAATATTGAAGGAATCTGAGGAGAAGTATGTGAGAGTAAAAGCTGAGAACCAACAACTGGAGGACAAGATCCGCACCTTTGAAAGTTCATTAAGTGAATCGTTGAAAACAAATGAGGAATTAAACACTAAAGTAAAAGAGACACAAGAATTGTTTAACACAAGTCAGCAACAGATTATAGCAGAGAAAATGTCCATAGAAGAGAAAGTGTTGAAGTTACAGGAAGATCTAGATAATAGAGAGGCCATGGTGAAAGAAAAGGACGAGATTTTAGCTGTACGAGAAGAGGAACTGACCGCTACAAAAGTCGTAGTGCAGGAGACGTCCAGCAGTTCTCTGTCCTTGGAAAGCAGGGTAGCCGAGTTGGAGGCAATTGTCAAGTCCAAGGAGGAATTATTTGAAGAGAAAGAGGTGGAAATGAAAAGCGTGAAGGAAAAATTCAATCAGCTGAGAGCGGAAGCAAAAGGACGTATAAAGGAGCTGAAGGATAATTTGGACGAAACAACACAGAAACATCGTGAGGAGGTGGAGGAAAAGCAAAATGAAGTAAAGATGAGATTTGAAGAAGAGAAAAATGAATTGATCAACCAGCACAATATTCGTATCAAAGAACTAGAGGATATGATTGAACAAGAGAAAACTAATGTTAAAGCCCTTGAGGAGAGTTTCAAAGTACAATTTGAAGAGAAACTAACAAAAATGAAAGAAGATAGGAAAAAAATGAAGACAAAGTTTGAGGAAACATTAGCAACAAAAGAAAGTGAATTTCAAAATACCTTGTCTGATTTAATCAAGCAGAAGGAACTTGGAATGGACGATGTCATGAAAAGCATGGAAAGTGCAAAGGCCCAACAAATACTCGAGCTGGAAGGCAGACACAAAACTGAACTTCAAACTTTGAATGAAGAATGGCACCAGAAAGTGAAGTCAGAGAAAGATGCATCTGATGAGAAAGTAAAGGAACTGACTCAGATCCATGAGGATACCGTAGGTTCACTAAAAACATCTTTAACAAGTGAAATTGAGGAAATAAGCAAGAAACTTGAGTCTGAAAAGAGTGCTTATGAAATTCAGGTAGAAAAATTACGGACAGAACTTGAAAGCGTAAAAGTGGAGGGTGAAAATTCTTTGAAAGAAATTTTACAAAAGAAAGAAGAGGAAAAGAAAGTTATACAGACAGAACAAGAGAAGATGATAGAATCTTTAAGACAGGAGAGTTCTGATTCAAGTGCTAGACTGCAGGAGATATCTGATAAATTGACAGAAATGGAAAATGAAAAAGTGAATTTAAGTCAAAGTTTGAAATTACAGGAGCAGCAATGTGTAGAAAAAGTGACACTTTTAGGTGAGGTTGAAAAACAAAGCAAGGAAAGGGAAATCTCTTTGGAACAAAATATTCAGGAACTCAACCAAAAAATGGTCACGGTGTCCGAGAAACATGAACAGGAATTAAAGGAAAAGGATAGTGTGGTGACACAATCAGCTGAACGAATAACACAATTAGAAACAGCTAACGAATCCATGGAAGAAATGCTGAGAGCTCTAAGCGAAAGTGCTCAAAACAAAGATGAGAAAATTCAATCTCTCACTGATGAGCTTGAAACAACAACACAAAAAATGAAAGCTGCAAATGATAAGCAGACAGAGTTAGTAGATAAGATGGTGGTAGAGTTAAGGCAACAGGTACAAGACAGTAAGTCAGCTCTGGAAGAGAAGGAATCCAAATTTGAAGAAATGTCAAAACAAGTTCAGAATGATCATGAATTCAAGATGGAAGAGATGAAGTTGGATTACGAGAAAAGATTGTCAGATATGATGGTCAATGATGAGGAACTCCAGGCAAATTTAACCCAGCTACGTAACAAAGTGACAGAGACGGAGGAAAAGCTTCATGAATGCATCCAGAATTACGAAAATCAGATTGAAAAATTGAAAATAAAACTGGACTCTCAGGAAACAGTTTTTGGCAAAGAGAGAGAGATGTTGAAGCAACAACTTGTAGATGCTGAAAGTCAAGCAAAAATGACTACAGAGGGCTTGCAGACGTCACTCCAAACAAAGGTACGGGAAGCAGAGGATAAGATCATGGAACAGAACAAACAGTTTGTCCAAGAGAAAGAGAAAATTGAAGAAACATGGAAAACAAAGTTTCAGGAATTGAAAAACACATATAAGGTGAAATTGAAAGAGTTTAAAACAAAGAATGATGAAAACATGGCAGCACATACTGAGAAATCTAGGAATGAACGTGAAGCACTGCAAGCAAGTTTGAAAGCTGCTGAGGAGAAACTCCAAAGAGAAGTTGCAGGGAAAGATGATATATCCTCAGAGCTTGTTATGGCAAATACAAAGCTGCTTCAACTCCAGGAATCCTCTGGTGCTAACAGGATTGCAATACTTGATCTGGAAAAAGTAGTGGAAGAGAAGGAAAAGTCATTATCCAGCATCAAATCTGAACTCGGCAAAGTACAAGGTAAACTCACTACAAAGGACGAACAGTATGTTGCTATGGAGACAAAACTAGGACATGTTGAAAAAGAGTTAAGTTCAAAGACACAGGAATATGAGACAGCAATTTCTGTTTTAAAGGAAGAAAAAGTGGACTATGAGACTAAGGTTAGTGATTTAGAAAAAAATGTAGCTCATCTGAAACAAAGTTTGTCTTTGTCTGAAGAGAGCTGTGCTAGTTCTCGTCAAGAGTTTGAAAACTTGCAGAGAAGTTTGACTGATGTAAGCGGTGCTTCACAAGGGCTAGAGAAAAGGATCTCAGCTCTGTTACAGGAGAAAGAAGAAATGAGGGATAAGCATGAAAGGGAGAAATCTGAAATTGTACAGAAACAAGCAGATATTGAAGCCAAGAGTGTTGAGCTCCAAAAAAGTTTCCAAGATCAAGTTAGTGAGCTCAATTCACAGTATGAATTGGACAACATGAAACTATCCGAGGAATGTGAAAGAGAGAAATGTGAGAAGGAAAGACTAGCACAAGAACTTGAACTAGAAAAAGTAGACAAAGTAAAAATTGTGGAAGATATGGAGATCGAAAAAAAGAACTGCCAAAAACTGTCTGAGGATTTAGAAACGGAGAAAAAAATGAAAGGGAAACTTCAGGATGAGTTTGAGCAAGAGAAAGTAGAAATGAAAAATCAATTAGATCAAAGTGTGACAGAATTGAAAGAGCAGTCTGCCAGAGAAATTGAAGAAATTACAAAAAGTTTAGAAGCAGAGAATTCATCGAAAGTAGCAGATTATAAAAAGAAAGCTGAAGCATACATATCCCAGATGAAACGTCAGCTTCAGGAAGAACGTGATAATTTGGCAAAGGAAAAGGAAGGCACTGTTGGGGAACTAGATCAGAAATTATCACAATGTAGTGAAAAACTGACTGTGGCAGAGTCCAAATGTTTCGACCTGCAACAGGCATTAGACACTGCCAAGGCAGAAAAAGAAAATGTTGTTTCACAATTACAAAAGGAGAAGCAACATCTAGAGACTTTATATGCACAAGAACAGTCATCTCGTGAATTGCTCGTGCATGAACAGTTACAGTTGAGCGAATCTAGTCAATCTACAGAACAGATGTTACAAGAAAACATAAAACAGTTAGAACAGGATTGTGAAAAATTGACAGTGCGTGCGAAAAAATTAGAAAGTGAAAATAGGACTATGAAGGAAAGTAGTGATTCAGAGATAAAGAAGTTAAAAAATACGAGTAAGAAAGTCGAGAAAGATTTTCACAGTTTCAAAATTGAATCTGAGGAAGAGATGGACCAATTAAAGAGAGAACACTCGATGGAATTAGAAAAGATGAAACAGCACTACGGAGAGTTGATCCAGGACAAGGAGAACGAACATGGGTCCAAAATCAAACAGCTGGTTAAAGAATTTGAAAAAAAATTGGGATCTAAGGATCGTGAATTTGAAAACACATTTTCTGAAGCTGTTGGTAAGTCCATAATTAAGACAGAATGTATATTTGTCTAGATATAGACAAAATGTTGATTGGTGCAAGTAGGGTAATCGCCACTGTAAAGATTAGTGTGTTTATCAATATGGACTAGGTCAGGTTATTGACTGTTTGTCGAGATGGTACAAAGTTGTTGTATTCAGGTTAAATTTTGCAGTTTAAAAGGAAGAAAAATTTCGGGTGTTATTTTTTTTTTCAAATATATACATGTCTTGAGGTCATTGATACTTTAAAATAATAAAACCGGACATTTTATAAGTCATAAGATCTTTCTGTTATGAACAGCAGAATAATTTAATGTTATGTCATATGAGTATTTGATCAGATGTTAAAAGGCATGGAGAGGTGAGCACAATTTTTTTTTCATGAAAGTTAGAGATAAAAACTATGACAGAAGAAGGTTGTGTGGTCTACACTGATTTTCTCGTATAGTAGTCAGCTATTTATTTATATTCAAAATAATGAGGCTGAAATATTGGTTTTGTTTCCAAATTCAAGTTGCATTTTCTTTACCAACGATTCATATCTCAACATTTCTCGTGTGAATTTTTCAGTGTCGATAATTTTATTAATGGCACTGTTTTGGTGGTTAAAGTCCCCAAGATGAGTGTGCTTATTAAATTGAGATATTCATTTAATTTGGAATACTGTTGAGAGTGAAATAATGATTTAGATTTCATTTATTATGAAATTACACAGAGAAGAGTAACAGGGAGGAGAATCGCTTGATGTTTGAGCACAAAGAAGCTATGGAGGAATTACACCGGGAACTCCATGAGAAAGATGATTCCACGGAAGAGATGCGAAATCAATTGCTGGAGCAGATGAAGGTCAGATATTCAGCCTTCTTTGTGAGATTGTAATATAAATAGTTGTACCTCTTTAATCTCAAAATTGGTAGGACCATTTGAAACTTTGATTTGATTTAAGTGAGTTTGACTGTTTTGTGTAAAATAAGGCATGGACTGGTGAAATGATTCCAGTTAAACAGGGTCCTTGAGTTATACCAAGTTGAGATAATGATGTTTGACTATATGTTAGTCCTACCTGTTTACCTTTCTTTCCCTGGGTTTGCTCCATTATTTGGTGCAAAAAATATATATTTTATTTACTATGATATTTCATAATTTGTTGACAACTATCGCATTCAAAACTAAGATGTTTTTATGTCTCTGCTATTTTAAAGAGGAGGATGGAGGGGGAGGCATACAGCGTTACCCTTGTCCATCCATCACCATCCATGTTGGGTCCTGTTGCATTCTATGCAGAATCCACATCCTATCTTGAGAATCTCTCTACAAATTTGGTTCCTATTTATCTCACACTAAAATAACAAAGATTTACTCCTTAGCATATTATGGTAATCTTTGGTCAAGATGAAAGGGTTAAAGGTCACATTTGACAATTTCAGCAAATTCTTCAAACATTGATAGTAATTAGTCTGGGAAAAATCATTTATGTCTTATGAACATTTTCTAGTTTTACTTTTATGAAGCAATGTGATTATATCCAATTTCTTCATTTTTGCAAACAAGTATCCAGGTCTTGTTGACAACACTATATCCTACTACACCTTGTCCATTTAGAAATCTGAAGAGGAATCAGATGCGAGAATTGGTGAACTTGAACAAAAACTTTTAGAACAAAACCAGCAACATCAGTCAGAGATTACAGAATTAAAACAGAAACATGAAGTCAGTATTTGGGAGCTTCAGGAAAAGTTGAAACAAAATCATGAGAAAAACATGGAGGTCAAAGAGGTCATCCACAAAGAAGAAGTGCAATCACTTACACAGGAATGGAACACGGAGAGAAAGGTTGGCTTGTCATTATTCTAGGCTGATTGTTACTGTATAACATAGAAATCACCTTACTGTAGATATGAACTTTTCTAGGCATTTACCATATAAGGAGCTATCTTTTTTGTCTTTGTTTTTAGGTTGTATTATTTTCTAGAGGGCAGTTTTAATGAGTGTCAGCTTGTTGGTCATATTTTCATGCAGGATTGTAGATCTTAATTGTATTACCTAAAATGGGTGTTTTTATCACATGATTGTCTTTATGTACTGGTAAACGTTTGTTATTTCAGTAAGAAATCTTTTAAGTAGATTGACAATGTTTATGGGTTTGATGGTTGAATGGTTTTTGGGTATAATATGAATTTGAAAATGTTTAGCATCACATTATGAATTTATGACATATATTTGCTGAAAAAATTCATTGTATACATTTATATGAAGACACATAGACAAGGGAAATAAATTTTTAATGACATACAAAATAAATGGCCTGCAAAATAAAGTTAATGGTGCCCTATTGCTTTTGATTTTTTAAATAAATTAGTGGTTTTTAAAGTCCGAATGAATTTTTAATGGGTAAGTAGTGATACCATTTACAAAAATAACAAAATTCTGCCCAAGTGATGAGTTATTTAAGATAATGGTTTGATACAACTTCAATTTGTTTCTGATCTTTTTACTTTTAACATGTTGTGTAGGATTTTGTGAGCGATCTATACTATAGAATGAGGTGTCAGATCTATTAGCAAATTCAGAAGAGCATTTTGAAAATTAATCTTTTTGTTGTAAAATATAGGAATTTCCACACTTATAAAAGTTTAGAAAAAAAAATATTCCAAGTAGTTCCAAAATTGTTACCGAATGTTGTTACGATTTCAATGGCTTTGTGATTGATTTTTTCAATGAAATTGTTTTAGTATTAGTGGTATTCAGACTATTGCAGTTTTTACTGTGTGTATTACTGTATGTTGATGGTACAAGTTTGAAATGTATGCATTATATATACTGTATATGGGAAAACTTTCACTGCAGTCTAACTTTTACCTTTTTTCTCTTTTGCCTATTAAACACTATCAAAAGATGGGCTAGAATAGGATAATGAAATACAAGTTTATGTAATTTAGTTCAATTAAACACTGATTGAAAATTTGATAGTTTGATGCAAAAAAGCCCAAGGTGAATGTTTTCCTGCATATATTGTATACTGAAATTCCCCAACACTTTTTTGTTTTTGTTACAAATTTGAATGTTCTTGCCACTATCCTTGTGCTGGCAGCACTGCTACACTTTACTTCACTGTAAAACACCTCATGTTTTGTTTTACCTTCCAAAATTTAGATTAGTTGATGGAAGTTTCAAGTAATAGTGAAAATAATCTTATCATGATCAGTAGAATGAAATGAATAATTATTCTCGTCATCATATTTTATCCAACAATAAGCCCATGTCTGGTAAATAAGTCTGCCCAGACATTTATATTACTGTTGATTAAAATGTTAACAAATTGTAAGATTTTTTTTATCGAACAGGATATGCGTTCATTGTTATAGCCTTTCGACCTTCCACCTGACAAGTTTTTTTTAACATTTTTTTTTTAACAAATACCATTTCTTTGTCTTGCATTAAGCCCATCCTGGACCTTGAGTCAAAGTTGATGTGTTGGCCCCCTTATTAAGAAAAAGAAAACATTATGAGTGTTTTACTCAGCATTTACTTCCATCAGCTTCATGCATCATTACTCCTTTATTTTTTCCACGTTCACCAATTTTGTTTATATGAATATTATTTCAATATTATTTTATTATGACATGTCATCATCATCGTGTTGTAGTCCGGGAGCTTACAGCTAGCAGGTGATCCAAGTGTCATTGAGCCTGAGGTACACATCATTATTTTGTTTTCGTTTTATCAATCAAAGTCTGACCTAGCACTCTCTAATTCTTTGAACACTTTCATTCATTTGGTTTTTTTTTTCTCATATTGAAGAAAAAAAAAAGAAAAAAAAAAGAAAATTGTATTTTATATGAAAGCATTGCTAGGGTTTTATGTCAAAATTCTAGAAATTCATTCAAAACAGATGTTTTTGTCAAATCCAATTTCAAATTCAAGAATTATTTAAGAAGACGAGGTTTTTTATTGAGTCTTTGAGAGAGTTATTGTTGAGCAGTACTTGTAATTGAAGTTCTATTGTGAACCAGTGCTTACTTTACATGTAGTTTTTAATTACGTGTTCCCGCTTTTCGTATTTGTCAAGATTTGAAAAAAAAACTTGTATCTAATATTACAGTGCATTTCTCTTATATATAAAACTACATCTTTTAGAGAAAAGTGATATTAAAAGAATCCTAACATTATCAGAAGATATTACAACCACACAAACTTCTAAATGTAATATATTTCTCAGAGAAATGTGATATAAAAAGAATCATTACAATATCAGAAGCCTCAGTATTCTTCCTACAGTGTAATGCTGTAAAGTATGTTTAACTTGTAAGAGAGATGCATTTTTATACCGTAGACATTAGATTATAGGAATTCAATTATGCTGTAGGATACCTTACATAAAAACGAAAAAAATTTACATGACAAGCCACTGATTCGTGATTCAGTAAAAACAATTAAATGCTTATTGGTTGCATTTAAGAAAAATAAGATATTCATTTCTCATGTGATAAAGTTTGTATCTTATAATTTATACTCACTTTTTTCATGTTATGATATTCACATTTTTACCCAATGTTTTTTCTATAAATCTATTTCTGTTTTGATTCCGTATAAAGACACAAGAAATTCAGCTAAGCCTATACAGGTACATATACAGCGGCACTGTTACATGAGAAATGAATTTGTTTTGATATCGGTTTCAGGAGGTAGGGACTTTTCATAATGAATGGGAAGGTGTTGTTTACCAGGATGAATAGTGAAAACATAATTTATCAGGTCAATGCGATTCATGCATCTTATCCAGTTATAAGCAGTATGACCTCTGATTGTGTGTGTGACGTCTGATTTGTGTTTGACCTCTAATGTTGTTTTATTTCTGATGTGTTTGATCTGCCCAGGAGTTGCTTCATCACAACCAGCTGGCTATTAGTGCCCTACAGAGTGGCAACACTAGCGGTCATCTCCTCCAGAAACAGGTCATCGAACTGACCAATCACATCAGAGAACTGAAGGAAAGACACAGGTAATGATACAACTTAGTGGTCATCTCTGGTCTTAAACAACATCTCTGAAACATTTTCTGGTATCATTGACTTTACGTCATAAATATCTTCGCATGGGATAGGAATTTAGAGGTTGGTTTTAGGCTCTTGTAGTCCGAAGTAAAATGCATGCGTGAGATATTTTCTGCCAACAGACTGACACACATGTACAAATCTGGTAATGATATTTACTTCTCAAGATAGAATGCTGTAAACATGTTATTTTTGCGGGACGTTGATTTCATAGTTTCTACAGGCAATCTGAACATGGAGGTTATTTTCATAATACCATAAATTGGCGGGTATCGTGCACACTCGGGTATAATGAGAAGGGGGGTGTGGGGGATGTATATGTACCTTCCCATATTTAGTTCGTATTTGAATATATACGTAGTACATCACAGATTTATGCGTGTAGGTGAAATTGACATGGACGAATGACTTCCGTGTATTTGGTGTAAATTCCTCCCATGCTTACATTTCCACACTTACAGTATACTGCATACAGAAGGACTCCAGCAGGTCATTTGTTGTGCATAAGAATATACATGTGTATTATTTTGAAATGTAAATATTAGATATAAATTCACCATTTACTACTAACTGCAAAAGTTTCCTGGTATTTAGTGGTCAATGAAGTTTCAAAAATACTGTATGAATTGTTTATCCAGACTAGAATTAGCTGAAGCTCGTGGACACCTTGAACAGAATTCCCTACCCACAGCCTTACTGGACAGGCCGCTACCGACACAACCAGTCCGCAAAAAAGTGACCTTTGACATTTCTGACCCAAACCTTGAGAGTGATATACAGGACCTCGAGCTCACCAACATGGACTTGCAGGTCTGTGTACAATAAGTATATGTTCATTGTAACACCACTCTCACGGTGATTCTTTGAATCACATATTGATCTGCCTTACAATATAATCTTATTTACATATAGTCAACATATTAGAAATTAAAATGCACATATATTAAAACTGCAATACATATTATACACCCATGCTAACTAAGTGAATAGTTCTACTTTGTTATATAATGTAGTGTAGGAAAACCTTATTTTGTCTACATTTGATAATCAGGTTTCTTCAGCTATAATTTCTGTGCTGGAACTTCCAGTTGTCTTGCCAATTTTCACTGGCTGGGAGCAATCAACGATGAAGTCAAGTCCAAGGTGTTACTTTTCCATCCTGTATTTTATAAGAGTATTTTGTCCACTCTGAATGTTAAGATATTGTGTTTAGTTTAATTTCATATGAAGAATAAGTACTACCGAACTTTGAAGTTAAATCTAAAGGTGTTCTGCTCCCATTATTACAAAAATAGGTTTTTCGTTCATCTTTGGGTGAAAAATAAATATTTTGACAGGTTTGTAAACCACAAGAGTGATTAATCAGTTATATATTTCAATACTAAAGGAGATATTCTGCTAACAAAAATTTTTATTTTCAATACACAAACACTAATGATGACCAACAACAACAACAACAAAAACAACTTTATACAACAACAACACATCTGATGTACTCAATAACCACAACAACTACACTACACATCACAACTTCAACAAACAACTTCTAATGAATAAACAACACAATATCATTCAGACATACTTAGAACAAGGCGATCAGGTCACCTCAGTCTTGACGTCGGTAAGTCGTCACTGGAAATTTTACTTACCCCATATATAAGTAATTCCCTTTGTCAAGCAGTCGTCTGTATACCCCACATATAAGTAATTCCCTTTGTCAAGCAGTCGTCTGTATACCCCACATATAAGTAATTCCCTTTGTCAAGCAGTCGTCTGTATACCCTATATATAAGTAATTCCCTTTGTCAAGCAGTCTTCTGTATACCCCATATATAAGTAATTCCCTTTGTAAAGCAGTCGTCTGTATACCCCACATATAAGTAATTCCCTTTGTCAAGCAGTCGTCTGTATACCCCATATATAAGTAATTCCCTTTGTCAAGCAGTCGTCTGTATACCCCATATATAAGTAATTCCCTTTGTCAAGCAGTCGTCTGTATACCCCATATATAAGTAATTCCCTTTGTCAAGCAGTCGTCTGTATACCCCATATATAAGTAATTCCCTTTGTAAAGCAGTCGTCTGTATACCCCACATATAAGTAATTCCCTTTGTAAAGCAGTCGTCTGTATACCCCACATATAAGTAATTCCCTTTGTCAAGCAGTCGTCTGTATACCCCACATATAAGTAATTCCCTTTGTAAAGCAGTCGTCTGTATACCCCACATATAAGTAATTCCCTTTGTCAAGCAGTTGTCTGTATACCCCATATATAAGTAATTCCCTTTGTCGAGCAGTCGTCTGTATACCCCACATATAAGTAATTCCCTTTGTCAAGCAGTCGTCTGTATACCCCACATATAAGTAATTCCCTTTGTCAAGCAGTCGTCTGTATACCCCACATATAAGTAATTCCCTTTGTCAAGCAGTTGTCTGTATACCCCATATATAAGTAATTTCCTTTGTCAAGCAGTCGTCTGTATACCCCATATATAAGTAATTCCCTTTGTCAAGCAGTCGTCTGTATACCCCACATATAAGTAATTCCCTTTGTCAAGCAGTCGTCTGTATACCCCATATATAAGTAATTCCCTTTGTCAAGCAGTCGTCTGTATACCCCACATATAAGTAATTCCCTTTGTCAAGCAGTCGTCTGTATACCCCATATATAAGTAATTCCCTTTGTAAAGCAGTCGTCTGTATACCCCACATATAAGTAATTCCCTTTGTCAAGCAGTTGTCTGTATACCCCATATATAAGTAATTCCCTTTGTCGAGCAGTCGTCTGTATACCCCACATATAAGTAATTCCCTTTGTCAAGCAGTCGTCTGTATACCCCACATATAAGTAATTCCCTTTGTCAAGCAGTCGTCTGTATACCCAATATATAAGTAATTGCCTTTGTCGAGCAGTCGTCTGTATACCCTCTAATCTGAAAAAAACAGTGTATATTGTGTATATTATTTACATATGGTCATTTGTCTGATGAAGGTGACAGTGTTGTCATTGAAATGTCACACTTAAATCTTCCACTGGCCGTGTTTATAAGATGAAGGTGACAATGTAGTCATTGAAACATCACACTTAAACTTTCTACTGGTTGTGTTATAAAATTTTGTATTCTAATGACATTAACAACCCGAAGAAAGTATTATGAAATAAAGGTTTAGAGAAATGTTGGTTATAAATTGTAATTTGTGATATATTGTTCTTCAGGCTCAGGTTCAGCAGCTGAGTGGAGAGATCGCCCAGAGTAGGATTAGGGAGAGAGAGCTACACCAAAAGGTATCATATTTTATCATCATCAGACTGTGTCACTTGTTTTTCCTCATCAGTATCTAGGTTTTGCCATTTTTGCCATAAGATTTCAGGAGGAATGATGAACTGATATATTTTACTGAAGAAAGGGCTACATTATTTAATTAATAGTTATTTCTTTTCAATGGAAAAATCATACATTGCTAAAATGAGATATCCCAGCTTTGAGACCAAAATGCACTTTTTTTGACTTATTGAAGATAGGATTGTTATACAGTTTCTGTACCTTTTCTTTATATCTTTATTTATCCAGTAATATTCCCAAATGTCAAAGGTGACAATCTCACATTTTAAGTTGAGGGGAGAGGTGGGCTTGTTACTAAACATTGTCCTATTGCTGTGTAAATATGGTGAATTGTTGTTGTCTGTAAATACAATTTCATTTGATAAAATCAATGTAGTAATATAAAAACTACTACATTATAATGGTATGATTATTTCACATTTTGTTATTATTTAAAAACAATCATGGTGAATACTTTCAATATCTACACAACAAAATGAAGCTTTTAGAAAGATAGTCCTTCTAAATGTGGCGTGATATATTGGATCCTTAGAGGACTCTTTATCTGTTGTGATTGGTCATTTAGAAACAGATCATGAATCGATGCAAAATGATAGTCAAGTATTTTGATTAATTTTGAGTTTAATATGAAAATGTTGAAGAGACATGAAATTGAATTTATCAAAGTGGCGGAACTTTAACACAACTCGTATGTGTGATGTGAGGTAACATATAACTTAACTCTAACACATGAACATAACAGAGACATGGTAATCAAAAAAGGATGGATAACCCTTTAAGTATACCATACTAAGATGTTAAAGCCATTTCTCATGTTTCCTGTTTTTACAAAGTCATCGTTGATTTCAGATAAATTCCATGGACAAGAGACCAGCACAGCTATCTTTAGACTCCCCACCTCTCAGTCCAGGCTATGCTACAGATGGCACTGCATATGGACCACTTCTAAATGAGCCGACACAAATAGAGGTATGTTAGTGTTATGTATACCATCTCCTTTGTATCATCCTAGCAGAATAATAGTGTGTGTTGATGTGAAGTGCCTTAATAGCCCAGTGGTTAGTGTGTTGTCATACGTAAACTCATGTCTGTTAGTGTGTTGTCTTATGTAAACTCATGTCTGTCAGTGTGATGTCTTACGTAAACTCATGTCTGTTAGTTTGCTGTCTTACGTAAACTCATGTCTGTTAGTGTGTTGTCTTATTAAACTCATGTCTGTTAGTTTGTTGTCTTACGTAAACTCATGTCTGTTAGTTTGCTGTCTTACGTAAACTCATGTCTGTTAGTGTGTTGTCTTATTAAACTCATGTCTGTTAGTTTGTTGTCTTACGTAAACTCATGTCTGTTAGTTTGCTGTCTTACGTAAACTCATGTCTGTTAGTTTGCTGTCTTATGTAAACTCATGTCTGTTAGTTTGCTGTCTTACGTAAACTCATGTCTGTTAGTGTGTTGTCTTATGTAAACTCATGTTTGTTAGTGTGTTGTCTTATGCAAACTCATGTTTGTTAGTGTGTTGTCTTATGTAAACTCATGTCTGTTAGTGTGTTGTCTTATGTAAACTCATGTCTGTAAGTGTGTTGTCTTATGTAAACTCATATCTGTTAGTGTGTTGTCTTATGTAAACTCATGTCTGTTAGTGTGGTGTCTTACATAAACTCATGTTTGTTAGTGTGTTGTCTTATGTAAACTCATGTCTGTAAGTGTGTTGTCATATGTAAACTCATGTCTGTTAGTGTGTTGTCTTACGTAAACTCATGTCTGTAAGTGTGTTGTCTTATGTAAACTCATGTCTGTTAGTGTGTTGTCTTACGTAAACTCATGTCTGGTAGTGTGTTGTCTTATGTAAACTCATGTCTGTTAGTGTGTTGTCTTACGTAAACTCATGTCTGGTAGTGTGTTGTCTTACGTAAACTCATGTCTGTTAGTGTGTTGTCTTATGTAAACTCATGTCTGTAAGTGTGTTGTCATATGTAAACTCATGTCTGTTAGTGTGTTGTCTTACGTAAACTCATGTCTGTTAGTGTGTTCTTATGTAAACTCATGTCTGTTAGTGTGTTGTCTTACGTAAACTCATGTCTGGTAGTGTGTTGTCTTACGTAAACTCATGTCTGTTAGTGTGTTGTCTTACGTAAACTCATGTCTGTAAGTGTGTTGTCTTACGTAAACTCATGTCTGTTTGTGTGTTGTCTTACGTAAACTCATGTCTGTTAGTGTGTTGTCTTACGTAAACTCATGTCTGTTAGTGTGTTCTTATGTAAACTCATGTCTGTTAATGTGTTGTCTTACGTAAACTCATGTCTGTTAGTTTGTTGTCTTACGTAAACTCATGTCTGTTAGTGTGTTCTTATGTAAACTCATGTCTGTTAATGTGTTGTCTTACGTAAACTCATGTCTGTTAGTGTGTTGTCTTACGTAAACTCATGTCTGTTAGTGTGTTCTTATGTAAACTCATGTCTGTTAATGTGTTGTCTTATGTAAACTCATGTCTGTTAATGTGTTGTCTTATGTAAACTCATGTGAAGATTCTAGGTATTTGGTTGTCAGTCCCTACCCTCGGTGGTTTTTCAGAAAACTGAGACATGGACTGGTCTGTCCTGTTTTGTTTATGTCATTTTGAGAGACCCTTTACCCTAATAGTTGTTGATAGTTTGTGATAAGCCTCCCATATCTTGTACAGTGTGGTAGCTGCATCTACTACAAGTGGACCCTGCCTCTAAATGACCCTGGCTGTTCATGGGACAATTTACCCGAGAAACAAACAAATACTTGTTATGTTGACTTAGTAAAAACAATAAAAATTCGAAAAAATTTTAAATTGAAAATAACTTCATACCGAATCAAAAGACTGTAGAAGATATTTCTTATCTTTTTCTCCTTTTCTTCATAGAGTTTATAAATGTGTGATATATAAGTAAACTCTAATTCTATTCAGAGTTCTTTTGTTAAAATTGTTCAGATGTGTGCTTGCTTTAGAAAATATAACAACCATATGTCAATTGTCTTGTAAATACCTCTGTCCTATTGACCTGTCTTACTAGACAAATGCTACAAATTGATGATGTGTAGAACTGACAATTTAACCAAACACAGGGTATCTGAAGTGCAACTTGCAATCATGATTTGGAAGTCAGTTCTGATATTGAATTTTTATTTTTTCAGTATCTTCGGAATATCTTATTCCAGTACATGATGGGCAAGGAAACCAAGGTAAGTTTTTTAAATGTTTTTTTTGGGAAATTACCATGTGAAATAACATAAAACAAACACACCCATGGGATGGAGTGTCCTACTAGTGTCATCACGGGATATCAGTATAATACATATCGCCATTATGGGGGAGTTATGTCCTTTCCTTAAACCAATCTTGTCTATATATCTATATACAGATTTCAAGGGCAAATCACTTGTATTGCTGTAGGATATGTGCATAAAAATTTTTTCAACTTCTGAAAATATTCTCTTGAAATATTTTCTGAAATGTTTAAACGGCATATTCAAAATTAAATGAAATGTTGATGGAATTTTTGTCACTATAGTGGTTTCCTTAGTTCCTCATTAAAGAGGGGTCATCACTTTTTATCTCAATTTATAGAATCTTTTCCTTTTAAAATTTGATTCAAATACAGAAGATATAATGTTGAGTTCAATGAACAGCAGCATAGTGTTTGATCTTTGTAGCCATGTTTGATCGTTTACAGAGTTGCCAAGCGACATGTCAAAAATTGCCTTCATTTCAAAAGAGTTACAATTCATGTTAGCTACTTTAAGATAATGTTTTACCCATTGATATTTCCCCCTATTTATCTGTAGACATTATCATATAACATAGATATCCAGAAAAAAATAAACTATCATTTGTGATTTGTTGTTTTATCTTCAGACATTGGCTCGGGTAATTGGCACCATTGTCAAGTTCTCGGATGATCAGACGCGGAAGATCATAGCCAAAGAAGACACAAGAGCTGCTGTAAGTTAGTCATTGGTTGATTTGTATGTCAAGTGACCAATCAGCTTGAAGATCCTTGGTCTCAAGTGACTAATAATATTGAAGATTTTACAGAAAGCTTAGAAAATTATATATTCTAAATATTTTTGCTTTTAACATATTAATACTACTAGTACTAATATCTATGGTGTATTTAACAGAATTTTGAAATTAATGTTAACAACAATGTTCTGATGAAAAATATTCCTTAAATATCGTAAAATGTTTCATGTTTCCCCTGATTATTGAATTGGACAGATTTCATCAATTGATGTCAATATATTGTGTTTCAATTGTATTATCTAGAACTGATAACTAGGTAAATACTGATATTTGACATTTGATTTCTCGGCACAGATCAAGCACCATTTTTAAAAATGTGAATCTTCTATCATAATGATTCAACTTTCTTACTGTCAAGGTTGTTTTTACTATGGCTCAAATTTTTGCTATTTAATAACAAAAAAAGATTGTTTTCAAAGTACCTTATTTTGGAATTGTATTTTCAAAATAATAAGAAAACCCCTCAAAAATACCAACCTTTGCAGTATTTTAATGCACTGTATAATATGTAGAACAAATCAAATCACTTGCAAGCAAGATTTTAAAGCTGTTTATATGTTGTACTGCACTGCTGCCAACTATGTAGGTAACACCCTTTCAATGTCTGCCTTACAAACACTGATTAAGGTGATAGTCTTTATAAGTATGGTTTATTTTGTGTTAATGGTGTATCTTTAATATAAAGAATCTTATTTGAATATCAGTCTTAGGTTGAGGTTTTCTCTGAAAAGCTGCTGGTAACAGTTAAAAAAATTCTCTTTTATTAACATGTTAAGTAATTTTCTCAAGCCCAAAAGTAAATGGAAGAAAATTCATATAATACTTTTTCAATATTGAGAGTTACCTCCCTTCAAGGAAGTTGCACAAACCAAGTATAAAATATATTCATTCCCTACTCCCTATAACCCCCCCCCCCCCTCAAAAATTAAAGAAAGAAAAAGCCCACTGTCTCTAGCAGTGGTGGAGTATGTATTTGTTGCTTGGGTTTTTCTTTCCATTTTCAGTATTTGGAACTAATTTGTAAACAATATATCATAATAAGGTAGCATATATCCTGAAGCCTCTATGTCAATGAAGTAGCATCACTTTAGCAGACACCACAAAAAAGATACATCACAGTAGCTTGATTAAGAATAAAGGACAAGTCTGAAGTTGTTTTATTGATCAACTCTTCAACTCTGTCAGAGCTGCATTAATATTTGTGTTGCCAGTTCACTCCGAAGTCTGCACAGTTTGAAACAACCAATATGATATAAGCATAAGGGTTCATTGCCTGATTTTCTTCTGGCTTCTATGAGACGTGTGTAGGTGTTGATCAAACACATATTCATTAAAATGACTTACTTCTGAAGTAGGTTGCAAAGGAATCTACCTGTGAAATGTTTACTTTTTGTGTGGTTGTTTTTTTTTCATTGATTTATGATATCGCTCTTTATCCACAAAACACAAAAAGAATAACAGTCAGTAAATGAAAATTTTGTTCCCACATATATATATAAATATTACAGTAGACGATAGAAAAATCTTATTTTGATGAAGAAAAGTAAAAAAGAATTCTCAGACTTTCTGCTGGATCGTATTGAATTTAAAGTCTAAAGATTTGTCACCCATGGATTGGAGATTTGGTTGATAAGACATCAGCTTTCCACCAATGACAAGTTTAGGGTTATCTGTTTGTAGATGTAGGTTTTTTTCAGGTATTCCCTCCAATATAAGATCATATATCTGCTATCAGTCGTTCTCAACAAGACTAAATATTGTATCTCAATTGATATGACTTTACAAAAAAACAAGAAGGTTTGTATGTATCAGATTGATTAATGTGCACTTTTACATTTGCTCATGAGACACTTATACACGTATATCTCAAACAGGTCCAATAGGTGTAAACCCGGGCCACAGGAGCACTGGTTTGTTTTGTTATGGTTACTTATTTATGCATGTGTTGTGGGATCTGTCTCCTGCCAAAACATCTTCTTTATTTCAAATTTGCAAAAAACGTGAAAAAAATGAAAATTCACAGCAATTGAAACAAATTTTTTTTTTTTTTTTTTTAGTTTATTCAAATTTGTGAATCATTTGTTTAACTCTGATGTTTGTAAAGCCAAATGGAAATTTAGGAGACTATTGATAACATTTAAATTTGTTTTCTGTATCAAAGTGCCCTTCATTAAGGAAATAAATGATCGGTCTGTTTGAAGGCTGCCCTTTACATATTAATTTTGAACTTCATGCTTCATGATACCAACATTCCCTTATATGGGACTTCATGAAATGGGGTCATATCACAACAAGACATAAGTAAAATATATCTTTAATTTCAATTTACTGCTTCATTTACCAAGTACCTAATCTACCACCATTTTCTCTGTTCTTGACATTTCTGAGTACACTTTCCAAGGGCCCATGATTGCTTGTTGTAACCCCAATTGAAGATGTGAGGTACATGCAGATTAATTGCACCCTACCCATGGTACTATCCTACTCTCAGGAAGTTTTGAAACACACTGGTCTTTATTGTCGTGGTTGTATCCTTGGGCAAGATACTTTACTTCAGTTGTTCTGGATAGCATTCAAAGGGCCTTGAGTGTGTTGTTCAGTGAGGTAGCCATCAGCTACTTCAAGGAGACATTGCTGTTCATGGAGCAATGAACCAACTAACAAACAAATATCTCCCTTTAAAACTTATTCATTTTAAGCTGTGTTAAATAAAGTCAAACTTGGTTAACAACCTTTTATTGAAAAGCCCTTTTTACAAATTAGGTAACACATTGCCACTTTCTGTGTACTTACCATCAAATATGTCATTGATAAAACATCAAATAGAAAAGGTTTTCTTTAAAAAATTATATCTGTAACACATATATACAATTCAGTTTTGAAAGATAGTTAATTTGCAATTATTCTGCCTGACTTCAATAAATTGATCATGCTTTTGAATTTGGCTTGAGAATATTTGGAGAAATGGAGAACTTTCCATAGGTATTTTTGGGATATTTATTTCTGGTTTTCATGTTGTCTCCCCTTTTCTTTTAGTACATCACATGATGAAATTGAAAGTGATATTTGACCAATAATCTTTTGTGTTGATACTGTGTGACAACTTACTTGACTCTGATATCTTATTGAGTGAAATGAACAAGAATGATAAAATTTCAAGATTTGTGCCCAATCTGATTAAAACATAGGTCCTAAATCCAGCTCCATTACTCTCCACATTAGGGTCTGACAGCATCCCATAAGGGGTCATGTTCTAGTGAACTTTGCACCCTTTGAACTTCACTCAAAGCTCTGCAGTAGAGTGAAAAATTGGAACAGCATTTTAATCAGATTGATGCATAGATTCGTGACATGTTGAAACAAAATGACTTTGTGTGACCACCTCCATTCAATTTCAAGATTGGTAAGCAGTAGGTTGATTGGCATAAAGAGAAAGTCTTCAGAACATGATCCCGTTTGGGATGTTGTCAAATCCTAATAATATGGAGAGTAACAAAGCAGAGTTTAGGATTTGAATTTGAATTAGATTGGAGTTGATGCCCCTTGTTGAAAGAGTCTTAGATATAATACTCAAAATTGATGTCATCTTCTCTAGTAGCATCAATACCTAATTTAAAATTGTAAACTTCAGACTTATTTACATTTGTAGGAAATGAAAGTTTTGCTGTAATTTTTTAGATATTATGCTTGACCTCTCTCCAATTTCAAATGTTATATTAATGTCAAGAACATAGAAGGAGAAAAGGTGTGTAAGAAGTCACTGTACAGCATTGTGATGTACTCTATCTGTTATGTCACTTTCCTGTGGGAATAGTTCCTGTATAATTGTCTGGTGAGGTATAGGACCGTTAACACGTTGTCGGACAGTACAATACCTTTCCATATAAAACTGTAAACGAACTGTTACACAGGGAATGTACCATAACGGATTACTGGTGTCAGCTTTTCAGGGAACGGTATTATTTAGTCTACAGTCTGTGTTTCCTTTAGATATTTACGAAATATTAATTTTGATATTGTATATGTACACAAAGAAAACTTGTATTGTTTACTCTGATTACCTGTATGTGTATGAAAGAAATTTTACAGAAAGTAGAAAGAGCATTCTTAAAAATAGTTTTGAGATTACAAGACGATATATACATGAGTATCTATTATTATAGTTTAGTAGTATAATTTGCTGAATAATTGTTTAGAAGTTTTCAGATTCCTGAATTACTCAGCTTGAAATGAGTTAAACAACATGCACTGTAATACTTGTTGAAATATATATTCATTTATGAAAAATTAGAAAATAAAAAAGTACATGTATTAGTTTTTTAAAGATGGAAAGGAAAAAAGTACATGTATTAGTTTTTGAAATATTGAAAAGTAAAATAGTACACATATTAGTTTTTGAAAGATTGAAGTATTTGTTGAAATTAAGAGCAGTATACTGTTAAAAAGTAATTCAAAACAAGAAATTGTCTTGACATATTTTACTTAATAACAGCCAGATATGATTTCTTGAATTCTATTTTGTTTCTTTCCAGGGCTGGATGGGTTCACCAATGCATTGATAGTTATGTGAACCGTGACATGGGTTTCTGTCACTTGGAAGCATTGACCTCCTGTGGTATACATCTCTCTTATAAGGAAAACTCACAGAGATGTTTAATGGCATACAGTTTGACACACACTGCACCTCAAGTTTGAATTTGCTTGTATCTCACTCAGAGTTAGCAGAGCTGTATCAGCAGATACAGAAAAGCAGTCGAAGTATAAATGAAATGGATATATGTGTTTAAATAATTATTAGAAAAAGAAGGACATTTCTGTGAAACCTTGCATGGAGATATTAGTATTTATCAAGTATGTGTGTATGTGAAATGGGATATTCTACCTTCAAAACATATGAACATGTCTTTAAGGGTAAGGAAGTGTTTATTGAAGATGAAGGTGGATAAAAGATTTTTGTGCAAATGGCCAATGCGGATTAGAAGAACGCAGATAACTGCTGGAAAAATCTTTCATACTGTTTTATTATGCAAAGTTTGTAAACGGATAGTAAATATACAAATTACATATTATGTAGTAATGTAAGTATAAAGTAAATCTTCAATTTAAATTATTTTTAATTTACTTATTTGCTCAGGATACAATGCATTAGTCAATTAATTTGCAGGTTTTGAATATGAAATTCATTTAAAAAATAAAACAGGCAACTTAAACAGTTATCAAGATTTTTAGGAACCATGTGTGGCTTGGTGGAACTTCTTATCCAATCATACAACTATTTGCAAACAATTAGCTATATATAGATATATATATACATGTACTTCAGTACTGAACTGTACTATGATAATTTATTATTTACATTAATGGTTATGTTTGGTGCTCCTGTTGGTTGTCATGCATGTATTTAAGGTATTGAATTTTCTGTTCTTGTATATTGAAATATAGAACAATTCTAATTAAACATGTTGATAAGGATGTACATGGTGAAGTTTCGGTTACTCAGAATTTGTGGAAATGGTGTGACACAACAAAATCTCTCTAAACCATCATTCTGAAATAATCTTTGTCTTAGTCCAATCAATTAGTCCCAGTATAATAGTTTTTTTGCATGTAGCAAAATTACACCAAATTCTGTAATAAAAACGTCTCTCTAAGATAGAGAAATTACTGTGGTCCAATTTAAGGGTGCATAGTTTAATGAGAATACTTGGATATGGTTGCGTCTGAGTTTAAAACATGTGCATATCTAGCTTAAGTGTAAGTTATTTGTTATATATGTTATGAAGAATTCTATGACAGCTGTGGGGAATTATTTGTTTCTCAACACATTTTTAATGGGTTATTTCATCTTCATTCAGTGTTATCATCTCTTGCCATAATGATGCATCATGGGTATTCTTTGTTAAATGATTATACAGATGTTTATTTGTAACCAACAGATAATTCCATTGTTACTCAGAATTTACATATTCCCCATAATAAATATTATCAAATCCAAAGTATTTGATATGATAGAAGGCATTAGATATCTGTAGGTGAGCCAGCAGTGAAATAGATTTTCACACTGACTATATTCAACAGGTAAGAGGTCTTATAATAGTCCATGATTAGCCTTTCTATTGCATTAATTAAGAATGTAAGTTCATTGTCCTATAATTAGCACCCCCCCCCTGTTTAGCCAGGGGTAATGAGTGCTTGCTATATGGGCTCATTGAATGTTAGGTATGACACTCTCAGTATTTCAATGTTGTTAAATTTTAGGGCTTTTTGTTCATCAATTTCTGGCCCCATATTTCCTTGTTTGTTTGTGAAGCTCTTGTCAATGTATGAACTTTTAAAAATATGATTTAATTAGACATAACAAATTTGATCAATCTATATACTACTCTATTTAAGTAAAAATCTGTTTTTATTATTCTCTACAGAGGTGCCCACTGCCTGATAACTAGTGAATATTTTGTGTTGCTAGGTATATTTCATTGATTTGTCGATGCATTTTTCTTAAAAACACTGAAGAAAAACACAGGAAAATTCAAGGTTATTCCAAAGGTGAATTAAGATATTGATAAATTACATATCACAGATTACATTACATTCATCAGACTGAACAGATAAATCTCTGTCACTAGGAAATCAGCTCAATTCCAATATGTATTCTATACGATCTCCTCCTTGTTTGTTTGTGAAGCTCTCGTCAATGTATTTTTATGTTGACTTTATTGATTTCTGTTACTATTCAATCTGTGGTACATTTGCTGTAGTTTGCTCGCTATGTATGTATGTGTATTGCTTGATGTTAACGAATTGCGTACAATAATTAGCGAAGCCTGTGATTATGAACCTGCTTAGTATTTAACTCTTTTGTATGTGCTATCAATTATTTATGTTGCTTTTGTTTTGTTTATACAATGGAAATATTTCTTATCTTTTTGTTTTCCATGTGATCAACACGTATACTTCAACACATTTTTTTTTATACTTTTCTACGTCCGGGTTTATTTTATGTCCCTGTCACTGTTCGGCCTTTGATCATATGACATAACTGTTATCCCATCATTGGACATGTATTAGATTGAAAATAAATTTGGTTTTTAATTAATTCAATAGCAGTAATTGTATCTGAAATTTAGGTACCCTGGACCCACATTTTTCAAGCTATATCTCATCAATTTTCAAAATGAATTCTTTGTTTCATTGATAAATTGTTATAGTTCCGTTTCTGTAATTTATTAGAAACAAAGGAGGTGATTAACAGAGAGCAGATGGGAATTTTAGGAAAACAGTCTATATTTGATTCAGAATGCTCATGGGTGTGTCAAGACTCTGCCTTTTCATCTTGTCACATGATAATGATGATTAATCATTAATTTTGTTAAGATGTCATTTAGAGCATGATGAAGTGATATGATTCTGACTGTCGATTGCCTTTGAAAACAGTTGTAATCATCATTGGGTTTCTTCTATTTTGATTGACTGGGTTCTGTTTTGGGGTAACCTGCAAATGGAAGAAAATTGATGTGTAGATAGGTTTTTCAAGCTAAATGTTGATTTTGTTTGTATTTGGGTGATCTAAGTGTAAAAAAAAACCAAAGCAACTTAAAAGAGATGGAAAAAATCTGTGTTATATTGAATGAGGTTTTAATGCAGAAATGGAGTCATGATATTGATAAAGAGTCAACATTGGACATTTTAATGTGAGGTAATTTTGTATGATATTTAGTAAATTGTAAGGGGAGATAATTTTGTGTAACATTTGGGAAACTTTAAGTGGAGATAATTTTGTATAAAATTTGGGAAACTATAAGGGGAAATAATTTGTTTCTTTGCCAACTCCAATAACATCATATACTGTATCTAAAGTTGTATTATTTTGTTATGATCTGTGGGACCAACAATAAAAGATGTATAACAAGCTCAAAAGCAATTTGTAAACTGATTTAGAGTCAGAAACATAAAGAGTATCATTACTTTAATGTAAAGGTTACTGACTGGTGGCTGGATAATCCTTAGTCCCCACAAATATGGCTGAATTGTGGGTTGGTAGACAAAGTTCATAGGGAAACTTAAGCAAGTTCATTTTTTTTTCAAAACAGTCTAAATGATGTGAAAGGGTATGAACAGGAGACCTGCTCTGGAAGGTATTTATGTAGGCATGATTAGAAATATATCTTTGTATCATGTCATAAGATTCCCTAATTTTAAAAATTTTAACTCAGCTTTAATTTTATCAATGAAGTGCTTTATTGTTAGTTTGAAAGCAATACCGTCCTATAATACTATGTTTTAAATATTCTGATTTTGTCAACCATGCATTAGGCTCTATCAGCATTTGGCTCCATCAGCATTTGCAACTGCTTTGAAGTTAATGAATTTCACTGGAAGTTTTGATGGTGTACATAAGCAGTGATTTTTCCCAGTTGGAAAACTAATAGAATAGAATATCAAAATGAATGATAAAAAATGTGTTATCATAATTAGGTTGAACTAAAACTACAAATGGAACTGAATTTTATGAACTTCCACCACCTGCCTTCCATTATCATTGTTTTATCTCATAACTTTTATCTGTTTAAGAAAGTAGAATAAATAACGTTGTCATTGTTAAAGATTTCTTTAAAATTTTGACGTTTTCTTTGTTATTGGAAAAAAGAAAATATGATCACATGTGCAACACTTCCTGTAAAAAAGTAATTCCTGACAAGTAAAGGTACCTTTACATCCCACTATGCTATTTCCAGTGAAGTTTTCACCACAGTTTTACTTAAGTATGTTTTCTCATTTTGAAATGAGATGTGATGAAAATTTAACATATGTCAGAAAGTATGTTTTTAATGCATTTCAGATCTAATTTAACACCAGGGAAAATGTCCAGCTTTACACAAAAAAAACCTTCCTCGAATATTGATACAAGAAAACAAACAACAATACAAAAAATATAAAAGTATCAATACAAAGGTGAAAATGTCCTTGGGGTTGTCGAATTTCATTCTACCCAACACCATGTGACTTTTGAGACAAAGAATTTGATAGTTTGAAAAAAGTAAAATTTACATTCCACAAGAAAAAACCCCATTAAAACCACAATGCAGCTTTCCGATTTAACCCTATGAAATTCTGTATATATATGTAGAGAAAGCGTGACAGTTGCTTTGTAAATGGTACTTGCTTGTGTGGTGTGTTTGTTGATGGAGATATTTGATCTGAAGCACACTTTGAACATGCTTCCTATCATGATGGGTTATGTGCAATTTTAGTACATAACTTTAAAAGAGATTTATCTGCACTAGCTAAACAAATTGTTTGTTAGAAATGAAATAGAAGGTTTTATCACTTGGTTTAGCACACGTAATGTACTCTAATTTTAATGTACATATATAATTATGTAATTCAAATTAAATTGTAATGATATAAGGTTATTAAAAGAAACATATATTTCACTCTATTCCAAAGACTTAAGTTTTCAATGAGTTTGTTTTGAACCTAGCTGGTTTGAATTGATAGTGTTTCAGTATGGCCTTTATATGTTCCCAATCTAATGTAGATGACAATAATAAAGCATTATCCCACCAAATTGTAGACAGTTTTAACATATCTTATTTATTAGGTCATTTGGCTCAGGATGACCTATATAACCATTGTGTTTCGTCCTTTTGGTGCCGTGCCCTGTCCACGGTATGTAAACTTTCCATTCAAATGACTTCTTCTTAATAACCAAAAGGCCAAAGGTTATGGTCTTGAGACAGAAGCATGATGGGATGAAGAACTACCAAGTTTGATAAAATGCATGACCTTGAGTTACTTTCAAAGTCACAGCTGTCAAATATATCAAAATCTTTAACAACTTCTTCTCAATAACAAACAGGTCCTGGATGCTGATATTGGGCCAGTGTGATGCTGGGATAGAGGGCTACCAAGTTTGTTAAGATGAATTACTTTGACCAACATTTAAGGTCAAAGGGGTCCAATGTGTTGAAATATTTAAACAACTTCATCTCAACAAATAACCAAATGGCCCATTGTGCTGATATTGGGCACGTATCATGTTTGATAAAATGAATGACCTTGACACATTTTCAATGTCACAGAGGACGAATGTGTAAAATCTTTAAATGATTTTTCTCAATAGCTAAAATGACCAGAGTGCTGAAAATCGGCCCGTAGTATGCTGGAATGTCGGTTTACCAATATGGTAAATGTAAATGACATTTTCTCTTTCCAAAGGTCACAGGGGTCAAATGTGTTGAAATTTTCAAACGACTTCTCAATAACAAACGGATCCAGACTGTTAATATTTGTTCTTTGATATAAGTGGATGAAAAGCTACGGATTTGTTCAAATAATTGACCTTGACCTATAGTAAAGATCTCTTTGGTTAAGTGAGCTGAGATATCAAAATTTCTTTTTCATAAGCAGTTTTGGATTAATAACATTTGTGTAATAACATGTACAAAGAACATGATTTCAAGTTTGCAGAAAATGTTTTAGTAACCAAAAATGTCTTGGTAAGCTGTAGAGTAGTTGTGCAATTTATTCTAGGCCTATTCGGCCTCTCATATACACGTCTTTATAGTCAGATGAGCGTTAAGGCCCATGGGCCTCTTGTAATTGATGTCCTTACTTCCTTGATTTGTTTCAGGGCTAATTGTCATTATATCATCAATAGACGTTAACTTAAATATGCTGAACACTCTTAGTATTTCTCTCGGTGTAAGATTTAATCTGTATATAAATAGTAGTCGACTTTCTAGGAACAGACAAATGTTACTCGAATTCACAGGATAGAAAATAATTTTTTAATTCTAATTAAAAAAGTGACACTTGTATCGACTGTCGGTAAATAAATAAAAATATCAATTTATGAATTGATTTACCGTCCGATTGTGGATCTCTGTCATCGGAACCCTTCCCGACCTAGATTTAGGTCAGTCAGGCGATTCTGCAGTCAATCAATATTCCCCAAACCGAATGATATTTTACTCCGCGCTGGGAAAACAAGTTCATAACGTGATTTTTTTCCCTGTGTGACATACAAAATGATAAAGTTTTGCACTTTGGACTATCGCGAAATGTTTTTTAATCATAGAATAGATAAAACCAGGAAAATTCGCAATCTAGAAATATAAAAACATCTGGGTTTGTTATTAACAGCGAAAAATCGCTGGTTCCTTTTATTCAATATTTTTTTACATTTTAGGCTTCATCCATTCGACGAATCTGACTATTTCCTTACTACAGATTAATAAACTTAGAAAGGTTTGTTAAGGTTATAGTGTAAAGACAGTTTAGGCTGTGATGAAACAGAAAACGCAAATGTTAACGAAACTCAAATTCGATGATACGTGGGGAGGGGGGGGGATAATGAATTTGCACGGAGACACCTGAAAAATGTGCAGTCACGTTTTCAAATGAGAGCACGATGAACAAGTATGCTAAGCAAACATCTATCTTATCAAAGTTGTAAAGGGTCCAGCCTAAGTACACAACCACGACGACAGCTTTGTTCTAAATTTTGCTCCGTACAGTTACACTATGTCACGTTACGTAGTGAATTTCAAATGGAATTTCTGGTTGTCAATATCTTCATTGAGTTTTTAGGCAAGATCTTTACCACCTATGGGAACTAAATGTGCCCCTCTCTTGGCTGACTTGTTTTTGTTTTCAATGGAGGCTGAAAGAGCTTACGAAACGCTTCATAAACACATCGCTAATTCTTTCAATTTTATGATTAGGGATATCGATATCTCATTTTAAAATATCATAACAAGGCATGGATTGACCATGTTAATAGTATTGGAAATCAAGGACACGATAGCGTATACCCCAATCTTTTCCTACAATGGAACAAACAGGTACAGCTTTCCACCAAGGTGTATGATAAGCGTGGTTCTGCATTGCAACACCCTGCATCCCCAACCGATAATATTTACATGCTATCGTGCTATACGTTCAAAGGCTCGTTCCCGACATTACGATTTTTGTTCGAGACGATGGCAACTTACAAACTTACAACGTATGGCTTTGAGAGATGCAGGTTGAGGAAGATTATGAGAGAATTTTATGATTACGGTCCTAGTGATCTCACTGGCAAATATTCTATTCCTTTACACTGTCAGAATTATTCTGACGTTCTATCGACTTATTCATATCCTCCAGGAGTGGACTCCAGACCAATATGATAAAAGGTTTATAAAACGTCAGAATAATTCTGCTACGGCCGGTAGGACGTCACTACCGTGTGCAATAACAAGTCGGACGTGTTGATGCTCGTCAGTATACCGAGTGTTCCATTGTTTACCTTCATAAATTCACCAATATTTTCATGGCGGGTGTTGTCGATCAAGCAAAAGACGCTCTCCTGGAACACCTGGTGTTATTCTCATTTTTCCAAAGTTTCGATATAATTTTTTCTTATGTTCATTTTTGCATCAGTATCAACGAATTTGAGTTTGAATAAAAACTTCGATGACAGGTTAATACCTTCCTTGTTGTTTTAAAAATCATAGTGATATCGATCCTGTCATATGTGTCTGTGATATCATAAAAAAACAACAGGTTGCCATTGGTTAGTATTATAACAACACCGTGACAGTCAATTAATAATTTATCACATTATATTTGAGTTTAATGAATAACCAGACCACCACTTGTTTGTTTTTTACTTAATAATTGTCTATGTTGACGTCACCTACACTATACCCCTACCACATCGGCGGTTGAGGTTACATGACGTTGTATTTGTTATCTGGTGTTGTTGTGGTGATTATGACCTCTTATTTCAAACAGTGTTTTTACTTCAATGCTTCAGTAACATGACTCAATTTTTGATGTCAAGAATTGCATACTTACAGTTAAGGTATTATTGATCCCTTTTATGTGCTTGAATCAGCAAAAACTCGTCCTATTTATGATTTTACAAACACAGGTATCACGTGCACTTACCGTGGTTCATACACACGTATTTGACTACCCCGGTATTTATAATCATTTATTTTGATTATCCTCGTCATTGTACTCCTTTAAAACTTCAATACTGGTAAAGTTGTCACCTATCATTACCACATTCATTTGGCCTCGGAGATTTACACACTAACTTCTTTTTAGAGGTAAGTTGATTTCTTAAGTAAAGTATGAAAATAAATCTTTCTTTGCAATTCAACACATTCACTATGCAGTATCGATATCAGTTCCAAATTCAATGCCTGTCTTTTTAATTGTAGTTACCAGTGTTTACATGTTAGAACATTACACTGTTAACTTTGACTTGACAAGAATTACTGCGGTATCTTTGATGATGCAAAAGAGAGACACGTGCATGTTCTCTTTCAGTCTTTACATTTATATTTATGTAAATATTTCTTTTGTTAAGGGTTTTCAATCGTTTAATAAGGTTTGTGTTTGAATTACGATTGGTTTACATGTTTGAATTTTCTTGTTGTTTAATAGAAAATATCCTAGTTGTGTTTTTCAACACATCCAGCTTTATATAGCTCAAAGAAATATATTTCTCAATTGGATTACGATGGTGGCCGTAAAAAAATCCCATAATTTTCATCAATCTGCCTCTCATGAAATCATGTGTTACAATTTGTCCTATCTGAATATTAAATTCACTGATAAATCTTTCGTACAGTGCTTTAATAATAAATGGGCAATTGATATATGCACATACTCCTTAAATTATAATCCATGAAAGTAAATGAGCGAAAATAAAAATTATGTTCTGAAGGTATTGATGGTCTCAATTATATAAGTATTGAGTTCTTCTTTCTTGTGCACAATATTTGACTTGCAGTTGCATAATGAGAAGCTGAAGACAAGGTATGTGTTCTGTAACTTACGTTTTATAATTTCCCCTCGAAACGCTTTGCGAGGAAGTTCTTCTGGTGCGTACCTGTCCCCCCCCCCCCCTTCCCGTCCCCCCCCCCCCCCCCCTTCGAGGCCTTTTCCGGGTCATAACTTAAGAACCATTCATCTTAACAAAACTTTCTGTATATATCAAATTTATGTCCTAGTTGTGCCTTTTGCTATTGTGGTTTTATGGGTTTTTTTTCTTTCTGTTTACACGGAAACGTGGTCAAAAACATGCTACAGCTTCGAAACAATTCTACTCAACTTCACAAAACTTTCTGTATATATTAGGTTAGTGCCCTAGTTATTATTTTTTTCTGTTACCATTGAAACAGATAACCTTCATAAAAACAGTTCTTCTGGATCAGTGATCTGAAACCGTTCAAGATAATTACTCAAACCTTTTTACACTTAGTAAGCTAGCAGTATCGTTTGCTATGGTGAAGTTCTCCAATAGATTTTCTGTTAAAATGGAAACAGATAAGCCAAATAACAAAGTTCATTTTTTCAGACCAGTTCTCTCAAACCGTTCAAGTTAATTACCCAATACTCAGAAACTTTGTACAGGCATCAAGTTAGTACTTAGTAGAAGTTCTCAATTTCAATACTTTGTATAGAACAATTAAGAACAACAAATAGAAATTAAACTTGTAGTAATATTAACATACTTATGATTGTGCGTCTTTCTTTTAAAAGGTGGGGCGTGGAAGTAATGTCACGTTTTGCGTTACCTTGTTTCTTTCGGCATTATGACCCCGTTTCAAGAAACTATTCGTGTCTATAAATTTTTTCCAGCGTTAGTTCTGAACTTTAATTGTTAGGTCAGATAAATAACTTCAGGTGATAGACACTGGTGGTGGATTTTAAATCCTCGATGTTTGCCACATGTCACGTTTTAATTCATTGGATCTGGTTCAGAATGTACACATGTACTTGACATTGTTCTAAAATGATTTCTCTCAGTCGCCTCCTTGGAATCAAATGGTAGGCACTAAGCATCACAGACCAGATCTAGAATTGACAGTTTTATGATGCAGTTTAATTCATTGTTTGGCTATATTGTATCTAACTCACAAAGATACATACTATTTCTTAATGAGATCATCATGACGACTGTAAAATATCCCCATAATTTTCATAACCCTGCATTTTTTGGAAACCCTGTGTTACAAATTTGTCCGTCAGTTGACGACTTCTTTCACGAAAATCGTAATAATGGAAACAGATCCTTGAATATCATGGGGGATGCAAGGTGTTGCTATCAAGAAATGGAAAACTCACAATAGAGAAATTGAAATCATCATGCTATATACAGCTTGGTGGAAAGCTGTTCATGTCGTTTCTGTTGTAGTAAAAGATCGAGATACGTGGATGATGTAGATGACTTTGTCGTATTAAAATAAGTCAAATTGCAAAAGAAATGATATACTTCGAATAGCGGGTTCACACTCATTGTTACCACAATGTACATCTATCCGGCTTCCTTCGCCCCGGACTTGACATTTACTGAAGCGTTAAAGTAATTTTTGTTGGTTATGCAAAATAAAGAACACACCTCGGATATGTACCTTCTTAAAAACCAGTAACAGTAACAGACTTTGTATTTAAGATAAGCTCAAATATATGCAATTGAAACAGTCACAATGATTAAAATTTTGACTCAAATGCTTTATTTTGATAACAATGCTGCTTTATGGTTGTTATATTAAAGACACGAGAACAATTCAGTTAATGTTTGTCACCAATAACTCGACACATTCCACCAAAAACAAATAAATGATATAGATAAATATATTTTATCGACATATGAAAACTTCTTCGTGGGATGCATCCTATTTCATGATATATGATTAAGTACGTGATTTAAATATTCATATAATTAACATCTCACTGAAGACTCCGTGTTCAAACATTTGCTGAGCAAAATAAATTCTGTTTGTCTAGAGATCGCCGCTTTCGTACATGTATAGCAGGATAGCGACATCTCTGGCCATTAAAAGGAAATCATGAACCAGCTTTCCGCAAAGGTGAGTCAATAATTATTTATTTATTTTTTTTACCTTCATTAATACAGATAAAGGTCTGATGCGAAAACTTAAAGATAAATGATATTGTTAAACATATTTTACTTTCATTAAAAATTTAGAACAGAAAAAAAAACATTCTATATACACAGATCATTTATACATCAATATACAAATTCTAAGCTATTGAAGATGACGTAAGGAAACATATTGATATGCTTTCGTTTACATATCAGGATAATATGAAAGAAAAAGTATTAAGCGATACCAACACAAAAGACCGATTATTCAATTCAATTTAAAAAAAAAATCTTTCAAAGTAAATCAATGCATATATTTGTTGTATTCACAAGTTTACTAGTCGTATCTTGGGATCTAGTGGTAATGGATGTAGCCAGTCATAAGATCAACTGTCTTATATTCAGGAACCAAGCACTGCTGGAACATCAAACCTGGAAGACAACAAAGAGACTGTTCTAACGGTTTCAATTAATGATGACTATACGGAACATGTAACGGAAAGGGAAAGCACTGAAAAGCAAAGGTTCTTCAAATATATAGCATCTCTCAAAGCACCGGCTACCAGAGTGGTAAAATTTGTCATTGCAGGATTATTTCTTGCATATGTTGGATATTCTATGACAGTAGAATTCGGATCTGAAAATTCTTTCAGACTTCTTATTGGTACAATATTGTGGTATCTATTCCTGTCATGGAATCTGATAAAAAAGAGGAAATGGTTTGGGAACATCCGCGCTCATATCAATGAACTGAAATGCCAAGGAAGAATTCAACTTAAAATAAGAAAATATATCCGATGGTAAGTAAGAATTACAAAACAAACATTTATCCTGCAACTGACACTGCCATTGACGGAATATATCTACATATATTTCTGCTGTATTCGACAGTGACGGAAAACAGTACTTTTAGCACGTGGATTAATTTGAAATAATTCTTTTTTGCATTTACTTTGAAATTACATTTAATGATAATAATAACTATTGAAATAAGTGATTTATATGTTTTTTTATTTGCAAATATTAATAAAATCGCAGTCATATCCGTTAGAACTACATTTCTGCGCGGAGCAATTATATTGGCGCACGTCATCAGGTTAAATTCAGCGTAATGTCAACGACAGGTAAACAAAGATTGAACAACAAAACTGCTGAAGTTTGATTTTCTAATTATCAATTAATGATGAAGGATAAATAGAACGCATGGTCAGTGACCATGTATTTTCTATATCTGCAGACAGCATATCAGCTGTATACGTATAATATAATATAATATAATATAATATAAAATTACTTAAATAATGTCCTGTGAATTATCTCCTTTATCAATTATGCACTATAAAACACGTATACATTTATGATTGGCTCCCATTTGATTTGAAAGGAGTGTCAACAACATATCACAGCTGATTATCTTTAACTTTATATGTAACATAAATTGAAATCATATATTAATATAATGATGAGTTGTTACAACTGTGTGTTTCATTGTTGTTTAATCTTACATGCAATGTCTTTTTAATAGGTTTAAATGACGCTTAGTTGTGGGAACTGTCCGCATATTCCGTAAGAAAACCGTTACATCACTTTTGTTTTCTGCTGACAGGAGTCTGTATTTCGCCATGTTGTTAGCCATTGGGGCTATAGTAGGGATGTCCGTAGCGAAGGGTAACTTCCGGAACCTGGTGTCACTAGGGGGACTCATAGTCTTCATGTTGCTGTTGTACATAACATCGCTTGATCGATCAAATGTATGTAACAATATTGTGATTGAGTTGTTCAGAGCTATGCTCCACATTGTATCTAAAGTTCTCTGAACATTTCTAATAAGATGACCTTAAGTCACATGTTTTAATGTTTCATCGTGCATTGATCAATGTTCCCCTTAACGTTTCTCTTATATCTAACTTCTTCTCAAGTTCTTATCGTGCACTTGTGGCTGAAACTTGTCAAACATTATCCCGCTATAAGATTTAATGTTGTCGCTATCTTTAAAGTCGTTCCGAAAATCCAAGATGGCCGAGAAAAATACTTTGCCATTGAGGTGAGATTTATAGGATATAAAACAAATGATGACGACACGTTCATTTTTTGTTGAATTTTTGCCTGGTCAAGAGTTGGATATGACGGTCACAACATCCATTTTGTAACCTGATTGTAAAAGTGTGGTCATCACAATTTGGTCCATGTGGTTGTGACGTGACCAATGTAATGCACATGTAAACCTACTGTGTGTTCATCCAACCATAAAACCCCAAGTTTTACCTGTTTTAGTATCTCAGCTCTATTCATCGAAATACTGTACAGTACCAAAGGGCTTCAGAAATGGTGATTTTTTTTGTAATAAAAGGACATCATAAAATTAACGTGTAACATTTGTTGATATTTTCATGTATAACCTACCATCTTCTGGAGAATTTTCTTTAAATATGTGTGTAAGTCAAATGTATCATTTTTATGCTCCCCTGAGGGAGAGCATATAGCCGCCGTTAAGTCCGTCTAGGCGTCCGTCTGTCCGTCATAATTTTGTCCGGATCATAACACAAAATGGTATCAACATACGACTACGTAGGTAGAATGATATTGATGATCAGAAGTGCAGTGTATAAGAACCATCTATCTATTTTGCATAATTTATGAGTTATTGCCCTTTGTTATTTTTCGTATTTAAATTTTGTCCTATTTGGGGAGCTGACCCGTCTCTGACGGACTTTGTCTATTTTTGTTCCAGATATCATGGCACTGTGTATTTTGGGGATTCGGAATACAGTTCACACTAGCCATTCTAGTGCTGTACACAACCGTCGGGAAAGATTCTGTCATGTGGTGCAGCACTCGGCTTAGTGAATTACTTGATCACTCTAAAAAGGGGTCAGAATTCATCTTTGGCAAAGATTATCAGAAGATAAATTTTGCTTTTGGTGTAAGTCGTCTTTCTGCAATATTCAAACAAAAGAGAGATACATTTTAACTTTAACTACGAACTTTGTTCATTTGTATCAACCTGTTGACAATCGTTTTTGTAGTGTTATTATATTTTCGTAAGGATTCATTACTTTTAATACCGTCTCTGAAATTATGTTCCTATCTGTACGTATTTTACAGTTTGATATTGTGTTCTTTATAGATGAATGTGTAATTGTAAACTGTTAATATCTTGACTCTTTTCTGCTGTAATGGAAATTGTCAAAGGAAAACTTAAAAAAAAAAATTTGTTTCAGATTTTACCAACAGTTGTCTTCTTTGTTGCCATCATCAGAGTTTTGGACTACTTAGGTGTTCTCAGATTCATCAACAGGAATCTTGGTTCCGTGCTAGCGTTTTGTACAGGAACAAGTACCCCGGAGTCAATATGCGCTGCCGCCAACATATTTGTAGGAGGGGTAAGTGTTAATGATATAAGCCGGAGTATAAAACAGTTTAATGATGTGTGTAAAGGGTTTGGGTTAATAAGTAGATGTAATAATATTTGTAGAAGAGGTAAATACCACCGATATTTGTAGGAGGGGTAAATGCCAACGATATTTGTAGGAGGGGTAAATACCAACGATATTTGTAGGAGGGGTAAATGCCAACGATATTTGTAGGAGGGGTAAATACCAACGATATTTGTAGGTGGGGTAAATATCAACGGTATTTGTAGGAGAGGTAAATATCAACGATATTTGTAGGAGGGATAAATACCACCGATATTTGTAGGAGGGGTAAATACCAACGATATTTGTAGGAGGGATAAATACCAACGATATTTGTAGGAGGAGTAAATATCAACGATATTTTTAGGAGGGGTAAATATCAACGATATTTGTACGAGGGGTAAATACCAACGATATTTGTAGGAGGGGTAAATATCAACGATATTTGTAGGAGGGGTAAATATCAACGATATTTGTAGGAGGGGTAAATACCAATGATATTTGTAGGAGGGGTAAATATCAACGATATTTGTAGGAGGGGTAAATACCAACGATATTTGTAGGTGGGGTAAATACCAACGATATTTGCAGGAGGGATAAATACTTACCATATCTGTACGAGGGGTAAATACCAACGATATTTGTAGGAGGGGTAAATACCAACGGTATTTTAGGAGGGTTAAATACTTACCATATTTGTACGAGGGGTAAATACCAACGGTATTTTAGGAAGGTTAAATACTTACCATATTTGTACGAGGGGTAAATACCAACGATATTTGTAGGAGGGGTAAATACCAACGATATTTGTAGGAGGGATAAATACCAACGATATTTGTAGGAGGGGTAAATATCAACGATATTTGTAGGAGGGATAAATATCAACGATATTTGTAGGAGGGGTAAATATCAACGATATTTGTAGGAGAGGTAAATATCAACGATATTTGTAGGAGGGAAAAATACCAACGATATTTGCAGGAGGGATAAATACTTACCATATCTGTACGAGGGGTAAATACCAACGATATTTGTAGGAGGGGTAAATACCAACGGTATTTTAGGAGGGTTAAATACTTACCAAATTTGTACGAGGGGTAAATACCAACGGTATTTTAGGAAGGTTAAATACTTACCATATTTGTACGAGGGGTAAATAGATATGAAATAAGGAAGACGGACTGAACTTTAGTAGCATATACTGTAAAACATTGTTATTAATTGATTAATATTCATTGTAATTTCCTCACTTACAGGGACAAGGCATACTGTTTATCAAAGAATACGTAAATTACCTGACTGAGTCCCAGGTATTCTGTGTGTTGGTGGAAGACATTGCATCTATTGGTGGTGGTGCGGTTGTACTTTACGCGGGTTATGGGGTAAGTCTAATACCAAGTCACCATTGATTGGGCTGTAGTGTTTCACTCTTGGTATGGAATAAGTATCTAACCTCGCCTCTGTCGGTGGTGGGACAGGGGTGCTTCACTCTTGGTATGGAATAAGTATCTTACCTCGCCTCTGTCGGTGGTGGGTCAGGGATGCTTCACTCTTGGTATGGAATAAGTATCTTACCTCACCTCTGTCGGTGGTGGGACAGGGATGCTTCACGCATGGTATGGGACAAGTATCATACCTTGCCTCTGTAGGTGGTGGGACAGGGATGCTTCACGCATGGTATGGCACAAGTATCTTACCTCGCCTCTGTAGGTGGTGGGACAGGGGTGCTTCACTCATGGTATGGAATAAGTATCTTACCTTGCCTCTGTAGGTGGTGCTTCAACTTCAACTGGATATCACTGAACTATATTTACACTTCATTTCGATTATATTTTTGGATTTGGATGAAACTGGAACTGGCCACCAATTATCGGGCATATTAATATATTTATTATATAGAACCACGTGTTTTTGAGTTGGAGATTAATCTTATTACATTATATCAAATATTAGTTTACTTGAAGTGCAGTTTTACCTAGAGTCATTCAACCGAATCACTTTATGGCGAAGCACATTCATGATTATTTTACCCAATCAATCACTTTCAACCTGCACATTCGGTAATTAAGTACATTTTTCAAACGCATATTTCTATATTAAGTCATGACTCTAGTCCGAAAATGGCCGCCATCTTGCATGTGGAGGCAAACGCTTGAAAAAGATGAATGGTAAACAAAGATAAGTTAGAGAATAAGATGCCGAAGATAATGATGTCTCCTACTTGTTACCTTAACTACGTCAAATGATAATGTATAACAAACGAATTGTTTTATATTGAATATATCAGTGTGGTTGTCATTGTACTTAACTTGTCATTTAAGGTTCCAGTCAAGTATCTCATATCAGCTTCTGTGTTGTCTGCCCCTGCTGCCTTGGCTGCTGCTAAGTTGAACTATCCGAGTTCGCCATCATTGTCATTAACTGTAGATCACGATAAAAAAGACGAATTCAAAAGGTAAATTGGCTTGTCTGAACTCATTTCATGTCATCTAAAAATATTTGAGCATGAATATCTTACAGGTAAAACGGTTAGGACAAGGAATAAATATCATAATTGCTGCCATTATAATGCGTTGGAAAATTATGTAAGACCGGGCATAACGAATTTTGAACGATAAGGATGTATCTCTGCGTTGAGGGAATTATATTTTACCAAGTGTTACGGAAGAGTAAGCGTCTTCTGTTTCATTGACAACAACCGCCATGTAAACCTTGATCAATTAAAGTAAAAATGTCATATTCTCAAATAAGAACACGGTATACAACAACGGAACCAACAGGCAAACTAACAAGCATCGAACACGTCCAGATGATCTGACCACGCCTGGACATTGTACGAGGCTTACGTACCGAAAGATACGCAGTTTAATATTAATCTCGGTTGTCAAGGCCTGCCAATTTGTTAAAACTTTCGTCATTTGTAATTATTTGTTTTCATAGAGTAGATTTTTACCTCAGTTCTGAAAAAGATCTGGGACCGATATATATTGGCCTTAATATCAGCACGGTTGGAGAGATATTACGACTGTTATTGATATTTGGCAAATACAAACATAAGCTAAAACGCTGCTAACCGGTGATAGGTACAAGGCCACACTTTAAATACAGTTATATGATATATCAATACTTATTACCTCTTTTCTTGCAATTAAGTATTTATATAAGGGTACTTTGTAAATGATCATATCCACTATACAACAACTAATGTGTGTACATATTGACTCAATCAGACGATATGACCCCAAGTAGACTTCGTACATGGTCTATTTGCCGAAATATAGGATATTTAAATTCAAATACATGCTGTCTGGAGTTACCTCCCTTTGACAACTTAAGTTAATGATTCATTGATGGTGAATTGAATTTAATCAGAATCATATATTTAAATAATTTCTTTTATTGTGTTGCTTGATGCTTCTATGTAAATATACTGAAACTCTCAATTCTGGAAAAGCCGGGTTTCTTTTCTCTTTAAAAGTCTTCTTTTTTTTATTTCGCAGAACGGAGTCCAATATACTGCATGCTTTGACAGTTGGTGCAAAACAAGGGTTAAGATTCGTGTCAAGTATAGCAGTAAACCTACTGGTTCTTTTATCAGTGTTGGACTTAATTGATGGATCCTTACAATGGTTTGGAGCCAGGGCTGGAGTGAAAAACTTTAATTTTGAGGTTAGACATTCCATTTGCTTTTTTCCCCATTTTGGTACAACGCGATACAAGTTATATTATTGATATGATAAAACCAGTAAGAATCGCACGCAGGCTGTAATAAAGCAATGTTTCTTATGGTTGTCAATGTATAGATTTTCTTAATATATGTTAAATCGTCTTATTATTTGACTTTTTATTTCATTTTATCATTTTGTCTTGATCGTCGTTTTGTCATTCAATATACTAATGTCATGTTTATGTATATTTTGTATATTGTACATGTGTGGTATAGCTGTAATAATGAAATAATGTCAAACATTCACAGATGGCATTGAGACCATATATATAGGACAGACCGGACTATTCCTTCTCTGAAAAATCGGATAAAATAGATTTTCATTTGAGATGTGTTTTATAGAATTCTTCTCTTTTTAGCTCATCAATGACTCCTTATAATATAAAAAAATGCTTTGGCTCGTTTCCTAAATTCACATATAAAATGGAATCTTGAATGAGATCCTATATATATATATATATAAATTGTAACATAACCTATAGATGATCATATATTTATATCTAAAATTGAGAAGTTTGATCGTTAGATGCAATGTTGGAACACCTATTATAATATTAACGCTTTATATAAAATGATTTCAACAAGTGTTGCGACTGCTACACTTAGTTTAACTTTTAAAAAAAGTCATTAAGCCTTTAAAATGATACGCGTATTGTAATAATTCAGTTTTTATTACAATAAGCGTAACAATTACAACGCTTAATGTAATAATAATTACATTAACCGTTGTTATTACATAAAGAGTTGCAACAATGCAATACACAATCCGTCAATGACGTTCTTTTCGTGGCGTTCTGTTTTTCGCTATTTTCGTGGTTAGCATAAACCACAAAAAGGTGCCCTGAAACTTAACATATTATAATAAATCAAAGCCTATTTAACGCCTTTCGCAAAATAGTTCCATTCAACATTCAAGTGAAAAAAAAAAAAAAAAAAAAAAAGAAAAAAAAATCATACGTTAGAAAAATCATAGTTCTTTTTTTTTCCTTTCTGCAGAATATTTCCTCATACCTGTTTTATCCATTTGCTTTTCTGATTGGTGTGGATCTGCAAGATTGTTTCAGAGTTGCGAACCTACTTGGTTTAAGGAACCTGATTAGTTTAGCCATATCATATATGCAAATGGGAGAATATGTTCGGAATAAAGAAGTCTATAATGAATATTCATCATTATTCAATGACACCGTGTTCTATGAAGACTCGTATGATGTATTTTTACCTCAGTGGAACCGAACTCTTGTTAAAGGAGTGTTATCGGTAAGTGGTTCAGTTCGGCTTTGAGCGGTAACTCAGTGTTTCTGATATTGTTAAAAGCAACACACAAATGCAATTTGTTATATGAAATATTTTTATGGATATGTTTGAAATATATACTGTGTGACGTGGAATATTCGTGGGTATTTTTACACATACTGTGTGAAATGAAATATTCGTGGGTATTTTTTAATATATACTGTGTGACATGAAATATTCTTGAGTATATTTACATATAGTGTCTTCCATAAGATATTCGTTGTTACTTGTTCATAAACTGGGCATCATGTAACATACGTTGGGTTTTTATATTTAAAGCGTGATATGAAATATTCGTGGATATTTTCGCGTTGGTACATTGTATTAGTCTGAAATTGAATCATTTCATTTGTGGATCCAAAACAGTGTTTCATTTTCGTCATGTACGTAACAGGGGGAGGAAAATGTCGCTTTAAACAAAATGATTATTTTTTATCTATTAACGACAATCAACCATTAACTGCACAACACGTTACCAGTCTTTTGGTTTTCATTTCGGCAATTTCTTATTTTCCTTAGTCGCCCCGTAGATTTCAGCACTAAAGTTTCTTGTCACTACTGGTGATTCCTAGAGCCAGACCGAAATAGTTATGTGGTGCAGTATAATTTAATAATTCTTACTTAAAATTTATTTTGAAAAGTACTATTCGCCTGGTTGCCTTTTGTTCTATTATTCGGGGTTACAGGTAGTAGACACACTTGTTAGATTTCAGCCCCGCAGGTTTGACGTAACATACATGTCACGCTTTAACTCGTTAGACTTGATTCAGAATAAACATATGCACTTGATGCTCCTTGAAATAATTCAATATTGAAAAGAAAGTAAATAAATTGAAACAGCTGGTATCGCGGCATCTTCTGGATATTGGCATTGATTTCAAGCAATGTTGGTTTTTCTAGAACGCCTCCTTTATTTCAACAACTAAGATCTTGGCATTAATAGTCCTAGAAGGTGTATGCTGCATTGCAGTCTTGATTTGCTACACTGTATCTAATTTTTATGTTAAAGTACCATTTATATGTGTGTTTGGAATAATCGTATGGCTATGACTTTCGTGTTGTAGGATCGTTCTGAGGTGATCGCTGCCTACGCTTTGTGTGGAAACGCATCGCTATCGTCCCTTGGTATTTCCTTTGGGTCCATATCTGTGTTGGCTCCGAGATTTATCGGCCAGGTCACAAGACTCGCTCCAAGGGCTATGATAGTCAGTACTATAGCTTGCTACTTCACTGCTTGTGTTGCAGGTAAGTTTTCCTTAAAGAGGGGTTCTTACTGACAGACTTAGTCTTAGTCTTAAGAGAGTTGGACATTTTCACTTCAGTCGGGATATTTATAGGAGCATGATGTATTGGTTGTTTGTTTGGACAAGACACATTGTCACAGCTGCTCTGGATGGTATGCAATGTTAAATGCTACACTTGACACTTGATCTAGGGATGAGGGTATATTTTTGTGAAGCATTCTTTATTTTGTTTTTATTCATTATTCATGGATTCTGGAAAATTGTAGTGTATAAAGAAAAACACTGTTATTCTCAAACAAAATTGAAATAACAATTGATTTTTACATAAGGTAAGTGAGGTTGAACAATTGCGAAATGTTTTTCCTAAAAACTTAATATAACGAGATCTGATCCAAATGCTTTACACATGTATAATCCGGACGACCGACTTAATTACAATCATGCTTTAACACGTTTCTTCTGATAGCTTACATGTAGAAGGTTAACATCATCGAATCGTCAAGTAAGATCATATTGGTAGAAATTTATGCATGTCAACATGTTGGTTTCCAATCGCAGTATTATTGCATAAAAATGTAAGCTACATAGTATAAACTATGAAAAATACTCTTAACTTTGTCCTGTTTTTTCTACAGGTATGATATACCAGGATGGGTAACCTCGGAATCATAACAGAAATTAACAGGAAGTTAAATCATTAATAACAACGAACAAAATTATCATAATTGTGAGAGCACAATTAACAGTTTTCATTTGGGAAATGTGACAATACAAACTTGGAGTAACCACGGTATACATGACGGGTGTCGTCGATGAAGCAGTTCACACGAAGTCTTCCAGGACAACTCGTCTTGTTCTCTCTGTACATTTTCACGGTTAAGTTTGAATCACATGTCAGCATTTGCTTGTTATTAATCCCTTGCCTGTGAAATCATAGGGGACTGAAGTGTTTGTTTCCGTCTGGTCGGATGTTGGTTTCCAGACGATTACTTCAGAAAAGTGGATGGGCTTCAATGAAACTTTATTCATAGTTAGGTTAAGGGGTAATAAAAAATGGGATTGGGTTTGGGGTCGAAAAGTCACTGTTGCTAAAAATAGATATTTTTCATCACATTTTGGTTTCCAGCTGACAAATTGAGAAAGGATCAATGGATTTGATTGAAACTTTATAAACTGTTAGCTTATGAAGAAATATAGTGGGATTGAGTTAGGGACAACATATCAACTACAAAGGTCACTGATACTAAAAAAAGATATTTATCGTCATATTTTGTCACCAAGGTGATAACTTGTGAGAGGGTTGGCTGATTGTATTGATACTTGATGCAATCTAATAATATTAGAAAGTATATAGAGTGGGATTGAGTTAGGGGTCAAAAGGTCAACTGTTCAGGCTGTGAAGGTAACTTACTACAAAAGACATTTTAAGGCCCCGCATCAAAGATGTGAGAAGTATAGTTTGTCAGAATAACACAAGTAGTCAACTGACCAATGTTCTAAAGGTCAAAGTCAAATTTTACATCCTCTTCATGTTTATACTGACAGTGTAACTAGAATGGTTAAATTTACCCTTTATGGTCAGACAAAAAGCATGGTCCTTTCTGACTTTGTTTTAGTTTGTTTTCCAGATAATCACCTAATTGAATTGGGGACGACAAACTTGATTAAAACTTCATACGCTATTAATCAGTGCATATAACGTTTTTTCGCGTTATTTTCTTATTTGTGCGTCTTTCCTGTCAAGTCACTGATTTTTGAAAAGAAGGCTTTCTATTGTTAAAATGAGATATCTGTCCATTGCTATCAAGGTCTATGTTGCTGAGAAAAAAATAAATTAACAGCAGGGGACAAATGTTGCATGCAATAGTAACTGTACGCTTGGCTTTTAATGAATGCACATATGATAGAATTTACATGCTTTATATGTTTGATATATTTATCTATAAAAGAGACTGTATGTTGTGTTAATGAATTGTCCTTTATTTAAGTATATTTAAGTATCTGTTATGTATAAATCATATTTTTTTTAAATATGTTTTTTTAAGTAACATGATTTTAACATTTCATGTGATATTTTAAAAAATTTCTTAACTCTCGGTTGGATTTCATCAATTGTACCCTAAGTTTAACTGATAATGAGTGCTAGGACGAAATAGCAGAATGATACAACTAACTTCATTATTTGGCATTTTTGTGTCGAAGTATGAATTTAATTATAACAAAGTGCTAATCACTGGTGTCTTTTGTGCTGTATTTAACCATACTAGGGTGCAGGCGGCTGAAGAGGTTCACGCCTTGTCTAGAATGGGAATTATTTTAATGTGGTGATTGGGATAACATTGAGATCGGAGAAGGGATAATTCACTTCAGATACATTTCTCTTATTTTTCTTGTTATTTTATATATGGGCAAATTGTTTCCAATAAAATTGCCAGTTTTACCAAATGTAAATGTGTCATATTTTTGCGGTAAGTATACTATGGTATCGAAATATCGAGACATACGGTCATCATGATATTGAGTCTTCTCAACCCTAAGCAAGTCGTTACAACAAGGCATCAAATTATCATAACGAGATACTGAGTTAAAAAGAAAGATTTAGTACCTATCGAGATACTGAGTCGTCACAACGAGATATTTATTCATCTTAACGAGATACTGTGTAGTCACATCGAGATATTTTATAGTTCTAACGAAATAATGAGTCGTTACAAGGATATAACGAGATACTGACCGAGCTATTATATTAACCTGATAAGAAAATAAGTCGTCATATCGAGATATTTAATCATCTTAACGAGATACTGCTAGCCACAATGAGATATCTAATTCTTCTTACAAGATATAGTGTCGTCACACCGAGATATTTGATTAACCTGTTGAAATACTGAGGCGTCACGAGATATATAATTAACCAAACGAGATACTGAGTAGTCACAACGAGGCTTTTAATCGTCCTCACGAGATACGTAGTCGTCACAAAGACATATATCGAAATCCTTGTCTATCATTTCAAGATGCTTTATTGCAGAAAAACAGATAAAAAAGCTAAACATGGTTTTTATCAACCAACTTTACCAATGTCGTACTTTTCTAGACTCCTTTCGTTACTTAAGTTGATATACAAATATAATGCCCTGCTTATTTTTGTGGTAATTAGGCACAATCTCTTTGGCATTTCTTTTCCATATTCCCTGATTTTCGATCTCATCCATCAAAAGGTCAAAATTCCCCTTGTAGTCTTCAGCTGTTTCCAACAGGGATGGGCGCGTGGCCATCACAAAATATCCACCTGCAATAAATGAACATAGATTATATACATTTGTTGATATTTCTAACAGTAAGTACAGAAGTTGAACAGTGGGCGTTTAAAGATACGCGATCTAAGAAAGGATATGTGTACAAAACTAAGTATGCGAGTGGAGTCTTGGGATTTAAGTAATTTTATCATGCGGAACCAAACTTTAATACGAAAAGTTTTCATTTAATATATTTGCAGCACTATCAGGTTTAAGTTTAACTATATTTTCATTATCTTACGCCAATAGCAAAAACATTTACCACAGAGGTAACTGGCGTACCGAATTAATAAAAAAAATTTCGGTAAAGAATTTTGATACTGTTTATACATTCAACCGGGAAATATAAACCCGGTTTTTATCCAACCGTTACATGTACCTGGTTTAAGTAGCCGCACGACTTCCCACAAACATTCACGTGGAAGATGGCTGTTGTTACAAGCTCCACAAACGACTATGGCTTCATAGGTGTCTATTGAAAATAAAATATAGATATGCTATTGTTGATTTAGCATTGAATATGTTTTGACAGGAATAAGTAAAACATATTTCCACGATATTCTGAAAAGTTAAGGAAAAAAAGAGATATTGCTCTTTTTGGGTGTTCTACTATTCACATTTTCCCGAAATATTGCTACAGCGAAAAAATAACCATCAGAAAACAACAATGTTACAGCAGTATCAATTAATTTTCGTATATTTAGTGGCTCTTCATCAACGAATTCATATGCTTTGAATTATATGTAATATCGTAGAACAGGGGGATTTCGTGAATACTATTTATCAACAACGAAATGTCAACATTTTTGTGAAAATTTAACCCCATGAAAAGGTTTGATTTTGCTTCTTTGTTCAAAGCTTTTGGTAAGCCTGCACAATTTAAACATCGAAAATTCTTTCTTTACAAGAATTATACTTCAGTATCAGGCGTGATGTTTCTTTCTTATAACCTCATTCTATCAGGTAATTACAATGTCTTAAAACCTGTATTCAAGTTCATCTTTATACAAAGGTAACCTGTTTATAACGGCCACGTTTTGGTTCCGTTTTGTAACGCAATTCCTTGTACCTTTATCTCTTCATTTATCAGAGTGGCCTCTGTAGACAAGTTCAACTGGAAATGTGCTTGATCTTACTAAACAGACGTTGACAGAACAATACAATATTGAATTAAATCTGCAAAATGAAATATAAACAATATATTTCTAATTTATCATGTGGTAGCGATTTTCATATCAGTTGTTGTTTTCATTGCATATGAAACCTGAAAACGTTTGTTAAGATTTGTGATTTTTTTCCACAAAAATCTTACTTGGTGCAATGTCTTGTTCGTTTCCGTCAAAATATGAACATATCATAGCTTGGTAAACACCCTTTGTTTTTGCTTCATCTAGCATTCCCTTGGACGGATCTAATGCATCTATTTTGATAAACCCTTCTTTGGCTAGCTTAAACAGAAAAATATAAAAATGAAAAACAAACGTACAATCTGGCTCTACAGACCTTATTATCATTATTTTTAGAACATATTTCCATGTATATTCTAAGTACGCATAGTAGACGTATTTTTGTATCTGTTAAATAAACAACAAAGAGAATACTAAGATGTCATTAGAATCTCATTTCTAAATATGAATTACACCGGGACATTGAAAAAATACAAGGAAGATAGGACCAGGTGTTCCGGAACAGGAAGTGCATTTTGTTTCATTACACATTATTCTATCAAGCCCTTTACATACACTGAAGTCATTTCCGTATGATCTTAAATATTCTAAGAGTATTAATTCGTTGTTCGTGGTAACTCGTGTGGTACCGGGTAGTCGACTGTTTTTAGAATATCGTTAAAGATTGAAAAAATTTAAATATGTTATTGTCAAAGATGCATACCTCTACGCCAACTAAACCCGTGCCTGCCGCAACATCCAGTATATGGACATCCTGCCGACCCTTGGAGTATAATTTAGCCAGTACGCTTGCTACAACAGCTGGGCCACGATATTCTACAGATTCCATGTCCTTTTCCATGGATAAAAAAATAAACCAAACCCGAATGAATTGCTAAATCTCAGAAATATATTCAATAGGACAGTTACATTTTGTTTATGACTTATCACATGGTTGCCTAGTGATGTGAAATTACCTTTGTGTATTAGACATGTATGTGAAAATATAACATTTTTTTTAAGGCAGGGTGTGAAATGACGCAACGCAATTGCAGAGTATGTTATGACGTAATGATAGACAACATAGGTAAAAGTCGAAATAACTTCAAGTTTGGCTTAGTAAACTTATGTTTCTACAATCGTTATGATTCCATTTGATATGTTATTTATGAAACACGCCATTATATTTTGATATTTTTGTTTTGTTATTTAAGCTTGGCAAAGGCTTGCTTGAATAATAAAAGGACTCTCACACTAGTTTCATAAATCACGTATTAAGATTTTATATATATTATACGAAAGTCAATCTCAAAACAAGCTTAGAAAACAACCGATGTTTTTATAACAAGCATATGTGCGATTGTAAGGCTCCAGACATAAAATATAAATTACCTCTTCATACTGCTTGCTCCAGGAATCGTAGAAGTCCGTCTTTACCTCCCGAGTCTTCGTTTTTAAATAGACTTCAGTTAACCTCCCCTCCCTATCCATGATCTGGATAAGTTCGTGTGAATGTGTAACAAAGTTAGACTCTGAAGAAAAGTAAACTAAAAAAAAAAGATTATAAAAAAATGACATTCTCTTTCTTTTTGGACAAGTCAGCAATCGTTCAAATAGCGACAATGGATATTTTTCACAATTATCACGTCAGCACACGAATACCAAAATGTCATAAACTCTGGCTTGTTTATTGGTGAAAAAAAGGTATGTTCCCTTCAGTTATTTAATATCGTACGCTGCTTTTCAATTATAGGTCAAAAGTTAGGGTCACTTATACCACAATTGCAAAAATAATCTTTTTTTGATCTTTGAATGACTGGGGCTTAGGCATTTAATTCGGCAAGTGCACTCAAGCTGCGCATGGGTGAATGAGTTAATGTCTGTATGGTAAGGTGTCCTTTTTAGTCAAGGACATATCCTTGAAAAAACACTAGTCTACAATATTTTTTAGCAATGATTTGTTTTTGTGTGTCAATATATACGATTCAAAACGTAAATAAACGTTAAACATTAAATACTATATTACTTCACCCTACCATATCACCCTCACTGGTTGATTCTCAGCAAAACTTATCAGCTTAAAGCTTTTCGGTAGGTTATCATATTTTTTGTAAGTTCAATCTCAGTTCATTTCTTTTTGGTTCTACCTCCTAAAGTAAAATGTTGGTTTGAAATATAAGATAGATAAATGAATAATCCTTTCCCTCATACTTGTAATATTCACCAATATTTGTTGAGAACTGAACCTACCAAGATAAAGAGAGATTTTATGTTTTTTTTTCCCACGGGATTGTTAATAATTTATGATATACTGCCTAACGATCAAAGTCCATAACGATTCGTTTCAACTCTTTAGAAAAATGGTAATAGATATAAAAAACTTTTCTTTATCATAATCTCAGGACCTTCAAGCGAGAATAGAATAAATTCTATTTCACCCACTTGAAGTTTGCCGTGTACTAGACACAGCAGAGTGTCAGTATCAGAAGACCTAGAACGAGATTTATCGTTGTGCGATCTTTTTTTTATTTTAGTTGAAAATGGAATATAACCATTGCTCAAACCTGCAATATTTACAACGCGGATAGGAAGGTTGTTAGGTAAAAATGATCAGAATAATTGCATTAAAAGTTGATTAACCAATGATAAAAAAACAACAACAACAACAATCACACGTATGTGACTACAGGTGGTTGAGCTTTTTGCTTTAGATTTTCTCAGTTTCTTATTCATAAAATGGCAAGTAAGTTTTGACTATGTTACATGTTAATTTTGAAGCATAAAAAAGAGTAAATATATATATATATATATATATATATATATATATATATATATATATATATACACATATATATATATATATAAGGATCATACAAGATATAAATCTTACAGCAAGTTACTCTGAAATCCTTTACGTACCTACCGTGGATTGACTGGCTTTCCAATAGCTCTGCGCCGGGTGAAAAAACTCCTGTGCCAGGTTAAAAAGAAACCCCCGTGTGTATATAGAAAACGAGTACCCATGGAAATGAACTTCGAGGTGTCAACTCCCAGTATATATCATGCGTGACTTGCATAGCGTTTTAGCATTATCATGTGACCTCCAGCATAAAACAGGTGTCTGGCTTACATGTTTAAACATAGGAAAATTCAAAACCACGTACGGTCTCCTGGCCTCGTATTACCTTTAACACTTTAATCATTTGTTTTTTCTCCAGACATGACCCGAAATGACATTCATTAAACAATGAAACACCACTCTAATTTTTTTTTACATCTTTTTATAATCGTTTTAGCATCTCGTCACACAGCATTGTTCCTTGATCATTGTTTTCTGTGATTTTTGTTATTTCTGTTCAAGAAGATGAACGCTTTATTAATTCATCTTTCAGTTCGCAATATTTAGGCAAATCAGCTGCCATGACATCGACAACCCCATAACAAAGTATTGTGAGTATTGAGGACACAAACGACAGAAAAGATGATGTGAAAGCGACTGGCAATGTAATACGGAATAACACGGGAATTCGAGAGATGTGAGTTAACGAAAATTGCGAGGATGACAGATCAACTTACAATAAAGGGATTCGAGAGAGGGGATTTCATGGAGACTACGGGGATGACAGATCAACTAACACACGAAAAGAAAGAGAGAGAGAGAGGAGTTAATGGCGACTACGGGGATGACAGATCAACTAACATACGAAAAGAAAGAGAGAGAGAGAGAGGGGAGTTAATGGCGACTACGGAGATGACAGTTCAATTTACAACACAAGGATTCTTATATTTTGTCATCTTGCATCGGCTATGATATTGCACATTTGTCGTTTTTTTCTTGTCTTCATATAAAGCATACAATGTAAGGTAAAAGTAAGATTTAAAAAAATATTTTAAGTGGGATTTAAAAGAATATCAAACGAGGATGTAGTTTCAGAATGATTTCGAGCCGTGTTGTTCCCTAAAACTTGCATATGCTCTCTTGCGATGAAACGGGTATAACAGGAATTTTTACCGGTCAAACCAGCAATCATTATGTCATTGAACACGTAACAAGACATGTATGCATTTTCAAATTAGTCTCTCGACTGTAGAACAGAGGTTCTTATAACACAACCAGTAGAAGATTGGAGTTCAGGAAGCCATCTAGATATGCCGCAGCGGACCAGTACTTCATCGGAAAGAGGTGGGCCACAGAACCTCGCTCATCTAGGGCCGAATTGACTACAGTGCATAGTTACCATTTGATGTATTTTTGGTCTATTATCTGTTTACCATCTCGTCACACTGTTTTCGACCTTAGTGTACATAGGATTATAGTACAGCCGAAAAAGTTGGTCGATTCCGTACCATCTCGCACATTACGTACGTCAGTGTTAGTATGCTCAACACTGGTCATTTATCTGATGAAGATGACCGTGTATTTATCGAAACGTCACACTCTAATTTTCTATAGGTTGTGTTATAAGAACTTCTATTCTATTGACATTCCCAAGAAAATGTTCCAAAATACTCTCCACTGTCTTACATATTTTTAATTTTAACAAACAATATTCCCGGTGAGAAGAGAAGAAATATTTTCTTCAACAATTTTCAAAAACTATTTATAAAAGCAAGTAGATACTTATCAGAGTCCATTGAATTTGAAAACTTTTTTTATTTAAAAATCATATTGGCGTATATCAAGTATATCTCACATCAGATGGATATATAAAGCTTTGAAATTACCAACATGTCAGCATAATCATAAACAAAAAATATTCAGAGCAGATAAAGCTCTTTTAATGTCGCCTGTCCATGGTCTGCTTCAGACAAGTGGGCTCTATTACAAAATACGCATATTTTACCAATGAACACACATTCCCTTTCCTATTTCTCGCGGTCCTTATGGCGTTTGTGGTAATGTAAATTTCGCTATTTTATTCAAGTAATAATCTGTCTGAAAGTCACAGCTGAATAAAACAGCAAAACATTAACTTAATTTCTTTATCATTTACAAATCAAAGCTTGCTTGCACGTTATACTGGTTTATTGTGCAAAAAGATTCATTAATAGAAATGTTATCGGTTTAATTGGAGCAATGTCTATGTATCGTTAGCCTGTTTGGTACTAAAGCATCTGCAGTATATATTAGCTATATTTGTATTACATTTTCCGTTTACTCAAGACATCGACAATTACTTTATCAAATGATATTTTAACACTTTTCGCTTTGTTAAAAGCTATTGTTAAAGCAATTAGCATGGAGACTATATAAAATCATTGATGATGTGACAAGAAAATGTCTTAAACCTGTCTGTAGGGTAGCTGCAATTCTTTAGTAAATTACCAATTTAAGGAAGCCGAGGTCTTGATAATTATAGAGTGGCTAATATTAACATCGGTAATTTTTTACATAAAAAAAGTTCATTACTTCGAATGTAGAAATAAATGTACCACTGTAATTTCCTTCAGTCACTCAAAGCACATTCATCCAAACAAAAGCAAAAACTGCAGTAACTGAATGTAGATGACTTTAAATTGACTCCTCTTTCAGCGTGCTCGTGTTCTACCTCTTCCTTCACCTATAGTCCAGCTGGGACATAGTAACTGTCAATTAAAGCATCACTCAAAAAGGTTAAACTCTAAGAGCATACTTCGGTGGATTCACTTTCATCGGTCTATCGACTTTAAAAATAAGCATATTGAAATCTAAAATGAAAACAAAACGAAAGTACGTAATTATTGATCCTCTTCACACTTAACGATTTACAGATATGTTATTATGCCTAAAGGTAGGAAATCCAAGAACATGATCCTTGTTTCAGCCTACAAAAGAACTAGGTTTCCTTTATAACCGATGAAATACTACCTACCAATTATTCATTTTCCTAAAACAAAAGAATAACTGACTTATCCTGCCTCAATTTAGCATTCACGTAGATTGACTATTGACGATAAGTGGTTTGTTTCTGATTCCTAGCATCACAAGGGTCCATATAAAGAACATTTTCATTCAAGAATGGCTGGATCTTCAACAAAATATTTACCAAAACTTCTCACTACCACCGTTAGTGCCATCAAATCAAAGATCTTTTTATAGCGGTACTGCTTACTCAGTAAGTGCTATACGGATTTGAAAAAAAAACCAAAGCATTTTTGTCTTTTGACCAAAAGTGCTTAGGACCTTGCGTCCTTCACTTTCACTTTTGTTGTCGAAGTCTTGTCATTAAGTAACGAGATATTTATTGACAATGTCCATAGTATATGCCCACAAGAATTAAAAATCAAAGATACATGTGACAGTTGATTCGATGTTCGAGGGTTTTGTCCAAATGCAAGATACAGGCAACCGACAAACAAACCCACGCCACATGGTTTTAAGAGATGCACGTTGATGCTCGTCAAAATAATGACATTGAGAAATATTGTATTTCTTTGTGCAATGTGAAGCTGAACGGTAAGTATGCCTGATGGTTCCGCTGTTGTTTCCCTTATTCTCATTTAGAAACGTGACATAACTTTGTTTGACTGACAAATATTAACATATCCGGAACACCTGGTCTTATTTTCCTTATGTTTTAGAGACAGGCAAATATTATTTTGTTAAAATTTTGGCCAACTTTCATCGAATAGGCATTTGAATTATGATTCATTAATACATATCCTTTGCTGTTTTTACGAAGAAAAAACATGATATTCAAAAGTGTCACATATCAGCTTTGGATCTAGGGCGATGGCAGTCTGGCTCCAAATCAGATGATTGCGCTTGGAATAGTTTGTGTAGTGTAAGACTATTTATTCAAAGTTCTATTAATTAAAGTATATACTAGAAGTATAGCTGCTTTTGCTGGAGAGTATAGCTTCCCTTTACAGAAATGTAATAGATTACTGCAAATAACGAACGCATTGTACCTGCGTCCCTGGATACACTGTCGTTACGAAGGTGGTCGTTAAGGCAGTAAGGGATTTCTTTCATTTTGACTGTCTGCTGGATATTTTCTTTGAGGAAGCTGGTGTCGCTAGTTTGCCTGGTATATCATACCTGTAGAAACAGAAGACACAACATTGCTGTATTGCTATTATACACGTAAACTTCATTTATTTTATAACGATTGCGAAACAAGTTATTTCAACTAATATTAAACACTATTGTTGGCCCGGATGTAAGCGCGCGAGGTGTCTACTTGTGGGCGGAAACCGGAGTACCCGGGGAAAACCCACGAAGTCGGGCAGGTGACCCTTTACCTTTTCACCTACCGATCACCCTATTACAATTATTAAATAAAATGCTGTGTTTACAAAATCATAATAATTACCATATTGGTCTGCATTATAGAATTCAAACATCCTTGAGTAATTTTCAAATACGTTTCGTAGAAGTGAAAGTTATTAATAGCAATATACATGCAAAAGATTATCCATTTCTTCTAGGGGTCTCAGTGTAAATCATATTTTTTGTCAAATTTATCGGCGGATTTGAAGTTAAACTAAGATTTTTTTACATTTTGTTATTATCTCTTATTTCTACTGTATCTAACTCTGAATTTGTATCAAAAGGCACTATTCGTTTGCACAATTTTCGAGATAACAGGCTGTTGACTCTGCTGGTGGACTTTTATTCAAAGCTTTGTCGTGGCATGGTTCAGAATATGGAAATGTACCTGATGTTGTTCTAAAATTGTCAGTTATATGAAAATTGATATATACATGAAATAATGGGACCAGTGCACTTCCCCATCTATAACATTTAACTTTTCTTTTGATTTTTTTCAGTCGCCCTCTATGCTTTAATATTAAGGCACTTAGCAACACTGATGAATCATAGAAGAACCAAACTATTTTGGGATGCAGTTTAATTCATTGCTTGGCTCTATTGTATCTACCTCTAAATTTGTTTCAAATGTGCTATTCATTTGAGTGTCTTTTGTAAATCTTTGGTATATTTAAGTTTTAGGAAATACTATGTAACAGTTACATAAAACAATTATAGTGCGCCTATCTATTGCCCGTAAGATATTAGATTAGGATTAATATATTACTAGTCCATGTGTACGGTTTTGTAAATTGGCTACTGAAAGAAAGACGATTAGGTTCAGCACATTTAAAAACATTATGTTTCAGGTTTATAGAAGAAACCTACCAGCAACACATGCAGTGAAGTAGCAAGCTATGGTGCCGACAATAACAGCCCGAGGGGCGAGCTTTGTGACAGCACCAATGTATGACGGAGCCAGTACCGATATTGAACCAATGCTAATACCAAGCGACGATAACGAGGCAAATCCACACAAAGCATAGGCAGTGATCACCTCGGAACGGTCCTGAAAAATAACAGTAATGATCAATGATGCTGTATCCTAACGTATTGTACATTCATATCGTTTTTTATGATATCATTAAAGTAAACCTGAAATGGGATTATCATTAGGTTTCCTGTCCTAAACTATACTGGATAACAGCTGTTTTCACCTCTCTCTTGTATGTTGCTATTTTTGTCATTTATATAGCTTCGGGAAGATATAACCCGCGCGTCATTAAAGTACTCGTCATTGTTGATCTTTTATTTGGAAATATGACAATGATTAAATAAGATATTACAAGTTTGACACAAAATGGCGAAATTTGCGCTCGGTTATGACAACGATGGTTATTCAACAAAAAGATCAGTCAGTGGTGTTGTAGCAAGAAAATCATAAAGAATATGTTGCATATTGCGCATTTCATGATTGTCTATTAACTTGTTTCTTATTGCAATACCCGTAAAGCAAGTTTCCACTGAAATAACTATCTTTATTTTTCTAATTTTGAGATACAGAAGTATTTTGTTAAAAGCAAAGACGAACAACTAAGAGACAAGTTTATAGTTATAGTCGAACTGGCAAAATGTAAAAAAATCAAACAAGCAAAAAACAATTGTATGATGATATACACAGAATAAAAATAAAACGCGGAATTGGATATTTCTACCCAATGAAAAAACACGTTTGACCAAATAAGTCTTATAGCTATATTGGATCTACATGCTGGTTCTTCATCCTCCTCTGTAGGTGGGATGTCGCCAAATTGTTATTATAAAAACCTGGCATGAAAAAAATAAACTTACCGATAAAATGCCTCGAACGAGAGTTTGGTTCCACTGGGGTAAAAATATGTCATACGAGTCTTGATAGAACACGGTGTCATTGAATAATGATGAATACTCGGTAAAGACTTCTTTGTTCCGAAAGTATTCGCCAATTCTTATATAGGATATGGATAAATCAATCAGGCTCCTTAAACCAAGTAGATTCGCGACTCTGAAACAATCCTGCACATCCACGCCCATCAGGAAAGCAAAAGGATAAAATAGATATGATGAAATACTCTGCAAGAAGAAAGAATTGCTTCAGACATTTAAGTTGCTTTTGGTCATGATATAATTGATAATGGACTAGGTACTTGGGTACGACAATTGTGCTCCCTCCGACGACCAACTAGAAATACAATGTTTAGAGCTTCCTATGGCTTTTCAGATGAGCATAGATCAGATTGTGTAAGGCATTAGCTGATCTAGGATGACGCTCAAAAATGATTAACAGATGGAGTTGCGATAACAGGACAAGTACAAATCAAAATCAGTTCAATATTCCCAAACTGCACTGAAAAAATGGGTTTCTAGAATGCTTTAGATTTCAATGGTTATACCGTTAATCAGTGACTAGAACCAACTGAGTGCTTGATTTGCATTTTCTCATTATAAATGTTCAATATCATATTTCACCATTCTTTGAGTAGAAATCGAATTATGAAAGAAGGACAAAATGATAGCCATGAGTAAATACAAGACATTTCATGGCAGAATATGTAAATATATATATATATATATTTTCAAATTCTTGATATATCAAATGTGCTTGAACAGCAGAGATGTCCAAACGTATGAACTATATGTAATGTGGCTATTTATTCCATGAATCAAGAGTATGCAATAAAAAATCAAGAACATTGGTAGTTTTATATACTCGTCCATGTATTGCGCTACGTCAACGTCAAACTGACGTTTTGGTTGTGAAATAAAAAAAAAATCATGTTTAGTTGACATTTGTTTTCGTTTATAAATAATACCCATGACTTCAACTGGCATTAAAATCACTTTGAATTTTCCACTTTTTGTCGTTTCGTGCTTACATGGATTTGTGGATTAAAGATATTGATAAATTTTATGAAAATTATGAAAATAAAATCCCAATGAAAGTTAATTACATTACAGTACGCATATACCTTACTTCAAAATTAAAGTTTTCCAATCCAGCCCTGGCTCCGAACCATTGTAGAGAAGTATCAGTTAAATCCAATACCGCCAAGAGAACCAATATGTTCACCGCAATACTTGACACGAATCTTAACCCTTGTCTTGCACCAAGTGACAAAGCGTGCAGTACATTTGATTCCGTTCTGCAAAATAAACAAATAAAAATAGACCTTTCTTAGAGAGCTTTGCATTCGTTAGTAAATGATGTTGAAATATATTAAATATAAACGTTAATTTGCGTATCATCTCCAAAAGACTCTGAATTTTCGAGTGTTTTATTCTCGCAACGTTTAAGAAGATATGAAATGTCGAAATCCTTTTTTTCGCAGCTTCCAAAATATCAAACTAGTCTTTTCGTTTTGTCCACAATGTGTCACACACAAAACCTTTTAATTTTGCCATGACATGTTCCAGGGATGCAGAGAGCGAAATTGATCGTAACCCTGGAGTATCGAGTTTGCAGGACGTTGTAGCAAATTTTGAAGATCGGTGGAAAAAGTTGACCAAACATTGTTCTGGAAACTATCCAAAAAACAAATTAAACAAATCTCAATTATTACTAACTAGATTAAAGACTGCAGGTCAGGTTCCCCGTGATCCAGAATGAATTATAAAGGCAGCTGTAATTATTACTAAAATATACATGTATATGAATTGTCATATAAACTAATAGGCTTCCAAGAAAAAACGTCTTGTGGAGATGTAAAGGTACGTCCGTTGTACATGTAATTCTACGTGACGTGACGTAAGCAATTTGTAATTTACGCTAAAATATATTATCTTGACGTCGTTGTAACCCACATTTGAAAAATCCTATCTCAAAATGTACTTTATGCAGGTACTTGTTCAAAATAAGACAACTTACCTTTCAATTTCGTCCTTTTTACCATTATCTCCTGTTAATGACCAGGATGGCGAACTCGGGTAGTTCAACTTAGCAGCAGCCAAGGCAGCAGGGGCAGACAACACAGAAGCTGATATGAGATATCTTACTGGCACCTTTAATGACAGGACAAAGAGCAATGATAGTAGTTTATCACTGACAATTTCAATACCAAAGTTAATAGCCATGCGTTACTTTATTGCTATGGTAACGAATATGTTGATATGTTCAATATATGGAAATTATCATTTCATTGGTATCATCGAACTCCCAGTCAAATAGCGGTCTTCGCATCGATAGAGGCGAGTTAGGTTCTTATCCCAAAAACAACGAATATAGCAACACGGTCCAACCGCCGATAGAAGTGAGGTAAGATATTTACCACTAACCCAGAGTAAAGCAACTATGTCTCACCACCGATAGCAGTGAGTCAGACATTTACCACTAACCCAGAGTAAAGCAACTCTGTCTCACCACCGATAGCAGTGAGTCAGATATTTACCACAAACCCCGAGTAAAGCAACACTGTCCCACCACCGATAGCAGTGAGTCAGATATTTACCACTAACCCAGAGTAAAGCAACTCTGTCTCACCACCGATAGCAGTGAGTCGGATATTTACCACAAACCCCGAGTAAAGCAACACTGTCTCACCACCGATAGCAGTGAGTCAGATATTTACCACTAACCCAGAATAAAGCAATTGTGTCTCCCCACCGATAGCAGTGAGTCAGATATTTACCACAAACCCCGAGTAAAGCAGCTCTGTCTCACCACCGATAGCAGTGAGTCAGATATTTACCACAAACCCCGAGTAAAGCAACTCTGTCTCACCACCGATAGCAGTGAGTCAGATATTTACCCACATGCCCCACGTAAAGCACCAGTGACCAACCACCGATAGAGGTGAAGGAGATACTAACCCCATATCCTGAATACAGCACCACTGCGCCACCACCGATAGAGGCAACATCTCCCACAAACACACAGAATATCTCCGGTTCGCTCAGGTAGTTAAGGTACTCTTTTATAAAAAGTATGGCTTGTCCCTGACAAAATTGACAAAAAAGATTATCTATAAAATATAATGAAAATAGGATATGTTTTAGCCCAAATGTCCCAGATAGCCCAAAAGGCTGTAAATATATACCTTTAATTGTAACAAAACCTCTCCTACAAATGTCGATATAATTTACCTCTCCTCCAAATGTCTTTAGTATTTACCTCTCCTACAAATATCGTTGGTATTTACCTCTCCTATAAATGTCTTTAGTATTTACCTCTCCTACAAATATCGTTGGTATTTACCTCTCCTATAAATGTCTTTAGTATTTACCTCTCCTACAAATATCGTTGGTATTTACCTCTCCTATAAATGTCTTTAGTATTTACCTCTCCTACAAATATCGTTGGTATTTACCTCTCCTATAAATGTCTTTAGTATTTACCTCTCCTACAAATATCGTTGGTATTTACCTCTCCTATAAATGTCTTTAGTATTTACCTCTCCTACAAATATCGTCGGTATTTACCTCTCCTATAAATGTCTTTAGTATTTACCTCTCCTACAAATATCGTTGGTATTTACCTCTCCTATAAATGTCTTTAGTATTTACCTCTCCTACAAATATCGTTGGTATTTACCTCTCCTATAAATGTCTTTAGTATTTACCTCTCCTACAAATATCGTTGGTATTTACCTCTCCTATAAATGTCTTTAGTATTTACCTCTCCTACAAATATCGTTGGTATTTACCTCTCCTATAAATGTCTTTAGTATTTACCTCTCCTACAAATATCGTTGGTATTTACCTCTCCTATAAATGTCTTTAGTATTTACCTCTCCTACAAATATCGTTGGTATTTACCTCTCCTATAAATGTCTTTAGTATTTACCTCTCCTACAAATATCGTTGGTATTTACCTCTCCTATAAATGTCTTTAGTATTTACCTCTCCTACAAATATCGTTGGTATTTACCTCTCCTATAAATGTCTTTAGTATTTACCTCTCCTACAAATATCGTCGGTATTTACCTCTCCTATAAATTTCTTTAGTATTTACCTCTCCTACAAATATCGTTGGTATTTACCTCTCCTATAAATGTCTTTAGTATTTACCTCTCCTACAAATATCGTTGGTATTTACCTCTCCTATAAATGTCTTTAGTATTTACCTCTCCTATAAATGTCTTTAGTATTTACCTCTCCTACAAATATCGTTGGTATTTACCTCTCCTACAAATATCGTTGGTATTTACCTCTCCTACAAATATCGTTGGTATTTACCTCTCCTAAAAATATCGTTGGTATTTACCTCTCCTATAAATATCGTTGATATTTACCTCTCCTACAAATATCGTTGGTATTTACCTCTCCTATAAATATCGTTGATATTTACCTCTCCTATAAATGTCTTTAGTATTTACCTCTCCTACAAATGTCTTTAGTATTTACCTCTCCTACAAATGTCTTTAGTATTTACCTCTCCTACAAATGTCTTTAGTATTTACCTCTCCTACAAATGTCTTTAGTATTTACCTCTCCTACAAATATCGTTGGTATTTACCTCTCCTACAAATATCGTTGGTATTTACCTCTCCTATAAATATCGTTGATATTTACCTCTCCTACAAATATCGTTGGTATTTACCTCTCCTACAAATATCGTTGGTATTTACCTCTCCTATAAATATCGTTGATATTTACCTCTCCTACAAATATCGTTGGTATTTACCTCTCCTATAAATATCGTTGATATTTACCTCTCCTATAAATGTCTTTAGTATTTACCTCTCCTCCAAATGTCTTTAGTATTTACCTCTCCTCCAAATGTCTTTAGTATTTACCTCTCCTCCAAATGTCTTTAGTATTTACCTCTCCTACAAATGTCTTTTGTATTTTCCTCTCCTACAAATATCGTTGGTATTTACCTCTCCTACAAATATCGTTGGTATTTACCTCTCCTATAAATATCTTTTTTATTTACCTCTCCTACAAATATCGTTTGTATTTACCTCTCCTATAAATATCGTTGATATTTACCTCTCCTATAAATGTCTTTAGTATTTACCTCTCCTACAAATGTCTTTAGTATTTACCTCTCCTACAAATGTCTTTAGTATTTACCTCTCCTACAAATGTCTTTAGTATTTACCTCTCCTACAAATGTCTTTAGTATTTACCTCTCCTACAAATGTCTTTAGTATTTACCTCTCCTACAAATATCGTTGGTATTTACCTCTCCTACAAATATCGTTGGTATTTACCTCTCCTATAAATATCGTTGATATTTACCTCTCCTACAAATATCGTTGGTATTTACCTCTCCTATAAATATCGTTGATATTTACCTCTCCTATAAATATCGTTGATATTTACCTCTCCTACAAATATCGTTGGTATTTACCTCTCCTATAAATATCGTTGATATTTACCTCTCCTACAAATATCGTTGGTATTTACCTCTCCTATAAATATCGTTGATATTTACCTCTCCTACAAATATCATTGGTATTTACCTCTCCTACAAATATCGTTGGTATTTACCTCTCCTTCAAATGTCTTTAGTATTTACCTCTCCTATAAATGTCTTTAGTATTTACCTCTCCTACAAATATCGTTGGTATTTACCTCTCCTATAAATATCGTTGGTATTTACCTCTCCTTCAAATGTCTTTAGTATTTACCTCTCCTATAAATGTCTTTAGTATTTACCTCTCCTACAAATATCGTTGGTATTTACCTCTCCTACAAATATCGTTGGTATTTACGCCTCCTACAAATACCGTTGATATTTACCTCTCCTACAAATATCGTTGATATTTACCCTTCCTACAAATATCATTGGTATTTACCCCTCCTACAAATATCGTTGATATTTATCTCTCCTACAAATATTATTACATCTACTTATTTACCCAAACCCTTTACACACATTAAACTGTTTTATACTCCGGCTTATATCATTAACACTTACCCCTCCTACAAATATGTTGGCGGCAGCGCATATCGACTCCGGGTTACTTGTTCCTGTACAAAACGCTAGTAGGGAACCAAGATTTCTGTTGATGAATCTAAGGACCCCTAAATAGGTCAACACCCTCACAGTGGAAACAAAGAATATGACCTTCGGTAAAATCTGCAACACATTAAATTGTTAAAATCTTTGAGAATTCTCGTACTTTGTGTTGATCATTGATTTAAAAAATTCACGGGCCCCCATCATGAATTTCGACAATTGACAGGATTGTGGACATATGGCATTAATTTATTTTAACTGATTTATAGACCAAGAAAACAAAGAAATGACACGATTTTTTTGGAATATATAGTAAAAGTGATTGAATCACGAAAAGTATGAAATCGTGGAAATGTATTTCCCTAAAGAGACGGCTTTTCCCTTTCGGCAACATATTGATGCGAACTCACAACATATGCAAATATTTTGTAACTTTGTTTATTGTGGTATTGTAGAAAAATAACTCACTCCAAAAGCAAAAAAGAACTGTGGGTAATTTTTGCCGAAGATGAATTCTGACCCCTTTTTAGAATGATCAAGTAATTCACTAAGCCGAGTGCTGCACCACATGACAGAATCTTTCCCGACGGTTGTGTACAGCACTAGAATGGCTAGTGTGAACTGTATTCCGAATCCCCAAAATACACTGTGCCAGGCTATCTGAAACCGATAGTGAAGGACATTTTCATTAAAAAAGGCAACAGGCGATTTATCATAAAAACGATAACTCTGCTGAAGTCTTGATGATGTTTTATTCCACTCTTGAATCCTATGGGAAAACATTAAATTTCCAAGTTCAGTTTAAGATGTAAAGTCTTGTTCGGGTTATTAATGTTTTCTGATTTTTCCTTTGAAAATTCTTTTCACAAATAAGCATATGTGATGTAACCTTTATGCAGAGTGATATCTATACCTGAATTTAAAACACTTTATTATGGAATATATAATGCAAAGTATGCTTCAAACAGAGCAGAAATGCATCAGTTAATTTTTCTATTTTATCCATGATGCAAATTAAAATATTTCCCCGTAAAAACGTATATTTCATCTTACAGTTCTAAAACCCCATGACCCCGAGGCTGTCTATCACATAACTCTTCTTACATTGGCTCGGTCCAGTGATGTTATATACAACAGTAATAAAAAGACAACCAGTCCTCCAAATGACACCAGATTCCGGAAGTTACCCCTCGCTACAGCCGTGCCTACCATAGACCCGATCACCACAAGCATGGCGATGTAAAGACCCCTGTTTTAAAGATTTAAATATCTTGATTATTTTGTTTAAAGCGTTTTTATTTTATGAAATATTTAATACATGTAGAGTGATAGTGGCAGCAACGAGTGAAAGAACTACCTGGCTACACGTTATTGGCACTGTAACGTAAATAGTAAAGTGGAACTGCAAATCAGTATTACAGAATGAGATATTATATACGATTTTCAGGAATATGAAGGAAGCATTCCAATGAAGCTTTAGAAAATTGGAATCAATCATATACATTTGTCCTGAAGTTAGGAACTGTCAATTCTGTGATGAAAATTTTCATCAAAACTGTTTTAAAAAAAACCTTGTAGTATTCCTTGCAGTGTCTCCTTTGCCAACAAACGACACATCCAACCTAACGATAGTCCGAATTATACTGGAATATCGCGTGCGCTAACAAAATATAAGTTTACTTAGCCACCTAGGACAGCGTTTACACGTGTACTACTTGTAAACCATACCTGCATTAAAAAAAAAAAAAGACACGTTGAAAATTGAGAAACGCTGAAAAATGGCAGTCTTCTGGAATGATTCATAGTGGTATGGCATACATGCAAGTAGCTGCATGTTTTGATGTTGACAATTCTGCAAAATCTCGATTAATGAAGCTTCTGAACAAAACAGAGTATGTTAGCGAGCGTCCTATTTGTGGCAGACATCGATAGACTACAAAAAGAGAAGACAGACTTCCTTGTAACTGTACAAGTTGTTGTCGTTTAATATCTTTCTAATATATAACGAACAACAATGAGACCCACATATGATAATGGCGGTCCCGAAATTATGGCCTATTTGCCGATATCATCGTTGACATGACAACTCACTTAGTACTAGTCACTGGACAAACAACTTGGGGGAGAAGGTGGACCAACAACTTAATACGAATTACAAATATCATAAATCCAATTTTACGTATAACTTTTAGGATGTGGTACATTTTATTTTTTTATTTCGATTGCGATAATTGTGACTTAAGTCAGTTTTATCATTTTTTATGTTTATAGGGAGACTTCTGATGAAAATGAAGAAGATGATAAGACCAGGCGTTCTAGAAGGGTAAGCGTCTGTGGTATAATAGACGATTCCCGCCACTTCTAAATATTTGTTAACAAAGGACTTTATAAAATGCTTTATTGTTATCTATGTTTTATGTATTAATTTATTTACGACTTATTTGTTTGTACTTACCATCTGATATATTTTCTTACTTTCAGCTGAATTCTTCCTTGGCATTTTAGTTGCTGTATATCAGAATAGATGTTCGCAAACCAGTTCCACTTCTTCAGCAGATTCCACGAGATGAGGAGATACCACAATATTGTACCAATAAGAAGTCTTAAAGAATTTTCAGATCCAAATTCTACTGTCATAGAATATCCAACATATGCTAGAAATAATCCTGCAATGATGACTTTCGTCGCCTTGGTAACCGGTGCTTTGTAAGATGTTATACATTCGGAAAACCTTTGCCTTTCTGCACTTTGTCTTTCCGTTTCTGGAAACGTATCGCCATCATTGATGGTAACCGTGACAACCATCTCTTTTGCATTGTCATCTGGGTACGTTTTTTCTGCAGTGTCAGATACCTGGATGTATGTCGGTTTACTAGCCATTTCAGCCGTCATCTTACTATCATAAATCAAAGATGTATTCAAAATCACATTTATCTTGTAAAGCAACTGTTGAATAAAGTTGATAAAATTTATCGGATGAAAATAGAGTAATAAATATGTCATTTGTTGTAGCATTAACGATACTTCTTCTTGAGTATGTAAGGTTTTCTAGATGTAAATTTTGCACTCGTGTATACAATGCAGCGCATTTTATGGAGTCAATAGCTAAATACTTGATAACTATCATTCTAAAAAGCATTTAATGGGTTTATGTATGTTGTTAAAAAGGCACTATCAATTTATTAAAAGTTTAACATATTTTTAATATAAGATAGTGTTTTTATTTATTATTTTCGTTTACATTGTGTTTTAACAGTGATAATTTCAACAATAACCAAACTTTGACTTACCGTTTTATAATCACAACTTTTTGTTATTGCGACAGTTATTATTGTACCTACCTCAGCCTATAGACGGTGGATCTGCAGACAATTACACCAGGGTAACACAGTAGCGAATGTCTCGTCACGTAGTGTAGGCAGATATGACATGTCTTGAATATCCATAAACTTACTTAGTTGATTTATTTATGCAACGGGATGTTCCTATGAAATTTAGTATTTTTCGATTATACTGTCACAGCCAAAGTAAGCACTGTATGTATCTTTTAATATTGTATTATGCATTTTGTGAAATTGAAGGTGTTGACAGCAAATATGCACAGTCTCTCTCACTCTCACTCTTTTATCTCAACATGTGGGAAAGGATATCTAGAGGAGATGCTGACTTCCATGTGATATACATCTACAGTTGCACTTGTATATTTTGACTGTTTGGTTCTTATCAATTGTTTGCAATTTTGTAAAGAAAAAAATCCTTACAGACCAAAATATTTGTGTTTGCATTCAATTATTTAGTAATTTATGTCGACTTTTCAAAACCCTTAATATTTGTGATAAATTAATTTTATGTGTGCAGAGGGAGTCTCCAGGTAATTTTCGGAAATCGATGGTATTTTCTGAAAAAAAAACTCAACTAAGTAAACATCGATTTGTTTAGACAAGTTATGACAAAAGGATAACACTTTGAACCGCGAAACAAAATGTTGTTTTCCAGTGGGATCTACCAGTAGTAGAAATCTATTACATTGTTTTCCTTTTCCGATAATTAAAATTGTCAACAGTTGATGACTATTTTTTTTTTGTCTATTCTCTTTTTACCATCTCGTCACACTATTTTCGACCTTAGTGTACATAGGATTATAGTACAGCTGAAAAAGTTGGTCGATTCCTTGATTCCGTACCATCTCGTACACTACGTACGTCAGTGCTAGTACACTTCACACTGGTCATTTGTGTGGTGAAGGTGACCGTGTAGTCATCGAAACGTCACACTCAAATTTTCTACTGGTTGTGTTATAAGATGAAGGTGACGGTGTAATCATCGAGACGTCACTCTCTGATCTTCTGCTGGTTGTGTTATAAGATGATGGTGGCCGTGTAGTCATCGAGACGTCAAACTCTAACCTTCTACTGGTTGTGTTATAAGATCGTCTATTTAATTCATTAATAATTTTGTCCGTTTTTATTGAAAACTGTGAGAATATTTTCAATGTATATTGTAGTTTTGTTTGTGTTAACAGCATACTTGGTAGTAGAATTGAATTTGCGGTAAATACATTATGGTTCCATAAGTAGTATGTAAAAGGAGCGACACCCTACTTCAAAGCCATTACAATGTACAGTTGTGCAACCCTGAGATTCGTTGAATGTACATCAAAGGATCAAACTAGTCTTTTGGTTTTTCCCACAAGGTGTCGCACACGAAACCTTGAATTTTGTCATGACATTTTCCAGGGCCACAGAGAGCGAAATTGATCATAACCCCTGGTGTATCGAGGATTTGATAGTGTTGCAGATTTCTGCCTAAACATATTAATATATCGTATAAATATTGATCAAACAAGCATGCACCTTTCAATGATCTCAGTCTGTGCGGGCCACGTTTTTGAACATCAAGAAAAAACTTTATCGAGAACCTTGGTTGGGGCACGAACTCCGCTGAAAACGAGACTTTCCAGATGTAAAATGGATATCCAACTATGTTTTTAAATGGCGTAAAAAGAATCCATAAAAAATTGTCATAGAAACACATTCAGTGATACGGACACTATAAAACTCCGATTTGCGTCATTGTGATGATAAATATCACTTGCTATGGCACCAATGACACGCGTCATTACGTCCCGTTTATTACTCCAATCGGATGCTCTCTAAAACATTATCTAGACTCTGTCTATTGATTTTTACCTATGCCCCATGGTAAACCCGGAAATATATAGAGACAAGGTGAAATTAATCATTTGAAACGCGATACATCGTCAAAAAAATTAACTGCTGAAGTGTTCATCCGAAAACAATCAATTTGTAGATGACTACAGTTACATTTATATGAACTCACTGAACTATCGAAATTTATCTGTTCTTTATTAATGGTTCACATTTAATCAATCATCAGATATGGCCACATACAGCTCGATGATAACTGAGTTATATTTATAGATTTTAAAAGTATTTATTTTGAGAGAAATCGTAGAGAATCTGTTTGTTTTAAAAACAGAACCAGTGCATGAAATAAGAATATGATGGCAGTAGATATTATAGACCAAACAAGCGTTTAAGTATTAACAGCGGGCGTCCAACACACAAATAGCGGTAGATGTTCTCGTTTGAATTATATATTGCGGAAATAGAAGAAAATAAAACGCAGTGATCATATCGCCATATATTCCAACATCCAATTTATTCTACACATTATCCAAATAACTTATGCGATTTTATTAGCTGAAACATTAATTCACTATGATCAACGTTCCAGAACCGCTAGGCGACGACGCCAAGGACAGAACTGTTTATAACAACGCAGTCATACAATATCACACAAAAGTCAATTTTACGTGATCTCATGATCAGTGTTCTTCTGGTGTGTACTAGACAATATCTATAAGATATTAATGTCCCTGCATGTATAAGACCAGAATCTGATCCGATGATGATGATATGATACTATGGGGTAATATGATCCACGTCCGTCGAGGTCGCCAATTCTGTTGAGAAGTTGTCATGATGACGTTAATTGTGACCTGGACGCGACAACGGGACGGTAGCACTATAGCCCGACCCCCTCAAATAAAAGGCGGAGACGTACACTGTAGAAAACTTGAGCTAGAGCCATTATATATGAGTTACCTCCCTTTACTCACATTTTGAATCCCACCTCGACCATAGAAATAAATGGTAATAGTTTTTTTTATGTTGTCATTATATGACAAAATGAACGTAAATTGTGTTTTTAATCAAATAAACTCCATTCATAGAGACGATTTTCTTATTCATTGAAGAAAATTTTTAAAAAATCAGGAATTTTTTGGGGGGTAGGGGGTTGGTTTGTTTTTTTTTTGTTTCCTCTTTTTTTTCCTTTGCATTGCAGCCAGAAACAAGACAACTACGTTTAATAAAACAATAATTCCTCTAGGTGAGGGCTACTCTTTGCAACCTAAGGAATAGATCCGAGATGTGTGGTTCGATTTAAACCTTGGTTAGTTTGTGTTTCTTAGGAATCGTTTAGAAACAGGTCGTCCTTTAGTTTTGTCCTAGGTCAGACTGTCAGCTCCGAATTACTTCAATTTTCATGCGGTGTGCCGCCTCGTGTTCTTTAATGAGCACATCTACATAAATGTATCAACTATACTACAAAAGAAAAACGGTTGCTAAATGACTCAAGCTGTTCACAAGCCGATAACCTGCTGTCCCTTTCCCAACTCCCCTCTCCCACAAAACAACACCTTAATAACGAACTAGTATTAAATTATTTATTGTGTTGGTGAATATTTCTCTTAACTAACCTCGACCAGCCAGCACCGATAGCAAGTAGGTTTTTACTCCAGCATACAGATTGTATGTATTTATGGTAGTTGATATAATGGGTTGTATTTTGAGAAAAAAGAACACTCAGTTTTTCTCGGTAGTTTTGAACGTACTTGAAGCAATGTAATTACCATTGCTGTTGAAAATGCAAAAATAAAACAAAGAAAACATCAAACGTGCTGACACAAAAAGGTAGATTTTCGAAAAAATGAATGAGTCGGTTTTGAAGACATAAGAACTTGAAAAAAATACACATACCAGATTAAAACAATACACATGCAGGAGGTCGCCGTGTATTTCTGTGTTTGTATCTGTTTCACCTCATTTTCTAGACTTTATAGTTTTAGATGCCAAATTCGTTCATTTTACTAGACACCATCCCATCGCCAAAGCGCTTTTTTTAATGCCGATATCGACTTTGCCTCATCCACTTTAAAAATAACCATTTCACGGCCGATATACATAAATAATAATTTAGTCTAACGGTAATGCACATATCTTTATGCTTATCTCATCAAAATTTCTCAATGCATAAATTGTACAAGCGGGTCGCTTTGGCACAACACAAATGATGTCGCATGGTCCAGTCAACTGAAAATAACTATTAATAAAGGTTGTAAGCGATCGCGAGAAAATTATTGATCGGACCTGTAATTACTGGTACAGGTATGTGAGCTGGGTCGTTAGAAGGCAAGTGCGGCAGTGTGGCAGACCAGGCCGCTAGATATGTATTCATTTTGTCGTCACAACCGCGCTGAATAGTTCACCACTGAAGTAAGAGAGCTGTCACTACGGTTAAAGAAAAAAAAAAAAAAAAAACACATACGGACATTTCTGTGTGAGGATGTACAGAGAGAAACACTCCTTCAGTAATTTAGGGAAGAACGGAATACATCTGTATTACGTTGATAAGGATATTTTCTAATCGGACAAACATATTCGGGCTATTATTGGTAAGTACACACATGGCTATAGCGACACGTGTGTTTGTATATATTACACGTGCAAACTTATATACAAGATGTCTGTATAGGTTTTTAAACGGGTAAATTCGTTTGTTTTTCTCACTACCAACATGGTCCGGTACGTATATTATAAAAATATTGCCTGTGGAAATGTCTTTGGTTTGATTTGAAAATCAATGTGAATGTATGAAAAGTGGCGGGGGAGGGGGAGTGGAGACATAAACAATGAAAACGGTATCTTTTTTTACACGAAATCATGACTTGTCACCCCTGCGTCCCGTCTCTTACTATCACCAGACTGACATTTAAACAGTACGTAGATAGAGAGGTTGTCGGACAAAATACTATCGGATACCGTTGACATATAAATCCATATTGTTTATACACAAGGATATGGACAATGGCAGGATCGGTACAGCCATATTGTTTACATTAGACAAGACTAGATAAAACAATAGCTATATTCTAGTTCGCGTTGAAGTGAAATCGCCAACGTTTAATTTTTTATTCAGACGGGATGTCGTTTGTGAATTTTTTAAAGTGCACATACCATTGTTTAGCTTTCAACCGATTTTAATGTAACCTTGCTGAAACTGGGCTAACTAAATCTAACCTAAATCATGATTAATCGAGTACAGTTTTCAAATTCATTATGAAAAGGGAGGCAATCCATAAGATATTTTCCCTTTTATTATTTATTTTCTCCATATATGATAACAGGTCACAAATCAATTAAAAAAATGCAAGGATCGTGTACGTTTTAATTATCATGTTCTTTAAAATAATTGGGATAAACCTAACATACATTATTATAAGGAGAACACAAAATTCAATTCCAAATTCAATACACTAGTACCTCATATTCCTTTCTCGTTCCTCATTGGTACGGGTAACTTTCCTCCCCCATCCCCCTCCCCCTCCCTCCGTTTACCTCTAGTTTATACCTCTTTACCGTTCCTCCTAGATAAATGAAAAATATGCTATTGTATCATGCATGTACATTTATTTATGATTCGTTCCGTGTTACTCATTAAATAAACTAACACCCATTGGTCAATGAAATACTTATCTGGAAACGTATAAATGTAAGCTATTCTTACTTGTTTCCGGGTCCAATTTCTTTGCGCTTCGTCTGTTTCTTTGTCGTGTAATTAAATATGGGACCCAATAAAGTTTGTATCGAAGTGTGATTTATATGTTTGGCGTGTGTTATCGAGTTGTCATTTTGTTTACAGTGAAATGGAGTGTATTTATTGTAAGATATCTCTTTAACTTATCACTTGTGTGAGGAACGATAACTCTTGGTTTGCTAACGGGCTTTTGACATTTAAATCCCCGCACCTACCAGTACTACCAATAGTATAATTAAGGACAGGTTAAAGTCATTGACTTCAGTGTCACGGGTCAGGTCATGACCTGTCAGGGCGACTCGAGCGACCCGCTCAATCTCGTAAAAGTGGATTAATTATCTTCATTGTCAGATCAAGTACGTTAAGCTTAAACGTGTAAAAGAAGGCACTGGAATAGAGGTAAATTAAATACATCACAACAATATTTGGTAATCAGAAGCGAGAATGGTAAAACTCCATGAACATTTTAGACGGACAGCCAACATGTAATATATATAGGAACATATCATCATATTATCATACATATATATTTTATTTTATTTATTAATCCCCTGTGTTTTCAACACATGTAAATTGATACATGTATTTTTTCCTTTACGTTGTATTTAGCTACATTTCGACATGACATTGTCTGTAAACCCCAGTATATTTAGTTAACATTTAACAGCCTCAGAAATAAGTGTAATTGTATCCTTAGTTCATGTTGTCACCAATTTAGTCATTTTTCAAAGTAGGAAATTTACACCGGAAATGTGTGTTTGGTTTTGCTACAAGCGGACACCGCGGTGGAAATAATTGACTTTGTTGATTTTTTTTCAGGAATTTCATATGAATATCAATATTTGATCATGTAATTGATTAACGGTGTTTTTAACGGTATGGAAAAGTCAGGATGCACGTAACTTAAATCCAACAACAACATGATATTTTATTTATTTACTTAGGAGTGGGGGGAGGGGATTCAAAATTCATGGTCATGTAATTATGTTAAATGATTTGAAACCCGCTTTAGTTTCAGTGTTCTCAGTAAACCGTCGAGTTAAAAGATCACTAAGGTGTCCATACTAGGTCTAATGAATTTGAAATTAATTCTATCAAATTAATTAAATTAGAAAATTTATTTTAAATGTTACAATGAGGAATGTTGTTATATTGTTAGCGGAGTTAAAATATAACATGAAGTTTTCGGTTTTTAAATTTAGACCTTCAAAGATCGGTGTATGAACAATTTGACTGCATGTCTTTAAAAGTCCCTGAATCAATCAGTGAGGTTCTAGTGTACCATACATTTCCCTTATACAAACACAAACAAACAGAAGGGTTGGCAAGTGTTGGCCTCGGATTTAATCCCCACACCAAGTCGGACACATTACCCTGTATGTACCTATGATATGGGTAGGTAACACGGCGTACCAACAGAAATCTCACCTGTATATATTTTACCTGAGAAATAACCTGGTACACATAACATACGTTACGCTTTAGTTTACAAAAGTAACGTGGCTTCGATGAAAAGTTCTGTTTCATTTTTTCCACAGAGGCACTGAAGAAAAGCTAGGAAAATGCTCATATCCCCGTAAATTGTCTTCTGGAAATACCCGGATTATAGCTGGAAACCGGATATAAACACATGGTCAAAATGGTGTGATTTATATGTAAGCAGATGCTCTTTTGTGTTCAAATGCGTGGATACTACATTTCAAGAATTTAAAGTGTGACAGGATTTAAGCTTATGGAGGGGGCAAATCCTCCTGAGGGTACTGCCCCTGAGCCCGGGGGTCAGGCAGGTGAGCTACCCCCTGAAGAACAGGAGAAACTGCAGAGGGTACTGTCCGGGTGCCTCGGAAATTTACCGGCTCTGAGTTCCAAAATCGTCCGTATATTTACTAGTTCTACATTTACAGGTAAGTGATAATTGGTTAATGGTATTTCAAGCTTTAGTGCTCCATATTCTTGATCTGTGACACCACAGAATACTCCTCTGCTAATGAACGTACCCGCTTTAGATTAAGATAAAATGATTTAAAAATGACCTACGTAAGAAAAAACATGGTATGATATTTTGTTCTTTACATAAGAAATATGAAAAGAGACGATTTCATATTTCACCACTTAAATAAAACCATTCACATTGGCGTTTAAAGGTATAGATTTAAAGAGTTCGTCTTTGGTTTTTATCCCGAACAAGAAAAAGAAAACAAAAATCGACAACCGACAATTTCGGCGTATTGTCAACTTAACGTGTGTTTTGCTATTTAGAATAAATTTCCTACCGATTTACTGACACCTTCGAAATGATAGCTACACCCATCTCCGTGTATCCGGACTTTTGAGGTTTACCTACAATGTATCATAACAACTAAACGCTTGCAAATGAAATTATTCAAAACTATAATATAACATACAGATTTATTTTTATATATAACAGGTTAACATTATCCATTCACGATACTACAAAATATTTTCTGTATGTAATAAATCAAATTGATGAATTCAGACTTTAGTATATAGAGGTCTCACATTCAGACAACATTTTCTTACAACTAAAATATGTTTCACAGATGAATTTATATCATCGAAAGGATCGGTTCATTAGATTCCAAATAAAACCGATATTACATATACTCGGTCCGTTTTAAATACTTTAATTGAAATAAAATCAATTATTGAGTTTTGAAATATCCTGTGATTTTTTTTCTCTCAAATATTTTGCAGAATATAACTGAAGACAGCGGCACGCCTTTTTAACATAATGTGTATCTAACTATACCTTGTGACGTTAAAGTCAATACTGATATAAAACCCCGGTTTATATCAAGTTTGAACTTCTACCTAATTGTATATAAAATACGCTGTAGTTTGTGGAACCGTCTTGCTTATAGGATCGTTCCTTGTTTCGCATTGCTTATACTTGAAGAGCTAAATGGTTCACCTTAATAGTGGCTATGAACGTGAATACAATGGACACATATAACTAATATAAAATTCAATGATGGAAGAAGAGAAAGCTCTATAATAGTATGTAGTATTGATTTCTGTCGGTCGGAACAAAACACGTAAACTTTAATTAGTAAATTAATTAGCTCGCGACTATAATTAAGTGGTTTTAACCCGATCGTATAACTTTCTCGTAACTAATTAGTATTTTCTTGCAAACTAATTAGAACCTATTGTAAATGGATATTGATAACTTTAAATTCCACAAATTTTGCTAGGCAGTAATATATATATATATATAATTTTATATCCTTTCATATGGTTTAAAAACCAGCTAATGGTTTTATCAACAAAGTTGATATCTAAAATTTAATGATTTCAACCAGCAAAAACATCTTCAGTGGATACACTGATAGCTTAATGGATTATTTTGGATGTTTTCTGGTGATACAAACTGGTCAAAACATGTTCAAGATTAACTAATAAATAAATAAACAAATAATTAAAAATGCTGAAAGAAATATTCACAAGAAAAGAAATTTGAGCATATTCCTTGACAACATGTATGCATATTTAGCTTGTTAATCTAACCAGACTTTTAGGGTTGAAAGCCTTACGGTAAATTACGTTTTTTATTCTTGTATGAACACTTCGGTATACTAGTATGTACAATCACACTAGACGTTAATTGAATACATGTCAAGTGAACTTAAGCCTGTATTATTGTCGAAGTCTTGTTTGTGTGTTTGTCAGATTACCTGACGAGTTATCGGCGTGGATCATATGGGGAATATTACGTTAGATTTATCATATTTCTATAATGATAGGTATAGTGTATATTTCACAACAAAACTGCGCCTTAACAACGGCAATATATAATCGGGTAATAACTAGGTAATCAATTACTTACTGACAATTACACCACCAAAATGATTTCGATTGCTACATTCGTTAGGATCCACAGCTCTTTTATAAATAGTTAAAAGACGAATTATCTGAATTTAAGATCGATATACTGTTGAATTGTATATTTTCGTGGTGCTCAAATTTCGTGATTTTATAGTATTGTGCATTTTCGTTGGCGTTTGATTTAGTGTATAAGTCTTGCCCAGGAAAACCAGGAGTTTCAATACACAATCATGAGGTGTAATGAAACAGTTCTTTTTCTCAGTATAATTAATACAGAGTATGTCAGAGAAACTATGCCCTTAGCAAGGTAACATTAGACAATTATTCGCTACCCGGAATAAGAATAACTAACTTTCTAATTTTACTTTCCTCTAATCTGCCAAGATTTTTACTCCGAAATCGAAAGGTTACGTTCTTTTGACCTTTGATGTCACGCCATAATTAGTTCATTCAGCTAATTTTCATGCCTCACATCTCATCAAATATAATATATCACAAGTAATGGAGCAATGAGGAAATTCAAGTTCAGAGCTGTTACATACACTGATAAACAACAGGATACTGCATAAAGTTGTGTGTTTATCCGTTTTGGAATGAGGAAAGGATGCCAATCTATGTAGAATAAGTTTGATTTAAAGGGTATAATTCGACTCTCCTAGGTTCAAATTAAACATATATCGTATACAAATGTCTGATAATTTTGGAAAGAAAATAAAGTGTTGCAATTAATTCGTTAAACACTGACTGAGCTTTGGATAACATATGTTTTTCAACCATATTGACTTGAACAGGATCTGAATTCGAAACTCGACTATATATTAGCATCGATTGGTTTTCTTGTTTGTTTTTGCTCTGTGTGGTAGTTTTCGTACAGATGAGCTGAAATATGGACATGATATCGTAATATACGTCATTCTGTTGGGTAACAGCCAGTGTAGGTGTATGTTATTCCTAAAGTCAGGTAGTCTTGCATCTAGAACGGATCATGAATGAAACACACATTCCTATCCGATATGGCTCAATGATTGGAAGGTGACATACATCTATCAAATATGAAATTATTTATTGACAAAAGACACACAAACATATTGAGCAATATCATGTCAGCAATATACGAGACAGAATAGTATTTTTATCTGAACAACATCGGGATAAATATAGAACCACACGACCGGAGAAATCGGACCATCTCCTACTTTTATCTTTGTCACGCGTGTCAAACATCCGGTTTTGGCTACTATCGTTATCAGAAACAGTCCATAAAACAAAGCATTTCTGCGTTATCTACCCCAAGTTCGCGTTAGATCCCATACCCTAGTCTGCAATTCTTCCATTTAATATCGATTAACAATAACATTCTTTTCAAAATTCAATATTTGCTTTGTATTATGACCGAGTGTGGCACAGCCTCGTTTGCATAAGCATGATATTAGCTGCCAATAATTTGATTATGTTTGGTTTGTCTAACCTACATTTTTACTTGTCCAGAGGAGATAATACGCTGACAGACGGGGGACCAAAATACGTGACAACCATTGATGTAACTCCAGTACAGTTATGCTTTCAGAATATCAAATTATTTACGATACAATAAAAAAAACCTTTTACAACAGCATGTAAGCGTAAAAAGCCAGAACATTAATAATTTCGGAGAAAGCGAGAACAAGGGAATATACCATGATTTCAACAAAATAGAAAACAGTAGAATTGTTTGTGTGTTAAAGTTTTACGTCTTCCAGACGGCAACGGTCATATGAGGACGTATGTCTGGGGACACAGATAGCTAAGGTCATCTAAGAACAGGTGTTTAGGGAGACACCACCTGCCATAATAACATTCCTAGTGTTGCAATAGGGGCAGCAGAGCTATAATGATCTGTTTAATGTCCCCGATGATGTCGATTAGTCACTTCGAATGACATACAGTGGTCATTATTTTCTCTTTCGGCTCCAGCACTGGTTCGTATTCGTCCTAGTTGGAACACAATTCTTTCTTTTGAAGGTTTCGTTTCATCTTTGTCAATCTAGGGCTATCTCACGCTCCTTCCTATACATATTCCCGATAGAGGCATTGCTGTTCTAAATTGTATAATCTAAACCTCACCAGTTACACGTCTTCATGGTATCTCGATCGAGGTCAGGTCAGTTACCACGGAAGTTGTATCATATAACGTTAGCACCCATGTGGGGTCGGATACCTTCATACCAAACCATATGGCCACTTCACTATAGACAAAAATGTAGTAGAAAGTTGACGTTAGGTTGAAAACCCACTAGACCTTGCTCTGTCGTCAGAGTCGCATGGTATAAAGTACATACCTTAACGTCTTTTAGAAGACTGCTCTCGTATATTGTGCCTTCATCTCTATTGAATCAACAGTTGAAATCACATTTAGATATCATCTGGTTGATATTGTAGGCAAGTAGTTAAAGGTCCCACATAAATCCTATATATTTACAATATATTTAGGGATAATTAATATATATTGATTGATACGGATGTATTATCAATAATGATGAGAAACGTATAAAGGCATAGACTCGTTGACGTCCGTTCTGCTTAAGGAGGAAATAAAGAACGACCAGTCAAACGTAACGAAATTGGTTTTATATTATATGTCAAGTAGTTACGATGAAAAATACCATGACACCATATTGTCAAACAAGAATTCTGATATCTAGAATATACAATGTATGTATTACGTATATACCGAAACTTAAACCCAATAGAAAATACAGGTATCATAATTCAATTTACGTGAATAGAGTGACCTAAAGGGCTGAAGAATTCGGCTGTGAACTGTTGTATATTGAAAAGTATCGGGACCTACATTGACGTTCTATACGGAGACGTGTTTCAGAAAGCTCCGCTCCAACTGTTATTGGATTTTCTTATGTATTTTTCGTTGTTATTGCACATCTCGTAAAGTACTTGAAGTAAACAACTTAAATTGCACCAGGGATTATAAAGGATACCTATATATCAAAGGCAAACACATTATGTAAATATATGTTTTCCGTAAAAGAAGAGAATACGTAAACAAATAAACATACGGTCCAGAGGTTACACTTAGGTACACTTACTTATGGCATTTTCAAATTTTACATCAAATTTTATTGAATTTGTGAGAGAAACTCTGGTCAATTTTAATATGTTTACAAGATAGTAAAAATGACAGTGAAATCAATAGACACAGAAGATATATATTTTCCCAGTATTACTGGATTTATGGTATCATTTCGTGATAATTAGGGTTTAAAACACAATAGTTACTCTATTCCTCATTATTTCCTCCCTGTGGTTAAAAAAACTGTAAATCATTTAATTTTGAAATACATTTTATATAAATTCACACTGTACTTGAAAGACGTAAATGTTCAACAAATTCTTTCCATTGTATACAAAACATAAAAACAACGTTACATGAATGTGTAGAGAGGAAGGAGAGAATCACCAAGTGTTTTGTACTTGTTTGTAATATTCACTTATCCTGTATTATCCTATACCCGTGTATCAAAAGAGTCTATTGCGTCTAATTGCGAGCCTCTCGTCCCTGCAGAGTCGAGGGCTTTCTTCTCTGCCCTCCTCCTTGGGACGCAAGAGAGACCAAAGTTAACATGTTCTCTTTTGCAACACTTGCTTTCCTTTTAACTCTCTCTTTCCTTGCCTTTATATAAAGTAACTATACAAGAGCTGTCCATCTTCCGTTAATTTGTCTATCTTGTACATAATAATGACAGAGTATTTATACCAACTAAATACGACACACAAGTTTTACACATAATGATATAATGTCTTTGTATTTTATATTACTTACGTATCAATTATATGTTGTTATGAAAGCTTATGAGCCGTAAGGCTTCAAATCAGATAAACAATGAAATTTTAGTTGTTGTTTACTTAGAAACTCGCTCTCCTATGATTCTGGTTGTTACGCGGACGTAACGCACCAAACAAACAAATAAATAAAAACAAACACCTATAGATCGCAAGATTTTCATCCTAAACCCTAGTCCTTGTATTATATCGACTTTTCATGACCGATGTTGTAATGAAGCCAATGATGTTTTCCTTCCGATGTTTATTCTGCATTGTATCGATGTTTGTCTTTCTTTTCTTGTACAGTTTATTTTATCACTATCGAGGTCTGAATAACAACTTTTTTGACATCTACACCCAGGGATAAGAAGTCCAGCTTTTACGCAATTGTTTTCTTTGTCTGTCCTACCATACCAGCAGGAAATTTAGCATGAAGCTGTATAGGTTATTCTGAATTTCTTTTCTTACAGACACAACCATCGAGAGAAATGCGCTCATGGAAAATGTTTATCCGAAATTAAAGGAATATCTTCGAGAAAGATATGGATTGGAATTCCAGGTGAGTTTCATTGTTGTGACGTCCATCATATATCTTATTTAGCTATTGATTTAGACAATAAGAAATATATACCTATATTTATTATCAAGTTACATTAAATCAATCGTTTGCTGTGTTTACAAAGATATTGTACTATTTTATGGGCCAAGATAATTCCATCTATACAGCATCGATGTCGGCAATCTTAAATAACGGTATCATCGATAGCCAAGGATGGTTTTCTGATTGGGAACAGTTGACGTTCCTTTGGGACCCTAGACCATGAACCCTTCTTTGTTGTCATATATTTGTCATAGAGCAAAACTCAATAACCCAATGATCTTGGGAAGCATGCGTCGAGACTCCCGTATGACGATCAGTGACGTAGCCACCAATTACCATATAGAGACTCCGTCTCAAAACGGCTGGTTGTTCACTAGGCGATTACAAACAGCAAACAAAAATATCTACAGAGATATCAACAGAGATATTTGAATCAATTATTTTATATCCACCCTTCCTTTAAACATTTACATTTTTGTATCAATTAATGTCAATTTAAGATAAATTTGATTTTAATTAATGAAATTAATTAATAAACTGCACCAGAAAACGTAACTTTGCAGGTCAAATCAAATTTTCCGTTGAAGATACGATATTCGTTATTGTGCGCCAAACGCTGTTGAAAAGTTTTGAATATCCTTTGGACATTAAATGACTGTTATGTATTTTTTGACATCACAGTGATGTATAACACGAATACTAGAACTCTCTATTGTTTGTTTACTGATGTGAAACACGCAAGTTATTTGAAATAGATTGTTTTGCCAGATATTGATTGATGATAGCTTATAAGTCACAAGCCACAATGATATCCAGGATAGGACTGGTTGTGGAGTTTTTTGATAAACAAAACATGCATAATACCGCAGTTCTCCATATCGGAACCATCGAACCTTGACAACTTACAACGTCAAGTATCAAATATCATGCAAATTATCTATCTTCATCATACACACGCTATTATCGTTGCATAAGCACAATTGATTTTCCGTTTTGTGTTTCCTTTCCTTTCCTTGAAAATGCATTAAAGTTTGATGTATATATATATATATAGTAGTGTTAGATTGCCTTGACGGATTGATATAAATCTCATTATGACATTCATACACGCAATGTGTGTATGTTTTTATGAATATAGTGTTATTGGGCTCCAGCAGCTTGATGACGTGAAGCACACCTAGACAATTTAACCGAGGTTACCTGACCCCCCATGAGGTCTGTTTTGGTTTTGGGTTCCCGATATGTATTTAGGATCGGGTGACCTAGATTTGTAGGCGACCTGTGCACACTCCCGGGGACATGGTGCCGGTACGGGATGGGGATTAAGGGTACAGAGTACAGTCGCCGCGCCTTATCAATAAATAAACAGAAATTTATTTCACAATGTTGACGAATTCACATAGGGTTCCACTAAATAAATGTTTCTAATCTAACCCTTTACAGGCTAATACTAGGATACATATTTGGGTCCGACAAACCCCGAACTACAACGTATAAATTCGACAGAGCTCCGTTATCTTTACGGGACAATGCGAAGACTACTTTAACCTTCGCCAAAAGCGCGACCAGAATGTGTCATATCTATAAAACATTATCAAAATTACTAAATATAGAATTTTAAAAAAATCAGAAAGCATAATCATCAAATTACCAAATTCTTGAGTTAAGTTTTACTTATGGAACAAACTAACCGGGCTATTATAACTTTAGAGAGAGACAGAGAAGTTCTCCATAAACCGAAGTGCCGTAAATTATTTACTCCACTGATAAATATAATTAATTCAAACATTTAAATGATGACAAAGACTTGTCTAGATCGTGCGATCCCAAGGGATACGAACAACGCAGACAAGGGGACACGAACAACGCAGATAAATGATTAGCATCCCTGACGGATCATATTGTATTATTATCATTGTTTACAATGTTACCATGGGCAGAGAGGAGTAGCAGATGACACTTATAAATAGAGACATATGATTTACAAGTTACCAATACTTAAAATTAAAATAACGTTTTTATTTACAACATGTTTAATTATCCTCTCAATTTTCTATCGATTACATTGCAACAGTTGTCTGTTTTTTCATCTTGTTTTGTAGCGATATTTCCATATTTTATGTTTTGAAAAAAGGGTTTATCCAACTTAATGTGTCCGTATTTGTCGCTATCGAGTTTATTGTTGTATATTCTCCTCTTCTCAGGTAGATAGTCACGTGGTTTATTCAAAATGTAAACATACTTTGAATTACGCTTATGGTCATTCTCATTATTGACATAGCTGATTTATTTCAAATCAAAATATTTCATTGCTGTATGTCGAACATCGTATACCATTTTAATGTCGTCACGCGCAAATTTTATTATTTGGGATAAAAAATCGGCATTTTAGCCATGTCGTGTTTTCGCCATTGAAGAAAGAAAACAATGCATCGTGTCTCTTTCTCAAAAGATTAATATTCGCCAAGCCATGTTATAGCAAAAAACAGCGAAATTCAGACACTGTTGAAAGCACTCTGTTAACATATTGTACATACACGTACCGTAACGGCAGTGTTTCATAGGAAATAAACTAAGTAGATAACACGTTGTATGTTATCGTTGCATCTTGCTTAATATGTGTACCAAGGGACTTTTGAATGCGTTTTCATTACAGTATTGATTTATAAACATTCATCGCTTTTTGATCGACACGACCATCCGAATAAATGAAAATTATATCATCAGCAATTTTAATTTTCCGCTGAATAATTTGTAATGTGTATTACTACGCGGGGGTCCTTAACCACTATTGACTGCTTTAGTTAGGCCTTGCGAATGTATAGACCCACCTCTTAACGATTCAGTAGGTATCGACAATATGTACATATATATATATATAAGATATAAATAAATGCCTCACGTTGGAGCAAAATACTTCCAGTTTTAAAGGGACTTTTACCAAATCTGCCATTTTACATTTTCTGAATATTAATTTTCGTCATGGATTAAAAATATTTGACGTTTTTGTTTTCATCTGAGTTAGTGTTCAACAGTAATTGCCGATCGTATACTCCACGATCGTTCACAAACACTGTAGGCAGCGTATATTTCTAATACAGTGTATTGTTTACAATATCGAAGTTTCATTATCTAGATAATGATAATGGCGTATTGCTTTATTGGAATGCCAACAATGAAAATACCGATATGTCAACGAAATATTGATTTAAACTCAAATTCGATAAAACTAAGGAAAATATGAACGAAAAATCCAGACGGGGATTCCTGAAAAAGTACAGGGAAAATAAAACCAGGTGTTCTGGAAAAGTAAGCGTCTTTTGGTTCATCGACGACACCAGCCATTAAAATCTTGGGCCAATCCAAATATGTGTTGTCACGTTCTCGCGTGAGCATGAGGGTACAGTGATGGAATCACAAGGCAAACTACCGAGCATCAAACTTCATATCATATACATGTATACAAATTATTTCCATTGGGAACGTTATGACGTTAAACTTCCTCTAATTTTTATCAAAATCAGGAAAGAAAGTACCGAATCTTAATCCAAACTCAACTTCACTGATATCAGGGTATGAAAGGAAAGATTTACACGGAGACTCCCAAAAAAGTAAAAGGAAAATAAGACCAGGTGTTCCGGAAGAGCAAATGTCTTTTGTTTTACCGACAACTCCCTCCATTTTAACCTTGGTCAATCCAAGTAAGTAATGTCACGTTCTCAAATGAGAACAATGGAACCAACTTGCAAATTAACGAGCATCAAGCACGTCCAACTTCAACGTGCATACCACTAAACCTCGATATTCAGTCGTTGAATATCGAATCAGTTGCGACATGTAAACACCATAGGTTGAGGATACAGGCTCTGGTGCACTTTAAATATCTACTGAATACACTACACGCCATTCATTTCTCATAAAGTTAGCGTACTGATATTTTAGAGAAGAAACTATGAATATTAGAAACGTTTCTATTAAAAAAATGCAGATATGTATTGTTACGTACCTGTTGTCTAAACAATGATTTCGAGTAAATTCCTCTTGAACCACACTCAATACAGTACAATTCTATTGATTTTAACTCAACTGACAATAAACACATTATGTTGTAATCATTTATCACAAATTCGGCGACAGGAATATTGATCCAAAGAATGCAAATGCTGTATCGAGTAATTTCAAGTCCGGTGATTAAACAGTTGTTTACCGAGTACATAAAAGTTGTTTTTTACTTATCAACATCGCTTTGAAACACTGCTAGATACAACCGGAATAACGATGTCTTTGAAGTCATATTTTGAAGGTGAGAAGAGGAAATAAAATACTTCTACTCGTCCTTGTTCCTTGCAAGTGATTCGGGACATTAGTAGGGCATTAGCAAGGTTCCTGTCTCAAAATTTGTAAAAAGCAGTATAATAGAGATGATAAACAGAAGCTGCACTGGGAGAACGTACCTTGTTAAGGTCGTGTTTTATTCAAGACCAAATGATTCTGACGTTTTAGCGACATTTTAAGTCTTAAGTTGATGAATGTCAGAACTCTGTATAAATAGTGAAGAAAGTATTCACAACGATATCAATATTTAGCTTCTGGGTCCCATTTCTTTTTTTATATGAATAAACGATCCGGCCCACATAAGCTTATAGCTTATTAATGATAGGCATGTTTGAACAAAATAACTATGGTAGATTGGTAAAAGTATAAAGTTCAAATTGTGTATCGTGGGACATCAGCTGTATCACCGACTTGTAAATTATGTATACCACACCACATATAGTAAGTTTGTTTTCTTAATGACACACTCACCGATGGTAGAGTAATTCTGTGAGTAATTTATATCCGACTGGCTTCCTGTCTTTAGAATATGAAGACTGTACAAAAGACACATTATTGAATAGTACATTTTCATACAAATTGAAAAAATACAGTAAGAGCCAACCGATGAAATGACTGCACCA